TCACTAAGGCAGCAGTAGCAGATTTGAGGTTCATGGCGACTTCTCGTCTGCGATTGGTCAGATTGATAGGCCGTATACGGGGTTTTTGGCCTAGGTCTAACCCTTCTCACTGAAAGTTGACTCCTATACCATCGTAGTAGCTTTCCTGCACTCTGGCCCTTCTTCCCCACCCTGCGCTCGTCCATCATCAGAGATATCCTCATCCTCGTCGTCCTCCCTTCGTCTTGCAGATGATTGACAATTTTTTATCCGTGGTCGTCAGTACTTTTCTCGTGTTCAGGCTCCCTCCCCCCACTTTCTCTCTGCATTGGCAGATCCTCGCACGACGGGTCCCCGGCAGATTGGCATGAGGATCGACCACCACCGTAACGGCGCGATAAGAAGTGTCAGATACCATGGTACTATCTGCTGCAGCAGTGCTCCCCTTTTCCTGAATCTTCCGAGTCCTCTTCCTCCACCCCCCAGGTTCGGTCGGTGAATCAGTGAATTTTTAGTCTGTCTGTCATGTCTTGTCTTTCTTTTCCCGTCCTGTCACAGACCCTGTTAGGGCCCGTCAAACCAGTAAGAAGAGGGGAAGGAGGAGAAGGAGGAGGAGGAGGATGAACCGGGGCTGGCGCGCGCCCCCTCCCCTCTCTTTGGGATCCCCAGGGGTCGCACGAGGTGCCTTGCAGAGGGGAAAAACGGTCCCACCACCATCTTTCTGCAAGAACCCACCGGTTGTTCCTTCACAAATCTCTTGGTAGCGTGTGCGGGGGGATGGCACGCTGTCTGTTTAGCCTCATTCCCGACCTCGACCTCGATCTCGCTTAAGCTAACCACTGTTCCCACATCTGTGATGGACCATAAAGACGCCCACTCGATCCAATGACTGTTGAAATGTGAGAGATATAGTATCCTTTTGCACTCCACCAGGCCTTCGATCCCTCAAAAGATCGAACATCCTCATCACAAGTGCTTGCCGGGTACAATAATGGACACTTACAAACTTAATACGGGCATATGTCGACGGAGGGGAATCATCTCTTCCTTTTGGAACGAGGTTTCAATACCTCACATACGGCTCATTGTTGGATGTCCCTGGCTACCATCTGGAAAGGAATCACTTCCTCCATCTCGAGGTGGCAGACCATCGAGTCACGCCGGAACCTAATATGTTGCCGCACAAGCAGCATAAAAAAGGAGAAAACAGGATTTCTATCACACCCTCTTCTGTTAAGGGCCAGGGCCTTCTCTAACCCTACACGCCCCATGGTTTGTGAATTCCTTCTTGGCTGCTGGGGCCATCCTCCGTAGTGCTCTTCTTGCCCCTATACCCAAGAGGATCGGCCCAATGTCCTTTTATCTTCCTTTCTGGCCCAAGACTCTGTCACAACACTGTTAAGAGGGGATGTAGGATGTGTGAACACTTCCCTCTGATCCATCACCTGTCTATTTTCTCTCTCTCCCTTTTCCCTTTCCTCGCACGTGTATACAGTAAAAAAGGTGTGACAACCCAACTGCCGGGCCTGCACTCCACATCCTTCAAAACGACATCCACAAGCCAGGCACTGTTGGTTCGTCTCCGTTATTTAAGCGTGCAGGCGTCGGAGATGTCTCCCCCCTCCTTCCCCAGCCTACCTCATGTGTGACGCTGCGCTGCTGAACCACGTTTCTGAGTTGCATTGCTCCCTCTGAACAAGTTTGGAACCGCTGAACCAGTGCTGAACCGTCGTCACCGGACAAAAACCAAACAAACCCGCCCCAAGCACCAGTTTAAAAGTCCTTGTCTTTTTCTCCAAAGGAGGGCTGGGGGAGATTCCTCACAAAGGGCTAGGATTATGCTATCCTGCGGGGAGAAAAGACCTCTTTAGTACGATGCATACTGCTTTGCAGATCACACGCCCCATGATGACCGATCCAGTCTTTGACATGCCGAGAGAGACCCCTACAACTATCGATTTCTACTTCGGGATGGAGCAGTTACTGAGGGGAGTGGTGGTTTTTTGGTTTTTTTTTTGTCTCTCAAGTCCCTATTGTCTCCCAAGAAGAAAAAAAGAAAGAAAGAAGCAAAAGAGTTGGCTTCGACGAGCCAGGACTTCGAAGTTGAGGCAAGGTTGTGGAACGCAGAACCTCCATGACATGTCGGACAATCTACCGGTGTTTAAAGGGAAGGACGTACTGTATGAGCGTACCATTCGCGTTCCTGGTCTTGCCTTTGTCAGTACCACATTAGAGAACCAATCTTCCCCTCCCCCCCCCCCCCCACCTTTCTTACGTGAGGGCTTGGATGATGAACCCCGATGCTAAATGCTCCTAGGGATGGATTCAAGGGTTCGCTCGCCTGCATATCACAGCTGCCCGTGCGCGAAGCAACAACCAACCACATTCAAGGACACTTTTATCTAGCCAGTGTCGTAATACCGTCTTGTTTGTACGTAAATTGTTCTCCTCTGCTTTCCATACATGACGTACGCTCGAGTGAAAAGGAAGACAAAATAAATTAAGGAGAGATGAGAAGTGACGGACCTCTGGTGCCGGCTTGCTGCCCCTCACAAAAATGAAGAAAAAGCCAGTTCGTGCCGTTCGTTTCAGTGTTTCACGACATGGCTTGGCAGTGGGCACGGCAGATGCAAATGCGACAGGACGGGCATAGACAGCTGATATGCATGCAAGCTAAGTCGGTATATATGCTGTGTTATGTACAGTCTGCGTAAATTTTTACCAATCATATACACCTACATGACCATTCAGCCATGCCACCTTTCGCCACCAGACAGACCCTCACCGCCCGGATCCGTCGTTATACGTCCCAGCAGAAGACGGGTCCGGTACAGGATGGGTGCAGTGCAGTAGAGTATATATATTCATCCCGCATACCCAAGCTGCTTTCCCCGCCCGCTCACTGCAGCCGCCACCGTGCGGTCAGTGTGTGCGTGGGTTGTGGCTTGCAGCAAGCCATCCACGGGATACAATGGCACGCTGGCAAGGAATCTTCGGACAAAGGACACGGCAAGCTTCTGCAGTGCGACATCGGGAACCTTGGGGCAGCAGGGTGTCCTTCGGATGGAAGCTCCATTGGTCGTGTTGATGTTTCTTGCGTAGGGTCCGAGGCCCGCATTCGTCGGCGACATCATCTGGAAGCAACAGGTGTTGCTGACCTGTTCCCCCTTGGGCGTGTCTGGGGGAGCTTGGCTGCTCGTCTTCGTGGTCTGATTTTCTCCTTCTTGTCGTCAATGCGCCTGTAATCACATGTTTATGGTCATGACGCCCAAATATCAAGTAGTAGACGTAGTGAAAAGATGGCTGGGATGATATGTGTTTTCCAAGTTTTCTCCACCGTTCATCCCATGCAGACAAGACATGCATCGAGAAAAAGAGGGTTTAGGTATCATCGTTCCTAGCGTGGTCTCACCTTCTACTTTTGAGGGTGAATCTGCTGCAGTGATGGGGTTGGTTGAATAGTGAGAGAAGGTGTGACCTTGTTCAGACTCGCAGCAAGTTGGCACTGTAGCGCACGTGAGAAGGCGCGTAAGTCGAGAGAAAGGTGGACCCCTGTCAATCAAGTCGCAGCGCGTCCAAGTTGCCCAATAATGAGTTTGTTACTGCAGTCGCGTCAGATGTACTCGCTGTACTACCATCAACACCAGACGTCAGCAACTGCTTCCGTACTCTGTGTAGTACCAAACTACCACTGAGAATCGCCCCCTAACCCTCCCCCTAGAAGAGGAAAACAAAACAAACAAAACCACCACCAACCAACCGCCACGCCAATCAATGCTTTCCTCTTGCTGATGCCACTCGTTTCGGTCGCGCCCACGGGCCTCCCCAGACCAGTCCCAAATGCCCGTCGAAATAATCAACCTCATCTCGAGCCCCGATGTCTCCCATCCAGCAGCGCCCTCGAGGACAGAGGCGCTACCGCCCACACGGCCTAACAAGCCGCACGCTAGGGTCCTTAATTATGACATCTTCGACTTGACCGACGAAGTCTCGCACAATGCCTCTGGTGTACCTCGGCGCACGCGGGCCGCGTCTGCCTCCCCACCGGCCCAGCGACCGAGTGCCCATTCTCCTCCCTCGCGACGACGCAACGACATTCCTCTTTTCTCGTCCGATGATGACCTCACCTTTGATGTGTTCGATGACGCGCAGCCAGCCCACAAGAAACCGAGGCTCGAATCTCCCAGCACCGGCGACGGCGGCGCCCTGAGCAGCAGGATTCTACAAACAAGACCAGACAACCTGTTAGGGCAGACAAGGAGCATCAGGAACGAGACGGGACCTGGTGTGCTTCAGCCAGCCCGCGCGGGGAGGTGGCAGGTGAACATTGATCCCATCCAGACGAGCAGCGACCCCTTCGCCAGCTCTCCTTTTGCCAAGGTAGATAGGGACAGGGCGAGGGAAGCCAGAGACGAGGAGAAGGAGAACGTCGCCACCATCGCCGACGACCACCTGCCCCTGCTGTTGGACGACGATCCTTTCGCCAGCTCGCCGCGGCTTGCTGAGGTTGAGGGGAAGGGGAAGCAAGCTGCAGCGCTCGGGTTGCCGGGAAAGAGGCACGTGCATGTGCCAAGCTCCCCCATATTTGTGAGCAGCCAACCTTTGGGAATGGATACGGTCAGTCCTACACGGGGAAGGGATGCAAAGGGCAAGGGCAAGAGCAACGGAAAGACCGTCGAATGGGATCATATTTCAAGCTCTGCGCCTGAGGCCGGGACGCGGGATGAATGGGATCTGAATCTGGATCTGGATGACCGCCAGCCGCGCAAGACGTTTAGCAGGAGTCGCTCAGAAGTAGAAGACTTCGATCTGGGAGACCTGCTGTCAGGCTCTGATGACGAAGATGGTTTTCTCGACAACATTGGCGGCACCCGGCCATCCAGGCCGAGCTCGAGCAGCTATGCCAGGTTCACCAACAAGGTTACCAAACGCAGCTCCAAGGAGAAGGACCCCCCAGTTAAGAAGCCCTCAGCTGAAAAGGACCTGGACCGCCTTGACAAGGCGGCTGCCAAGGAAGCCGAGAAACGTCGCAAGCAGCGCGAAAAAGAAGAAGCCAAGGAGCAGCGCCAGCGCGAGAAAGAGCGTGCCGCAGCGCTCGCAGAAGTCAATAAAGTACGGACTGACAAGAAGGTGTCCACACCCGAGATGATTGTCGACCTGCCTTCCTCTCTAGACCCTAACATGAAGGTCCAAGTCGAGGCGCTGCTGGAGGATCTGAGGGTTACGAGTCACAGCTACACCAGCCCCGTTAAGAACGTGGTCAAGTGGCGGCGAAAGGTGCGGGCGCGGTTTCACGAGGGGGAGGGCCACTGGGAGCCCATACCCGAGCGGGTGGAAGACGAGAAGCACGCGATGGTCATCCTGAACGCCCCCCAATTTGTAGAGCTCGCACTCGGTGTTAACGGCTCTGATCTGGAGGCCCACATACTCGAAATGCAGCGGCACTACCGGCATCATACGATTATCTACCTGATTGAGGGGTTGACGTTGTGGATGCGCAAGAACCGCAACGCGCGGAACAGGCAATTTCAGTCTGCAGTTCGCAGTGCCGGCAGCGGCGGCGGCGGCGACGATGCAGAGATCCCCAGCACTCCTCTTGCTGCTGAGCCCGCACCGGCACCGGCACAGACGAACAAACGACAGCGAAAGAAAAAGGATCCCAAGCCACCACCCCAGTACATCGACGAAGATGCGCTTGAGGACGCCCTCCTCCAGCTGCAGGTACACCACGGCGTGCTGATCCACCACACGGCGGCGGCGGTGGAGACGGCGCACTGGGTGGCCATCTTCACGCAACACATCAGCACGATCCCCTACCGACGGCAGCGCGACGCAGTGAACGCATCGGCTGCGTTCTGCATGGACAGCGGGCAGGTGCGCACGGGCGACGGGGCAAGAGACACGTACGCGCGCATGCTGCAGGAGATTGCGCGGGTGACAGCGCCCATCGCCTGGGGGATCGCGGCGGAGTTTGGGAGCGTGAGCGAGCTCGTGCGAGGGCTGGAGAGGCAAGGCCCGCTGGCGCTGGAGGGCATCCGCAAGAGCGCGAACAAGGATGGGGCGTATACCGATCGGATGGTGGGCCAGGCGGTCAGTCGGAGGGTGTATAAAGTCTTTATGGGGAGGGATGAGACGAGTACTGATATTTGAGATGCGAAAGTACTGTACTGTTATAAGACGATGTCTTGGGAGAGATCAGCATTTCTTTTGCCCCGCCAAGGAAGAACCAGTATGGATCATGGTCGAGCTTATGGATATGCTCTCATGTCTTGGAGCTGTGGAGGCCGTCTTAGCATATTGAACCTGAACTCTGGATGCCATGCTCCTTCTTTTTTCAAGACATGATTAAATTACCCATCAGCGTTCAATCATGCTGGCTATGTTTATGGGAAGAGGAGAAATACCAGACTTGGACCAAATTTTGTGCTTTATCACTAACAATCCAATCCTATCTAGCTCCTGGATCGAATATAGCCTCGCTACTTCATCTACACATTTGGAGCCAATCAAGGAGTTGAAGTGGTTTGTTTGTTTACTTTGCTGTTGAAGTGCTTACTTGGGCCTCAACTGGCCGCCAATAAGCGAAGACCTCGGCCCGCCCTGGTTACATCATCAGTGGCTTTGTACCCCCGGTCCCCGACCTCGACTCTTCCTCGCAAGGAACGACGACAACGACATCAACAATAACCCTACACACGAGAAAACAGAAAGAGAAAAGAAAAAGAAAAGAGATAGAGGAGCAGCCTCTGGCAAGGCATGCCTACTTTCTCAAAGTGAGCGTGCTCAGGATGAAGTGCCTACGAACATCAGCGCCTAGACCATCTCCCCTCCTCCTCCGTCTTAGCAGGAGCAGCCGTAGTACCCCGCGATGGGGCCTACGAGCCTCCTTCGCAACGACCACAGATTCGACAACAAGCTCACAACAGCAGCAGCAGCAGCAACCCTCCTTTGACAACCGCGTCAGGATCGTCGAGGTGGGACCACGAGATGGGCTGCAGAACGAGAAGACGACGATCCCGCTGGCGACCAAGATCGAGCTGATTGAGAGGCTGGCCAAGACGGGGTTGGCAAATATCGAGGCTGGGTCGTTTGTGTCGCCGAAATGGGTTCCTCAGGTACAACAAGACTGTCTCTTGTCCATACATATCCATAAATACTGGCTCAGAACCCTGGGGGCCAGAAAGCTAACACGCACGCCCCCCTCGCAGATGGACAGCTCCAACGAGATTCTCGAACACATCCTCAAGAACAAGATCCCCTCTCCAGGACCCATCACCTACTCCTTCCTCGCTCCCAACACCAAGGGCCTCGACAACGCCACCGCCATCCTCCACGCCCACCCAGACAGCTTCGTGACCGAGTCCACCCGCCAGCATGAAGAAACACTTTCTTCCTCCTCCTCCTCCTCCTCCTCCTCCTCCTCCTCCTCTTCCACTCCCAGGCCCGAGATCGAGCTCGCCGTCTTCGCCGCCGCCACCGAGACCTTCACGCAAAAGAACCTCAACTGCGACATAGCCACATCGCTCAGCCGGTTCCGCGAGGTCATCGCCGGCGCCAAGCGCAGCCTCCCCGGGATCCGCGTGCGCGCCTACATCTCGGTCGTCCTGGGGTGCCCCTTTGAGGGCTACGACGTGGACCCGCACCGCGTGGCGGCCATCGCCACGGACCTGCTCGAGATGGGCGCCGACGAGATCGCGCTGGGCGACACCACGGGCATGGGCACGGCGCCGCGCACCGCACAGCTGCTGCGCGGGGTCGCGGCCGCCGGCGTGCGCGTCGAGGACATTGCCGTGCACTTCCACGATACCTACGGGCAGGCGCTGGTCAACACGGCCGTGGCGCTCGAGCATGGCATCCGCACGTTTGATGCCTCGGTCGGCGGGCTGGGCGGGTGCCCTTATAGCCCTGGCGCGACGGGCAATGTCGCCACCGAGGATGTGGTGTACTTTATGGAGAGCCTGGGCATGGACACGGGTGTGGACTTGGATGCCGTGGCGGATATTGGCGAGTGGATCACGGGGGAGATTGGGAAGAGTAATGATAGTGCTGTTGGGAGGGCGGTGCTGGGTGCGAGGAAGAGATCCTAGGAGGAGGAGAAGGGATGGAACAGGGTATCATTGAGAGCAAAATGGGGGGAAAGGCAGATCAATGGCCAAGGCCACTTTGGAGCTTGTCTTTATGATAAAGAGCAGAAGGTCAGTCAGGGCTGCATAGTCACTCGTCATCATGATGGTGAGAATTTCGAACAATTGTATTGTGATCTATGTGAATTAACATCCTGCTATATCTTCTACGAGCCTTGTGCAGCCCACACTTTCATCACTTCAGCAAAGTATCTCATAGTTACATACTGCTTCACCACAAGTATAGCTGGTGTTTCCTTTCTAGCCTGTGTCTTCCATAGCAAGACATCCCATAAGTAAAGGATAGTGGTTTACTGGTTATTATAAACCGACCACTCACTTTACTCATCTTGTCTTCAGAGAGGACCTATATCAATAACATCTATAACACTCCATCAAACGCCACATTATATTACTATTATCAGGTAGATAGATAGCTAGCCATAGAAGCTTCTCTGGCCATGCCACATCTTGCTCCCAAACAACCACAATGCTCCAACCCACCAACTAGATTCTCTTGATCATCAACTGTATCGTGTCGAGGAAGAGACAGACCCCCTCCGATGAATACCCCTCCACAAATCAGACAACCCTCCTATGTGCTGAACCTCCCCCCTCCCCTTCTTCTCATCCCGGTTTGGTCTGGGCTATGCTGTACTGCCACATCGTCACCATCACTGTTGCTTGTCCCAATGACTTGTCACTGTCCAGCTCCTCCTCCCCGGATCCTTCACCCTGGATGACTTTGTACCTCGTCACTCACTCGATAGGATTACCAGCATCTAGATAGCCATTCCCTTCCACACCTTATAACATAGCAGGTCCTGACATCAGAGAGGCATTGTGATGGTATAGGTCGCTTTCACCCGCACTTCGTCTCCGCTTTAGAGCCCTGGCGATATATGCATATCCCACCAACACGTAACAAGAAACAAGGACGACACATACACACGAACTGACACGAACAAATTCTTTTCCTTCTCGTGACAAGTTGCAGACTGTAAACAAGAAATAACCTCAGACCACAACCTTGATTTCTTCCCTTTAGCATCCATCTGCTGACTTGAGCTTTTCTCCTTCTTCAGATCTTCAGCTGCTGCTACACTCTCCAAGCATACACAGCCTCTTCTTGTGTTAATCTTTTTCAAAGACAGGCTGTGCTTGCTGCAGCTGCAGCTGCTACTACTCCTGGCACAGAGATCTTCTTCACTTCACACAAAAACACCTCATTGTTTCCCCCTTGACTGCAGTCAAGAGTCCTTTTGTGTGGCAACCCATAAACATAAACAATGGTACGCTCATCGAGCTCATGCGAGGCCAAACGCCAGGCCGACGGCGGTGACCAAGACTCCTCCACGACAGTCCCTCTCCGCACCGGCTGGCGCCACCCAACTGCTCAGACGAATTCAACCCAAGCCACTGCGAGGCCACGCCGCAACGTAACGGCGCCTATGGGAGTTGGAGGGGTCCCCGCCCAGCAGCATAATGATGCTGCTGCTGCTGCTGCTGCTGCCGCTGCCACCCATGGTCAGGAGGGCATTCGCAGGCTGACCGTCAACCAAGGGCGAATCTCGGTGACAGGCGCAAGGGGTATCGCGCCCGCCGAAGACGCCATCCATGTGCGAGCGAACACCGTATCCTCAAGCAAGAGAATCAAGGGCAAGACTCAGGCCTCGGCTGAGAAAGTCGAAGAGAAGAAGGAGGACATCTCGACGTGCAGAGATGTCCACAACAAAGATACCATCGTGTGCTACTTTCCCCATGGTAAGGGTGAGACCAAGTACGTCAACAAGAACGTCAAGAAGGAGAAGAACCAGACGCCCGCCGGCAGCGACATCTCGTCGCCCCAGTTGCACGGGACACGGCGCTCAGAGCGGCGCGCCAACATTGAGCCCGAGTTTGCTGGTCTCCCACGTCCCACGCGGACTGGATCTAGTGTGCAGGGCTCACAAGCCTCGCAGGCCTCGCAGGTTGGTGTCAAAGACCAAGGCGGACAGGCCCGCACATCGGCGACCGCCAATTCTGCCAACCCTTCCAATAATACCACCACTGGCCACATCGCTCACGCTCGCACCGACTCCAAGATGATGACGACGATGACGGCTAACAACGCACAGCCCACCACCAGCGGTCGTGTCACTCGCAGTAAGACCAAGGCCAACAACGCCAACGTCAACATTAACACCAATACCGCATCATCCTCACTGGCGGTTGCACCGTCCTCCCGCCCCATGAACCGCTCCCGCACCCAGAACATCAGTTCGATCACTAACACGGGCAGCGGAGACAATAGTTCTTCTGGCCCAGCATTCGCTTGGGACGTCCCCGACCCCAAGGACACATTGAAGAAGCGGCCCCACTGGAAACAGAAGCGGATGACATACCCTGAGGGCTACGACCCGCACACGGTGGATGAGGTGGCGGCGCATGAGGCCAAGTACGCAAGACGCCTGGCCATGTCTGGTTCTGGTGCTGCAGAGCAATATTCCGAGAGCAACGTCCGGGGCGCGGTGGACGAGGACCCGAGGGAGCGCGAGGTGAAGAGGGTCATGGGTAAGATGGTTAAGGAGGCCATGGCCAAGAACAAGGCCGAGGAGGAGGCCGAGAAGCGCAACAAGGCTCGTATGCACCCGGATATTTCCACCTCGTTCAATAAGGACGTCCGGGAGCGTCAGCCCGCCGCTCCTCGAAACGCGCCTCAGGCTGGACGCTTCCCTCCTGTCGTCGATGGCCCTCGCCCAGGACAGATGAGCACGGCCCCTGCCGAGTTTTTCCCCGGTCAGACTGCTCATATGTTTCCCCCTGGCAATGCGCATAATCGCATGCGAGACAACGCATCCTCGTTACGGTTGGGGCACGAGGAGGACGAACCGGACTTGCTACAGCTAGTGATGGACCGGATGCACGAGACTGAGCAGAGAGACATATGTGCAGGCCGCGCCCCGTTCCAAAGCACTGCGCCCATGTACGACTTGCAGTACCGTAACCCCGTCGCGTCTGGACGTATCGGTGGACGGCACAATGAGAATGGCTCAGTGGCACAGCTTCAACGTCAGCCCTCTCTGTCATCCCAGCAGCAACACCCTGCCCAGTAGGATTGGCGTGGCGAGCAGCAGGGCGGCGAGGGCAATGGTCGAGACGTATACAACACTCGAAGCTTGAACGTGCCGACAGGACGCCATGGCATGCCACGCGAGGAGCCTCCTCCGCCGAGCCAGCCCTTCCCACCCTTGACAGGACCGTGGTCGACATTCCCAGAGAATCTGCAGCGGCCGATGGACCAGCCTGAGAACGTGGGCGGACGAGCTGACGGTTTGCATCGTCAAGGCCCATCTGCTGGTCGTGGTGGCGGCGGTGGTTATGGTGCCACTGGTAGAGGTGGTTATGCTGGTGGTTCCCAACACATGGGACAGCCTCGGCGCCAGTAAGATGATGCATGACGGATGGATAAGATGTTGGATCCTTCGTCTTTTGGAGCATGGTGAGATCCAATCTTTTCTTTTTGAGAGGAGGGCAGACGGAGGAAAACCACAGCAGAAATTTTGGGAGGGACTGATTTGAAAGGTGCTGAGAAAACAGTCCTCATTCTCATATCATGAGAATGATTCATGAGAATGATTGGTCCCAGCTGGCAGCCACAATGGACTGGCCATAGTGTAAGAGTACTATGATGAATGGCGTAAAGCCAGCCCATCCCGTTGCAAGCAGAATTCTATCAGAGTTGTCCCACATATTTGCTTGTCGTTTTCTCGCTAGTTCACTTCAATGCACCATGTCCTCCTGTCCAAGTAACATCAGTAGATGATGTCAGCTATGTCTGCATTATGACATTGTCTGAGCTCGACGACGATGACGAGAATAAAAGGATGGGGATAGGTTGGAGGAAGGAAGGCTACTATTATTCACATACCAGGCAAACAGACAAGAGGAAACTGAAAAGAGTGCATGCATGCAAAAATCCTTGCCTCCAACTGTACATTGGAGGTCCAGGCCCAGGGCCAGGACTGGCATCAGGCACCACTGTCGTGACCTTTCTCTGCCTATTTATTGACCTTTGGCAAAGGTGCAGGCCACAATAAGAGGGAAACATGCTGTTGCCTCGACATAGACCTTGACGCTCTCAGCATCAGGCTTGATCTTTCCCCAGCTTACTGCTTCATCAGGCCTCGCGCCAGCGTCGCTTCCATCAAACTCCTGGGCGGTGTTAATATAGACAGCGTAGTCGGCGCCGTTCCTCATCAGATTGGCATTGGCAATATGGTGCTTGACGACGCCGCCGCCCAAGATGATCATGCCGGTGCGCTTGGCGCGTACAGCGATCGTGTTGAGACGGCGGATGTCCTCGACAATGTCGATCCTGAGGCACAGGGGCGAGGACTTGAAGGTGTGGAAGTACAGCATGTCGCCTAGGCTGCCGTCGGTGAGAGCGGGGCAAAAGACGGGAATTTTGTTCTTGTAGGCCCAGTAGTAGACGGACTCTTCGTTGTTGATCTCCTTGCCCAGACGGTGGATGACCTTGGACGGGGTCCAGACCAGCTCGCCATCGACCTCTTCGCCCCACACGTCGACATGCCGCCCAGTCTTCTTGCTGTGCTCCTGCTCCTCGAGCATCTTGTCGAGGATAGGCACGACCCAGTCCTCGAACTTGCAGTAGTTCTCGTTGGGCACGACCATGTTGCCGATGCGGTTGAGCCCCTTGACACGCATCTCGGCACCGGGTGTTGTGAAGCTGCCCATGTAGGTCTGGCCGAGGCACTTGATAAAGTCCTCCTCGATGCCGCCTGCGGTGGTGACGACGCACGAGACGTGGCGGTGCTCGACGAGCCAGCGCAGGGTGCCGCGCAGGCCCGAGGAGATGAGGTTGGAAGTGTAACCCAGGAAGATGGTGGTCTCGGCACCTGTGTCAGGGTCGCGCCAGGAGCGCATGTTATTGATGATGTCCACAGCCCTTGCCTGAGCGGAAGCCTGAATGCCCATATGTCTCATGCCTTGCAGGAGATCAGCGGCGGCGATGGGGCGCGGGAGCTTGTTGAAATCGAGCTCCTGCACGGGCTGGGAGCCTGGAGGCATCTTGCCGCTAACGAGGACAGCATCTCTGGCCGTGGAAGGCGCGCCTCCTCCTCCTGCTCCTGCTGCTTCTTCCTTTTCTGGGTGGGGTGACATGATGAGAGCTGATGAATGGATAAGAAAGTGGCACAGTGTAACAGAAGAGAAAAGCCTGCAGATGCAAGTTACCAGAGAGAAACAAGGTGTACTATAACATGAGAAAAATAGAGTGAATGTTGTTATTGCTGTTGTCTGACCGAAGCTTCAGTCCGTCATTTGAAGACTGAAATCATGGAAAATTTGACTGAAGTTGCCATTCGCTTGTTTAGGCGGCAGTCAGTATGTATACAGTACGTACCAGCGTGGGCGAGGATGCCACCGTGTACTACCAGCAAGCGTAGGGCAACAGCACACGAAGGAAGACACAACCAACATGAATATCATAAAAGAATTAAAGCAATTTTTTGAAGGTAAGCTTTGTTTATTTTTCCAATCTTCTCATTTTTATATGTTTATTCAACTTCTTCTATTGGAGCACATAGTAAACTCGAATGATGGCTTGCATGGCTTGTCACAGGGCTGAGAGGCCAACCCCTGCATTGGTCATCTGCGTCTTCTAGGTGTCAAATCAGAAAAAAGAGAATTAGAGAAAAAAATCATCGGAAGGAAAAAAAAAAAAAAAAATCAATTCAAAAACTTTGAAACGTGGGACCTTGTTGAAGAGCGCGTGGAGAGAAGAGGGAATGCAGGCGCGGCACTCGGCAGGGCTACGGCACAGCACCTAGACTAATCCCTGAGTGGAGAGGTAGCGCCATCTGCTGTGGTGGCACCTTGTCATGCTTGTCATGCTGCTATGGCACTGGCTGGTTGCTCTTGCTGGCAGACCACCCACTTGCCCAGCTATATTACGGTACCACAGTACGTAGTATGGATGGTGGCCAGGGTGGTAGCGCCATAGTGTGTACGTACTGCAGTATGCCCGCTGGGGTGGTACCGTCCCCAGCAACTTGCCACCCCTCCCTCCACTGTTTCCCTGTCATGAGCCGCCAAGGACAGGGACTCCCCAGTGATCCCCGACCATGGTATCGTGCTAGGCTGTCTTAGCACCTTTGTACCCTCCGCAGAACACCGTGCTACAATGGTACATAGCACCATACTAATTGTACCTAGGACGGATGGTACTTTGTAGCAGTAACTGTAGTAAGATTGGATCTAACCCTGCTGTGGGTGGTGGCCGGTAAGGTGGCAGCACGCCCTTGCCGTTTGGGGGGAAGGAAAAGGGAAGAGGGGGGGGGGCCTTGACCTGTCTTCGATCCGACCTCTGGAACCTTGACTTTGACTTCTCACCTTTGAGGCTGCACCCAAAAAGAACAAACCAACCACCACCGCCGCCACAAGCACGACTACACCATACACAACCACACGCAGACGACCACAACGACGCTCACGACGTGCCTCAGTCCCCTCTCGGGCAGCCTATGACCTTCTCTGGGTCCCTCTCGCCCCTCTGATCGGGATTAAGGCTGTTGTTCCCCACGCGTTGGGAGGCGCCAAGTCAAGCAATTCTGGGTCCTCCTTTCGTCCACAGCAACCTTCGTCCCCTCTGGCCACCACCGGCTGCTGAGTCGAGTCATCCATCGTTCAAGAAGATCCACTGCACGAAAATCGACATGTGCATTGTTTTCGCATCTGTCCCCTCCCGCTTCCGCTTCTGACAGACATCCACATCAGGGGCAGCATTCGTTGCCCTCTGAGAGAAGACATGTATGCTGAGCCTCTTCTTTTTTTTCTTCTCTGAAAGGCATTTCGTTCTCGTCCTGTGCTGCTTTCTGTACACCCTCTTCGATCGATCTCAAAATAGTCTCCTCTCTCTCTCTCTCTCTCTTTTCTCCTATTGAGAAGTCTCCATTATAAACGTACAGAACACGTTCACAGCATCTCCTGGCACATCTTTCCCCCCATCTTTGTTCTTTTCTTTTTCTTTTCCTTGCATGTCTGTCACTGCTGGCGTCAATATTTGTTCCCCACCACCAACAACCCTGATTAACAAAACCACCCATCTTATTTTCAATGTCGTCTGACAGTACCTGGTCTCGCGTTTCGCTACTACATCTGTTCTCGCGACCTTTCCCCTCATCTCTTGTTCCTCTTTCTCTTTCTCTTCCTGTTTCTTTTCCTTGCCCTCCTTCCTCTCCTCCCACCCTCTGGTGCAGCACCGCGTTGGCAGTCCATCGACCATGCGCCCAAATCAGTATCGACCTCCCAGCCGAGGCTACAACAGCAACAACAACAACAACAACAATGGCCAGCTGGGCATGCCGAGGCTGCCACCTCTAAACACTGATGTCTACCCTGATGATGTCTATTATGCTCAACCTCCTCTCGACTACAGGTCTCGATACAACCCTCGTTACGACGACCGCCGCTCCCGCTCCCCGAGAGACAGGTCGCCCGACAGGCTCACCGACCGAAGCTCCCAGTACGGCGACAACGACCGTCGCCGAACCTCTGGCGAGGCGAGAACAAATGCAGCCCCCTTCCAGTCCAACCGAGACGGATTCCGCGAGTCCATGACCGGCCGCGAGCCCCCACGAGGCCCCAAGGCTTATCTGGACCCTCCCAGCGGCCCACGCGGCGGCAGCTTTGCCGGTGACTTTCGAGGGAGAGCCCGTGGCGGCAGGGGCGGCGGAGGCGGTGGCAGAGGAGGCGGCTGGCGCGACGAGAGCAGGGATCGTGGCCGCGAACGAGATTTTAGAGATAGGAGAGAGGATGGTCCGCCTTTTCGAACCGACCGTAGTAGGGAGCGGGAACGTGACTGGCGGGATCGTGAGAGCTTGCGAGGGCGCAGGCCCTCGCCCGTGCCTCGAAGGTCACCTCCTGGGAGAGATTTTCGGGACCGTGACCTCCAGATAGGCATCGAACCTGAACGGCCCAGGAGAGGGTCGAGAGATGGACCGCTGAGTGCTGGGTCCTCGTCTTCAGATCCTCCCTTTGGCTCTCGCGGGCGTGGCCGTGGAGGCCAGCGTGGTCGAGGGGGAGGCGGAGGAGACTGGGACCGTGGTCGAGGGCGTCCTTTTCACGACGACCGAGCTGAGCCTCGATTCCCACCTAGAAGTCGGTCACAGGAGGGTCGCTGGGGCGGCCGTGACCGCGACGAACGCGATATCCCCCGGTTTTCGGACATGGATGTGCGCCTTCGCGACGGCGTCAGGGAGGAACAGCGTGAGCTTTTCCCCAATTCGACACCACGCGATCCCCGCGACAGTGTCGAACGCAATATCAACAGCCGCCCGAAACCCGAGCGACAGGCCTCCGTGATTAATGAGCCCCCCTCGGCCTCGAGCGTTAAGGCCACCACCCCTCCACTTGCTCCCGTCCCTCCAGCCTTTGGCTCGGCTCCGACCCGTCCCCCACCCGCGCCTGATGCCCCTCCCTCCTCCTCCTCCTCCTCCTCCGCCACCACCGCCAAGGCACCGCCCACCGGGCCACGAGCTCTGACTGAAGACCGTCAAGACCGGCCAGTCTCGTCTGACAAGTCGGCCAGCGACACCTGGGCACCTGCTTCAGGGCCTCCCAAGTCCACCAGCCCTACAATTCCCACCGGCCCTCGCGCGCAGCAGCTGCAGAAACAGCCTCGCCCCTCTAGCAAGCAGTGGATCAACCCTGCTATTGTCAGCAACAAGGGTAGCATCAAAGCACCTGACTCTCCCAAGATCAACCGGTCTCAGAGCTTTGCCTCGCCCACCTCCCGAACTTTTGGTCAGCGGCCTGATTCCTACGCCAATCGACACAGTGACGACGCTCGACGGCCCCGTAGTAGTGGCGCTGGCGCTGAAGGAGAGGGCTTGCATTCTCTGAGTATTCCTGAGGCGGGTGACGCGAAGATCGAGCGTGGCACCCAGTCTGCGCGCGCCTCAGTCGATCGTGATATGCGGGCCATAGCTTGGAAATCCCCAGACATGCGGACCGCCGGATCAGGAGGAGGAGGAGGAGCAGCAGGAGGAGACGTATCAGACCGCATTAGTGTTGCGTCTGCAATCTCTCCCACTGCGGTCAAGATAGTCAGTCCCGCAGTAGCCCGCTCGGCAGAGCAACAGGACCAGCAGCGCGCAGCTGACGACGACGACGACCCGATGCATGAAGATGGGGAGATTGTCGACGAGCTGCCCGCCAAGAAGAAGAGACGTCTCAATATCAGTGGCGTCCGGATCTCCCTGCCACCCAGAGCCCCACCGACGATCCCGCCTGTTGACCAGTCGTCAGACTCAGACGATGAGGACATGGGCGACTGGTTCGACGAGCAGATCGCCAAGGCCGAGTCGGAGATGAAGAAACTGGGAGACACGACAACTGTTGTGCCGACCGAGGTTGTCATCCGGTATGCGGCTATGACCCACAACGGCCTGCTGAAGGTGGCAATGGAGAAAGGAAGCCTCAAGGATATGCTAGCCCCTTATCCCAAGGATATTGTCCTGCCAACAGAAAAGCCGGCAACACCAGAGGCAGTGGCCCCAGTGGCTGAGATGACGGGGACAGCAGAAGCAGTAATAGAAGAGGCCACCAAGGTCAAGGCGCCCACCCCGCCCGAGGTTCTGCCTCAAAAGCCCGAGCACGAGGAGCCCCCGGCAAAGGAGGCGGCGGCGGCCCCTGAGCCCCAGCCCAAGGTCGAGGAGATGGAGGTGGACAGCGCTCACGTTCCCATCCCGACTGTCGAGCAGCCTGAACCCCAAGATGAACAGGGAGACATCACGATGGAGGATGCACAGATGAACCATGGCCCAGAGCCCTTGGTCCCCGAGACTGAAGCAGTAGCGATCAACGGCGTCTTACCCCACGGCGACCAGCAACACCTCCTCGTACCTCCAGGGCTCGAGCCACCCGCCACGGCCACAAACAGCCCGACCCCGATGCTGGAAGAGGAGGATGACACCGATGTCGAGGTGGATTCGGACACGCTGGATCTTGTTCGTGCGGCCATGCAGACGCCGCCTGTGGAGGATCTGCCCTTCTTCAGCACCAGACCCTGGCAGGAAAGCAAGACGGCCATGAAGTCCATGCAGTGCAATCCAGACGTCGAGAGCTATATCGCGCGCGTGCTGCAGCAAGACGCCACGTTCACCCGGGCTGACCAGGACGAGAAAAGGATGGAGTACAAAGGCAAGTACGAAGCGTATTTGCGGTTCACCCTGTCCGACGACCCCGTTGCCGTCAAGAGCCGTGAGTTTTTCAACAAGTCGAACCCGCCTATTGATGGCCTGGGGCCAGTGCCGACTGGGAACGAGACAAAGTCCGAGGGCCGCAGGGCCGGCAGGTTCGCCACGGAGCGTGACATGGAGCGCATCATGGCGCAGTCTCTCCTCGAGGCCAGGGAGAAGGAAGAGCGCGAGACCAGGGCCGAGAAGCTGAAACATCCTCGGGAGAGCGAGGCTGTCATCCCAGACATGTACTGGACCGAGGAGGACCGCAGAAAGGAGACGTTTGTCGACACCTCGGGCTATCTGGACCCAGAGAAGCTCGTCGCAAACTGGCAGGTGCTGCCGCCGCTGGCCAACTTCACCGAGGAGGAGGCAGCCCAGTTCGAGAAGGCCTATCTCGAGTTTCCCAAACAGTGGGGCAAGATTGCTGAGCAGGTCCCCAAGCGTGACTTCCACGCGTGCATCCAGTACTACTACATCAAGAAGAGCACTCTCAACCTCAAGGAGAAGCTCAAGAAGCAGCCCAAGAAGAGGAGAAAGGGCAAGACAAAGGCTCGGTCGAGCGCTCTCGCGTATGAGCTGGGGAACCCCGAAGAGCATCAGGAGGAGGCCACAGAGACAGGGGAGAATGGCGAGCGGCGTCGACCCCGCCGTGCGGCTGCTCCAACCTGGGATTTCGAGAAGCCTGTGGAATCGGCCGAGGGCACACCTACCGCCACGCCGAGCGGACGCAGAGGCCCGGGCTCGAGGACGGATGCCAATGGCGAGAAGCCCGAGAAGCCTGCTCGTCGTCCACGAAAACCAAAGGACAAGGAGCCGAAACAGCCCAAGACACCGCAGGCTTTGGCGCCCACCCCAGACAAGGGGGCCGGCCGAGGGGCTAGGTCGCGGTCCAACTCCAAGGTGCCGCCAGGTCTGCCTCCAGGTGCTGGTGGTGACTTGGTGCCGACCCAGAACCCGACGGCCGAGATGGGCCGGGTTCCTCTCTCGTTTGAGCCGCGAAACTCGCCCATGCCCACAATCCCGTCCTCGCTGGCGCTTGTTCCTGGTCACAGCCTGAACCAGGCCGACAAGACGGTAGATATAATGGCCCCTCCCCTGCGGCCCGAGCCTATGGTGCCGCTGCCGCCCAACGTTGCTGCTGCTCCTTTCGACTTCAATCCTCACGCTGCCATCCCTGCCCCTGCTGCGCCTGGCCCCGTCGAGCCGGAGCGTGGCAGTGGTGGTGGCGGTGGTGGCGGCCGTGCTACTCCTGCACCCGGCGCGTCCAGCTACTGGAGTGTTGTGGAGCAATCTGAATTCACAGACCTGCTCCGAAGCTTTGGTACAGATTGGCTTGCCATCTCTCAACATATGACGACTAAGACTCCGACCATGGTAAGACACATAGATCTGCACCGCACCACACGCACTGCCTTTTGATTCTTTTTGGTTGGTATGTTGCTTGCTAATACACTCGAGCAGGTCAAGAACTTCTACAGCAGAAAGTCCAAGGAATACAAAGAATGGAAAACGATTGCCGACGAGGCTGATGGAAAGAAGCAGAGGGGAGAAAAGCTTCCACCTCCACCCGTGTCGACAGCCGCGCCACGGAACAAGAAATACGATCTTCCACCTGCGCATCGTCACGCGCCCTCGTTGGACGGTGTGGTGGACGACGTGATTGCGCCCAAGGTCGAAAAGCAGCAACCCCCGCCAATCAACACCAACTTCCCCCGGCCGATCGCACAAGCACCTTCACAGCAGCAGCAGCAGCCACCTTTGCTGCAGCAGCCACAGGCAGTAATGGGTCAACCCGCGTTGCTAGAGAGGGCGGAGCGCAACGACAGGGTGGAAAGGAAGCCGTTATTATCCTCGCAGCCCGGCACACCATCCCTTGAGCCAGTCAGTCGCCACGTGCGCGCTGTCTCGGCGTTTCCCTCATCCGAGAGAGACACCGAGTCCCTTCTGTTGTCGCAGCATCAGCAACAGCAACAGCAACAACAGCAACAGCAGTCGCTACGGCATACCCTCAAGCCTGGGCCCCTATCAGCCGTCGAACAGCCACCAACGCTGCCATCACAAGCAATGCCGCCTGCTGCTGCTGCTGCTGCTCGTGCAGGCTTTGCTGAATATGATCCACACCTGAACATGCTTAGCGCAACTGCCCGGCAGCGAAAAGGTCCAACGGATCTCCAGCCCAAAGAGGATCCGAGGCTCATGGAGAGACCAATCCTCAAGACAGAGCCTGACACGGGCAACCATTTTGAACCATTCGTGCCGTCACAAGCGCCTCCTCCGAGACCAATGTCTGCCAAGCCTATGCTGATTGACCGGAGAGCCGAGCCGCCCAGGACCACTGGCCCTCCGCCGAGCCAGGTCTATGCGCACACTACGCCAGCCCCACATCAAATGATGATGCAGCAGCAGCAGCAACAGCAGCAGCGGGAACCATTGAGGGAGGGCATGCGAGAGCCGCAGATGATGACTACGCCTGTGGATGAACGTCGGATGGCAAGCATGCCCAGCCGTGTGCCTAACCCAGGCGTCGCGGACGGACGATCAGATGGGCCGCCCCGGATACCGAACCCCAACCTCATCAGCTCTGATGGTGGCCCTCCGCGTGTCCCCAACCCCAACTTGGTACAGCAGGCGCCAGAAGTGGGCGGTCCACCTCGTATACCCAATCCAAACCTGGCCGCCGAGACCCCTACACGCAGCGGCCCTCCACCTGGGGGATATTTTGACACTGGCTACGGCGCGTCTCCTTCTCGCCCGTCCCCTGCACCTCCTACTGCTGCTGCTACCGCTGCGGCCGTTGCCACTCCTTCGAAGCCGCCAGAGCCTCGTAAGACGTCGAACCTGATGGCGCTCCTCAACAACGACGATTCGTCTGCGCCGCCTCCACCGGCCCCCAAGAGGGTTGATGAGGTTGCCAGGGGAGGCATGAGCACAATGTCAAGCCCCACGTTGTCACGACAGCCGCCACCACTGCCACCACATGCATCCGCTGGCCCCTCGCTCATACGAAGAGATGACACAGCACCGACTTATCCGTCCTATACTCGGAACACGCCAGGAGCCTCCGCCATGCCGTCGCTAAAGCCGTACAGCACACCCCACAGCCAATCACCACAGGCGCAGCACGTCGGTGTGTCGAGATCCTCGGTCGTGTCACCTGTCGAGATGGCCAGCGAGAGGGAGTATTATGGACGTCCTGCCCCGTATGGAGGGCAGCACCAGGGGCAGTCGTCTGGATCGCCCCACCAGCCGCACCACTATCCCTCGCCCAGCCAACAGCAGTCGCCTATGGTCTATCAACCGCAGCCGACCTCTTTTCCCGGCTATGGAGCGCCCGTGTCCCAGGCCCATGCCGCCTCGCCGACAATGCAGTACACGCCCACTACGGCCAGGTCGAGAGAGCCGCCGCGCGAGAGCTACCTGCGAGACTCGGTGCCGCCGAGCCGCGAGACAGCGTGGCCCCCGCCGCAAGCTCAACCAACGAGCGCTACAAGGCTGCAGCAGGAGACCCCCTGGCCCGTTCCGAAGTCGACGCCGGCGCCTCCACCGGCACAGTCTCCCTGGGCCACCCAGCATGGACCCGCAAGCAAGCTGCAGTCGGTGCGAGAGCAGTCTGGCCCGTCGTGGTCGTCTGCGCCGCCATCGCATCTTGGTCTTCGTGATAGGGATCCTAGAGAGGTCAGAGACCCCAGAGATAATGGCTACGGCATTGGGAACCTCCGTGACGCTGCACCTGCTCCTCCTCCTCCTCCTCCTCCTCATCATGCACAACAGCCTCCTCGGGATGACCGCTACAGCATGCTCGATGCACAACAGCGCACCATGTCCGATCCCAGGATGGCTGATCCTCGCATGGACCCTCGTGACCCTCGAAACGACCCTCGGAATGACCCACGGAACGACCCGCGAAACGATCCACGCAATGATCCACGCAATGATCCACGGAATGACCCGCGCAATGACCCACGCAACGATCCCAGAATGATGAGCGGCCACGCAACCCACCATTCACATTCGCACTCGGGCTCCATGGGCCGTGCGTATGGATCGTCGCCGGTGCATAGGGAGATGATTGGCGGACCACCGACTGGGCCACCGCAAGCCCAGCAGCCACCCAGCTTCCCGCGCTACGGCACGCCGTCACGCGACATTGCACAGCCGCCGGCCAGGAGCTACACGCCTGCACCAGCCCAGCACTACGAGATGCAGATGCGCGACCGTGAGCTGCGTGACCGCGAGTTCCGAGCCGCAGAGATGCGCGAGCGTGAGTTTCGAGAGGCCGAGATGCAGCAGCGGGACCACGGGCTGCGACAACAGATGGAGATGAGGGAGAGGGAGAGAGAGATGCAGCAGCAGGACCACGAGCTGCGACAACGGATGGAGATGAGGGAGATGAGGGAGAGGGAGAGAGAGATGCACGCGGCGGCCGAGCTGCGCGACATGCGCATGCGTGGCGGGCCACAGGAGTATGGCCGAGGACCACCTCCACCGCCACAACCCGAGTACCACGGCGGACCGGCAGATTTCCGCGCGGAGCTTAGGAGCGCGCCGCCTCCACAACAACAGCAACAGCCGCCGCCGCCGCCGCAGCAGCAGCAGCAGGTAGATCCCAGAAGGCCTCAACTCCGGCCCCCTCACGACGGATATGCGCACAGCCCTTTGGATAGAAGATATTAGCTGGAGAGGGTACAAATATGGATACCTAGTCATAAGTTCGAGGATGTTCAGTTGTTTCAAAAATAACCAGTGTCAAGAACAGATATTAATGGGAAAGACTACAAGGCATATATAAGCCCACCAAAGTCACTTATTCAGCCTTGAGGCATCTCGAGGTCAGAGAGAAAGGGAGAGAGACAAAGAGAGAAAGCATTTCTTGAAAGAAGAAGAAGAGGGTGCAATTTTTGCTCCTCAGGATACTTGGCAAGAATAAATTGTTCAATTACTTGTACATGTTTCTGTGTGCAGCCTTGTGTAGGAGTGTATGTACAACCCCCAGGGAATGATTTTCGATATCCCCCACCTGAACATGAACAATACATAAGGATTCTTTGAATTGAATCTGTTGTTTTCTTTACCATCTCACCAATTTTAAATTCCCCTTGAAGAAAAAAAGAACCTACTTATCACAATCAAGTATTGCTTGAATCTCAGGATGTATTTGCCAGGCAAGCATTTATTCACTGGAGTAGATCTGACTTCAATTTGGCATTTTGTATAATAGAACAGCGAGTATGTACTACTACCTTGACTGGTGTGGGGAAGTGCGGAAATCAATTCTTGGAGGGGTGTATATAGAAATAGATGTATGATCAATGTAACTCTTCAACAACACCTGTTTCTGCCTGGTTGTTCGGTCCAAGGCAAGCTTGTCGCCGGCGGAACGGGCAATCTAGACACCTTTCCTATCTTTCTTTTCACACTTGTTGGTTTTTACATTGTGGACCAGGCTATTGGATCTCTTGCATGGCTCTGCCCAAGCAAGAGGCTGTGGGATCCATACTGGAAGTCTAGGCTGGGGTGTAGGAACCTTATACGAAAAGGGGGTGGACGGAGAGGCATCCTGAGAGGCTCTACGCTGTGGTTGCAGTGCACAGCCTGCTTCAGAATTGCATGTTGGCGCATGCAGTCAGCAGCCCACACACCAGCATGCATTAAGAAAGGCAAAAGCGCAGACTGCGGCTGAGAGAAAACCGCTGGTGTTCAGCAGCCAGCCGCAGTCTACTAGATGTTTCAGGTGGGCGTGTATCTTTTTCCACTGGTTGGATAGCAGCTGTTCAGGACTTGTCACTTGACAGTTCCAAGGCGGCGCTGTGTGGTCAAGCTGTGTGCTTAAGAGTGTGTGGTAGCCAGCTCGTCAGGCTGCCCTACCCAACACCGAGCAGTCTCCCCCCCTTCTTCTTCTTCTTCTTCTTCCTCTTCTTCTCTCGCATGCTCATCAAAGCCAAAGTACTACTTGTTCCAAGGTGTTATCAATTTCATATTCTCTATATCAATGACTTGCTCCAAGAACCGCGACGACTACACAGTCGGATGGGTGGCCGCGCTCTCGATCGAGCGGGCCGCCGCCATCGCCATGCTCGAGGAGAAGCACGACAAGCCTCTCGACTTCAGCAACCCAACCAGTGACCCAAACACATATGCATGGGGCCGTATCGCCGAGCACAACATCGTGATTGCATCGCTGCCTGCTGGGGTGTACGGGACCACATCAGCCGCAACAACTGCCACAAATATGCTCTCCTCTTTTCCCAACGTCCGCGTTGGCCTGATGGTTGGCATTGGGGCTGGCATCCCGGACTTGGACATCCGGCTTGGCGATGTCGTCGTGAGCCAGCCGTCAGGAACGGGTGGCGGCGTACTTCAATACGACCTGGGCAAGGCCCATGCTGGGAACCGGTTCGAGCACAAGGGCTTTCTCAACGCGCCGCCCCAAGCTCTCCTCACAGCCCTGGGCGCGCTGCAGGCTGCCCATGAGATGCAGCCCTCCCGAGTTCCAGAGTTCTTGGGAGAGATGCTCGAGAGATACCCACAAATGGCGAAGGGAACTGCAACAAAACCAAGCTATGCGTTTCCTGGGCGCCTGCACGATAGGCTGTTCGCGCCGACCTACAAGCATGCCGCAGGGAGGAGAAGTTGCCAGCAGTGCGATCCGGCACAGGAGATTCCCCGCGAGGAACGTGAAGAATCCGATCCCGTTATCCATTATGGCTTGATCGCGTCAGGGAACACGTTGGTGAAGGATGCCGAGGCGAGGGACGCTCTCTTGGCGGAGCTTGGTGATGAGTGCATGTGTCTGGAGATGGAGGCAGCAGGGCTGATGAACAGCTTCCCCTGCATTATCGTGCGAGGCATCAGCGACTACGCCGACTCGCACAAGAACGACCGGTGGCAGAGGTATGCAGCGGCGGCGGCGGCGGCTTTTGCCAAGGAGTTCCTATCGTGCGTCCCTGCGAGCGATGTACAAAACACCCCAAGCGCGGTCAAGATTCTCCAGGACAGTAGGTAGACCTATTAATTACCATCCCTTCTTATAGGATTGAGCTCTGGTTTCTAACACATGCTATATCAGTAAACCAAAAGATGGGCGAGATTCACCACGATACAAAAGCGGGCTTTGACAGCATGCATCTGCAGAAGAGACAGGAGAAACTCGATGCCTGGCTGTCCGCGATAGACCACTCCACCAACCAACAGAGGGCTCGGGACACGCGCCAGGAGGGCTCAGGCCAATGGTTTCTTCAAGGCGAACACTTTTCAACCTGGCAGACAGAGCCTGCTTCCTTCCTCTGGCTACACGGCATTCCCGGCTGCGGCAAGACAGTGCTCAGCTCTGCCATTGTCGACCATCTCCAACAGACTCCTTCCGATGGCGATTCCGACATCTTGTTGCTCTATTTCTACTTCGACTTCACCGATAGCCGCAAGGAGTCACTAGACAATGCAGTTCGATCCCTTATCAGTCAGCTCTACTACAAGGAGCCACAGTCGCAGAAACACTTGGATCTGCTCTGGTCCCAGAAAGGCAGAGAGCAGCCAAGTACTCAAGAACTATCCAGCACCTTTGAGAAGATGCTCGAAGATGCTGGTGAGGTCTGGGTCATCCTCGATGCACTTGACGAGTGCAAAACTCGAGACGGGTCCCCAGCGCCAGGGCTTCTAAAGTGGCTCGAGAATCTCCACTTGCGCCACAAAAGCCTACACCTGCTCGTCACTAGCCGCCCAGAAAACGATATCAAGTCAGCAATTGAGAGTTTTGCCAAGAAGGAATGGGTTCTTTGCCTAGAGAGCCATCTTGTTGCAAAGGATATCCACAACTTCATCCACGAACGAGTTACAAAACATGACGACCTCAAGAGATGGCGCAAGCGTCCAGAGGTACAGCAGGAAATCGAGCGCGTTCTACAAGCTAAGAGCGACGGCATGTATGTATAATGTCCTTATACTGTCATTGGTGCAACTAATCAAGTGTATGCAGGTTTCGCTGGGTAGCATGTCAGCTGCAAATCCTCAAAGATTGCACAGACTATTTCTTGTTGAAGAAGGCCTTATCATCCTTGCCCGAAACATTGAGCGCCACATATGCGCGGATACTTGAGAGCATTCCTGAGATGCATCTACCCTCTACTGCTCGAATCTTACATTTCCTGATATTATCGGACCGTGCGTTGCGTCTCGACGAGGCTGTCGATGCGATCGCAGTACAACCATCGGAGAGACCCCGATTCAATCCTATCAACCGCATGCCCGATCCTCTCGAGATATCACGGTACTGCTCCAGCCTAGTGATCCTCACAACAAGAGACACTGGAGAAGAAGAAATTGTTGAGATGCAGCTCGCTCACTTCTCAGTCAAGGAGTTCTTCCTCTCTAAGCCTCCCAATCTATTGAAGCCTGGAATCAACAAGTATTTTGGCGACAGAGCAGCCAGAATCACTTTTGCAGAAACCTGCCTCTCCTACTTGCGAGAATTGAACGAGACTGACTCTATCTACACAATTCTGGAGTCGCGTCCATTCGCCTTGTACTGTTCCGAGTACTGGTCACGCCATGCCGCCATGGTGGAGGACGAGGAGAGTGTGGCGAGTCTAGTCCAAGCTTTTTTTACGGATCCCGGTTTCTATACAACATGCTATCAGTTGTTTAATCCTGACTGGCCTTGGAAAGCCCTCCCAGGAAAGTCGGATGTAGAAGCAGGAGGCTTGTATTATGCTTCTCAAGGAGGGTTCAAGCAGGCAGTGACAACACTGCTCAATAGAGGTGCTGATGTGAATGTCCAGGGCGGAAATCACAGCAATGCTCTCACAGCAGCTTCAGCCAAAGGACATGAACAGATTGTTCAGATGCTTCTTGATAAAGGAGCTGATGATTTGAACAGTGCTCTTCAAGCTGCTTTATTGAGAGGATATGAACAGATTGTTCAGATGCTTCTTGATAAAGGAGCTGATGATTTGAACAGTACTCTTCAAGCAGCTGCAATAAGAGGATATGAACAGATTGTTCAGATGCTTCTTGATAAAGGAGCTAATGTGAATATCCAGAATGGAAACCATGGCAGTGCTCTTCAAATAGCTGCAAGAGGAGGATATGAACAGATTGTTCAGATGCTTCTTGATAAAGGAGCTGATGATTTGAACAGTGCTCTTCAAGCAGCTGCAAGAGGAGGATATGAACAGATTATTCAGATACTTCTTGATAAAGGAGCTGATGATTTGAACAGTGCTCTTCAAATAGCTGCAAGAGGAGGATATGAACAGATTATTCAGATGCTTCTTGATAAAGGAGCTAATAATTTGAATAGTGCTCTTCAAGCAGCTGCAAGAGGAGGATATGAACAGATTGTTCAGATGCTTCTTGATAAAGAAGCTGATGATTTGAACAGTGCTCTTCAAATAGCTGCAAGAGGAGGATATGAACAGATTGTTCAGATGCTTCTTAATAAAGGAGCTGATGATTTGAACAGTGCTCTTCAAGCAGCTACAAGAGGAGAATATGAACAGATTGTTCAGATGCTTCTTGATAAAGAAGCTGATGATTTGAACAGTGCTCTTCAAGCAGCTGCAAGAGGAGAATATGAACAGATTGTTCAGATGCTTCTTGATAAAGAAGCTGATGATTTGAATAGTGCTCTTCAAGCAGCTGCAATAAGAGAATATGAACAGATTGTTCAGATACTTCTTAATAAAGGAGCTGATAATTTGAATAGTGCTCTTCAAGCAGCTGCAAGAGAAGGATATGAACAGATTGTTCAGATGCTTTTTGATAAAGAAGCTGATAATTTGAATAATGCTCTTCAAGCAGCTGTAATAAGAGGATATGAATAGATTGTTCAGATGCTTCTTGATAAAGAAGCTAATAATTTGAATAGTGCTCTTTAAGTAGCTGTAAAAGGAGAATATAAACAGATTATTCAGATGCTTCTTAATAAAGGAGCTAATAATTTGAACAGTACTCTTTAAGCAGTTATAATAAGAGAATATGAATAGATTGTTCAGATGCTTCTTAATAAAGAAGCTGATGTAAATATTCAGAGCAAATACTATAGCAGTGCTCTTCAAGCAGCTGCAATAAAAGAATATAAACAGATTATTCAAATGCTTCTTGATAAAGAAGCTGATGATTTGAATAGTATTCTTCAAGTAGCTGCAAGAGGAAAATATAAACAGATTATTCAGATGCTTCTTAATAAAGAAGCTAATAATTTGAATAATGCTTTTCAAGCAGCTACAAGAGGAGAATATAAACAGATTGTTCAGATGCTTCTTGATAAAGGAGCTAATAATTTGAATAATGCTCTTCAAGCAGCTGCAAGAGGAGAATATGAATAGATTGTTCAGATGCTTCTTGATAAAGAAGCTGATGATTTGAATAGTACTCTTCAAGTAGCTGCAATAAGAGGATATGAACAGATTGTTCAGATACTTCTTGATAAAGAAGCTGATGATTTGAATAGTGCTCTTCAAGCAGCTGCAAGAAGAGGATATGAACAGATTGTTCAGATGCTTCTTGATAAAGGAGCTGATAATTTGAATAGTGCTCTTTAAGCAGCTGCAATAAGAGGATATGAACAGATTGTTCAGATGCTTCTTGATAAAGAAGCTGATGATTTGAATAGTGCTCTTCAAGTAGCTGCAAGAGGAGAATATGAACAGATTGTTCAGATGCTTCTTAATAAAGAAGCTGATGATTTGAACAGTACTCTTCAAGCAGCTGTAATAAGAGGATATGAACAGATTGTTCAGATGCTTCTTGATAAAGGAGCTGATGTGAATATCCAGAGCAAATACTATGGCAGTGCTCTTCAAGCAGCTGCAATAGAAGGATATGAACAGATTGTTCAGATGCTTCTTGATAAAGGAGCTGATATGAATATCCAGAGCAAATACTATAGCAGTGCTCTTCAAGCAGCTATAATAGAAGAATATAAACAGATTATTTAGATGCTTCTTGATAAAGGAGCTGATAATTTGAACAGTGCTCTTCAAGCAGCTGCAATAAGAGGATATGAACAGATTGTTCAGATGCTTCTTGATAAAGGAGCTGATGATTTGAACAATACTCTTCAAGTAGCTGCAAGAGGAGGATATGAACAGATTGTTCAGATGCTTCTTGATAAAGGAGCTGATGTGATGAACAGTGCTCTTTCTTCTGCTTCATTAAGAGGATATGATGCTTCTTGATAGAGGAGCTGATGATTTGAACAGTGCTCTTTCTTCTGCTTTATCGGGAGGACATGGACAGATTGTCCAGCTTCTTGAGAAAGGGGCTAATGATGTTGATAAGTCAAAGGGGGGGGTTTCCGCCCATCCGTAGTTTCCGCCCACTCTGGTCAGCCACACCGCTTCTTCAACCCCCTTTAGTTTGATAGCGTTTTTTCATTCAATTATATTCCAAACAACTTCATCTTTTCAGAAAATCCTCATATAATCATCATGAAGCCATGCTCTGAATTTGAGCTAGATCAGGTTGTTGAAGCTGTCAGAAACGGCCTGTCTCAACGAAAAGCCTCGAGGCAATGGTGCATCCCAAGGACCACACTCCGAGATCGTTTAGAAGAAGCAACACCACATAAAACAGCCCACGAAAACCAGCAAAGGCTTTCAATTCCTCAAGAAAGAAAGCTAGTTGAATAGATCCTTGTCCAGGAAAGCCTCGGGCTTCCACCAAGCCATTTAGAGCTAAGATACTTTGCTCAGAAGATTCTTTATATCCATAGCGATGATTAATCTTTTGGTACCAAGTGGACTGGCGCTTTTTTGAAGAGAAATCCAGAGATAAGGGTCCGGAGGATGAGAAGGATTGCCTCAGCTCGAACTAATAGCGTAACAACAGAGATAATACAGCCTTGGTTTCGTCTCTTCGATCTTCCTCAGATTTAAGCTATTAAGCCAGCTAATCGATAGAATATAGATGAGGCTGGAATATTAGAGAGCTAAGAAGCGAATGGATTAATCCTTAGTAGCTCTTTCTTACGTTCAATCCAAAAGAAAGAGCTTGGATTAAGAGCCTAGATCTCTTTTCTCGAGTATATCTCTGCTACAGATGCTTATCTCTTCCCTTTGGTTATCTTTAAGAGAAAAATAGTTCAATAGCAATAGTTTTCTCTTCTTTTACAGCCTTTTGATAGCTGGAAGTTCACAGCTACTCAAAACAGATGAATAAATAATGCAATAGCCCTCGAGTAGCTGGAAAAGATCTTCATTCCAGGCAGCTAGCCAGCAGATCCCTTAGAAGCCAGACTATTGATCTTAGATAGCCACAGCAGCTATACAACTGAGGAGTTTATATAGCAATGCTATCAATACAACATCCTGTTGATCTATTTATCTCCTTATACCTCTCATGTACTTCAATCCCTTGATCTCGGAATCTTCTCGTTTCTCAAACGAGCCTATAGAACGAAAGTCAGCCTTGAGAACCAATGGGGGGATTCAACAGTCTTTAGCAAGCGAACTTTCCTCAAGTACTATCGCCAGGCTCGTATAGAAGGTCTTTCAAGCCAGAATATCAGATCTGGATGGAAAGCAACTGATCTGTAGCCTCTCAGGCTATCCAAACCACCCCTGAGCCCTCTTCTCCTTGAAAACAGCCAACTACACCTTCAAACTCAGTCAAATTCAGGCTCATCACGATCAACAGCACCTCAGCTACCCCCCAAAGCTTCCTTACGCCAGCCAGCTTCCTTTTCAACTCCTCAAAAGGCTAAACAACTATACTAACAGCTACTACAGAACCGGAACCGTCTTTTATCAGTACCAGAGCAACGTCTACTGTTCAGGAAGATAAAGAAAGCATATAGCAAGAGGGATATAGAGTTTGCTCAAGCCTTGGAAAGAAATAAAGCATTGGAAAAGCAAGTTGAGACTATGAGGCCTACTAAAAGAAGGAAGATTGATGTAAGCCCGAATTCGAAGTTTGCGGATATTGAGGCTATACAGAGGGCCCAAATGGCAGTCAATCAAGATGAGGATAGTCAGAATGAAGAGAACGATATCTAATTAGTTACTGATGAAGAGGATTGCATCGTGGTGGGCGAATAGTATGTAAAACTAATCAATATATATATATGTGTATATATGTGGTGTGGCTGACCAGGGTGGGCGGAAACTACGGATGGGCGGAAACCCCCCCCTTTGACTTATTGCATTCCGGCTGAATCATTCGATTTGAGAACTGATGATGGACCGCCCTCTAAGCGATTGAAACGCGGCAGCTATGATGAGCTTATACTATAAGACACCCCACATGGTTAATGCAGGAGAGCCAGGGAACCCACAGGAATCTTGGACACTTGAGATTGGAGTACTGGACAGCTATAAAGTGTAGTAATATATAACTACAGAAAAGCCAAATTCGAAGGGGAGTGAGTCCTCCATTGATCATTCTCCCAGCTGAAGAAGAGTGGGAGAGAAGTACTAGGAGTTCTGCACAATCTTGTGACCACTTCGTCTCAATTATTGGTTTACAATCGTTGAGGAGCACCTGATCAGCGCAGACTAGGTCCAAATTTGCAAAATATAGTCAAATGAATGCGGCTGGTCGCGCAAAGTTCATCATCACCACAATACAACGAGAGGACCGATGTTAACACTGACCCGGGGGGGGGGGGTTGATAGTCATTTATGTCATTAAAGCCCTTTTGGTCTGTCCGTCAAGAAGGGAGCGGCTATTATGTCCGCCTTGTTATCTAGCCGCTCAGCAGGATCATACTTTATAGATCTGGCTCGCTGACCGGCTCCCCTTTCACCAGGGCCCACACATCACCAACAATGCAACAGAGGCAGAAAGCTGGGCAGGAGGTGGAGAATGAAGGATCGTGGAAAGAGCACAAAATGGGTTAAAGGAGGCACTGAAAGACATGCACGTGATTGTAATCCTTCTGAGATGGGTCCATTGAGGACCATTCGGGCGAACATTTGGGGAAACACAGGAGAAGAGGAGGTAAACCATGGTGGCAATTTCCCCTGCTTCGTGCGAATAGAGAGACTAATCGAGTCCAGTAAGTATATTGTTCCCCCATCCCTTCATGTTTCTTTTCATATCCCTCACCAATCAAAATGATTACCAATCGAGCTGCCTCTACAACCCAACAGCTTGGACAAGTACGCAACAATTGGTTGAAGGAACAGCTTGCCCCTTGATCTATTTGATACATTGATATCGATAATTGACATGTAAACTATAAATGCTACACACATACAACCTTCCAAGTCGGAATTGAGCGCTGTGCCGGCTAATGCACCTACCTCCTGCAGTGATACTCTACCGTATATCGTTCACCCGAATATTGACTGCAACCTGGAAGTCGATCTGTTCCATAAATTGCCACCACCCGAGGGAAGACTGGTTCCTCCAACCATATAACAGATCATAATAACAACTCCTCCATAAAGCCCCTAATAAGTTCTAGCCCCCTTCTTCCCTTTCCCCCTCATCTGTGTAGGTCACATCAATGGTATGAACCCAATGATCGCCCACAGTCTTTTGTCCTCCACAATCGCCCCGTCGGCCGAACCATCCCCCCCCACCTTCCCTTGTCCTGGCCATCCCAGACAGGAAAACCCCAGCTGATCACACCTCGTGCCACTTGCTTGGTTTACCAGCCCACATACGGGAATCCTAACCAACGAATACTACTGTGCTATTGCGCATATTGACCGGGTGTAACGGCTGGCGGTCCACCACCCCATGGCGAACCAACGGAAGATAACTCGAGGGGGCCTGTCGTTGTACCCGCTCCGTGTTGGATTGGGATAACACACGCATATGCACCCCGCCTTCCATGCGAACGTTACAGTACTATAGTACACATTTTTGCTGGGGCGGGGTCCAGAGCATCCTTGTTTGTTTGTAGTGCTTATCTCAAATCCCATCCATGGATGTGCCCTTTTATCTTTCCAAGTACTTATATGTAGGTCTTTTATGGTCCCAATCTTTGATCATGTCGATCTTGCCTTGCCTGCAGCGAATATCAGAGGAGTCTCTCTGTTCTTCAGACGGACGAGCGAGCGCTGGCAACAGAGAAAAGAGAAAAAGATAGAGATAGACCAAAGGATCTCCGTTTGTGTCGTCTTCCTCTTCTTCTTCTTCCTCTTCTTCTTCTTCCTCTTCCATCTCTTTGCTTCAAAATGTCTGTCCGGTTCCGCCCAGACGCAGACGTCGCAGCATTCGATGACAATGAGCAGTCGTCCGAGAAGTCTCAAGATGTGAACCTCGACGAGAAGAAGGCGACCGATACGTTGTCGCAGCAGGTCCAGTGGGTGCCCCCAGAAGAATGGCTCGTACGTCTCAAGGAGGGCTACACAGGGCGACACGGCGGAGAGACGCTGCCCCCGGGGTCGGACCCAGACCGCGTGGCCGAGGCCATCTTCACCATGAACGAGGAGGACTCTGTCGATTTTCTCAAGACCGTCCTCGTGAACCACCAGCACGACTACTCGTTCGACGTGAACCTGATGCAGCGCTGCAGGGAGCTTGTCGAGGGCCACGGGGCCTGCGCCATGGAACAGGGCGACTGGGCGTACGAGACGTGCAAGACAGCCGGTCTGATTCACAACTGGTCGCCTTACACGGAGGTTCGCGCCGTGACTATTCCGTATGATGACCCCAGCGAGCCCTGCGAGAGCTTCCGCGCATACTTTCTGGGCATGTTCTGGGTCTGTGTCTGCACGGCTGTCAACACTTGTAGGCTGCCTCTGTCTCTGTATTTCATGCACACATAATCAATTGTTCAATACTGACTTGTTGCAGTCTTCAACCCTCGACAGCCTGGCATCTCCATCCCTGGGTCGGTCGTTCAGCTCATTCTCGTGCCCATGGGCCGCGGCATGGCCCTCTTCCTCCCAGACTGGGGCTTCCGGTTCCGTGGCACGCGGTACAGCCTCAACCCAGGCCCCTGGACGTCCAAAGAACAGCTCTTCGCCACCATCATCTTCAACGGCTCGAGCACCATTGGCAACTTCACAGGCCTGCTGGTCATGCGCCTCCCGGCCTTCTTCAACCAGCACTGGGTCAGCTTCGGCTTCGCCATCGTGCTCGCCCTGGCCAACCAGGTTTTTGGCATGGGCATGGCGGGCATCCTGCGCCGTCTCACCGTCTACCCCGTTGAGGCCATCTGGCCCTCGGCCCTGCCCACCATAGCGCTGAACAGGACCCTTATCAACTACGAGAACAAGCGCGAGACGATTAATGGCTGGAAGATGTCGCGGTACATGTGCTTCCTGGCCGCTACCGGGTTTTTCATTATTTACTACTGGCTTCCCAACGAGGTGTTCCAGGCCCTGCGCATGTTTAACTGGATGACATGGATTGCTCCTAACAATCTGAACCTGGCTGTTGTGACGGGTTCGTATGGTGGGATGGGTTTCAACCCAGTGTCGAGTTTTGATCCGAACCTGTCTGGTTCAACAACGATGAACTCGCCCTTTTTTGCGTGAGTATTGCATTTGTTTCGATCATCTTGTTAGGATTCATTGGAGACTATCAGGAGTTGCTGACAGTGAATATCTTACACACAGCCAACTTCAACAATATGTGATGCGCGTGATCAGCGGCATAGTAATTCTCATCATGTACTACACAAACGTGTCCTGGTATGTATTGATTCTACTTTTGGCTATGCAAAAGAGGCCCGCCTTTTTTATTTTTATTTTTTTACGTCGACTTTTCATACCAGTATATACTAAACCACTACTCCTCCTCCTCCTAGGGGTGCATATATGCCCATCAACTCCAACGACGCCTTCGACAACACCATGACAGCCTACAACGTCAGCAAGGTCCTCAACGACGACAACGGGGTCAACATTGACAACTACAAGGCCTACGGCCCTCCCTACTACGCCATCGCCAACCTCTTCATAACGGGCGGCAACTTTGTGTACTACACCTTCTCCATCGTGTACGTCTTCATCAAGTACTGGCAGCCGCTGAAGAAGGCCTTTGTGGGCATGGTGGTCAACACCATCAAGCGCCGCTCCATCTACACAGGCTTTACCGACGGCCACACGCGCATGATGCGCCGGTACCCAGAGGTGCCCGAGTGGTGGTACGGCATCGTCTTTGTGTTTGGCTTCATCATCTCCATCGTGGCCTGCGTGGCCTGGCCGACGCAGACGCCCTGGTGGAGCATCCTGGGTGTCACCGCCATCGGCGCCCTGCTCACGATCCCCTGGGTCATCATCGAGAGCATCGCCTCCACGGGCATCTCGCTCAACGTCATCTGGCAGGTCCTGCCGGGCGTCTGGTTCCCCGGCCAGCCCATGCCGCAGCTGGTCATCCTCATGCTGGGCGGTGCCTTTGAGCAGATGGCGGGCGGCTTCACGACGGACCTCAAGTACGCCCACTACGCCAAGTTACCCCCCCGTGCCGTCTTCCGAGGCCACGTGGCGGCCACCTTTGTCAACTGCTTCATCTACTGCGCCATCCTCGAGGTCATGCTCGTCTACTACAACTCGGACAACACCCTCTGCCAGTGGGACAACAAGGAGCACATGGTGTGCACCTACGCCCAGTCCGTCTACGCGTCCACCATCCTCTTCGGCGCCTTTGGCACAAACAACATGTTCAAGCTGTACCCCATCCTCCCCTGGTGCTTCCTCATCGGCGCCGTCGTCGGCCTCGTCTGGGTCCTCGCCGAAAAGGTCCTCCCCCGCGTGCGCGAGCGCATCCGCTCGTCCATGAACGACGAAGGCCGCTTCGCCACCTTTGACCGCCACGTGTGGGGGCCCGTCGCCAGCGTGCTCGCCTGTCTGCACCCTGCCATCGCCCTGTCGGGCGCCCTCAACTGGGCCGGCAACACAAACCTCACGTATGCCACGCTGGGCATCTACCTCGCCTGGGTGTTCCAGTTCTACCTCAAGCGCCGCTACACCGCCTGGTGGGGCAAATATGCGTACATGGTCTTTGCCGGGCTCAATGTCGGCGTGGCCATCTCGGGCCTCATCGTCACCCTTGTTTTTAGCTTTGGCGCCGGTAAAGATGCGACCTTGAGCTGGTGGGGCAATGATGTGCTCATGGATGGCGTGGACTACCAGCTGTATAATAATAATGCTTCTCTCAAGGCATTGCCGGCCTCGGGGCACTTTGGTCTGGAGCCGGACCAGTATCCGCTGGACTGGTAGTTGATGAAATTCTGGGTGTCGGGGCTGATGGAATTGGCAAGGTTCTAGTACCGGTCTTCTTCTTATAGCCTGTAGCCTTTGTTGTTTTCAGGCCAAGGAAGTCTGTCTGGTAATGACTAGAACATCAGGCCTTCAATGTATCCCAGCCACGCTCAATCCAAGCCAAATTAACCCTCGCAGACAAGGATGAACATTATGATGAAGTGAGAAAAGATGCAGTCTATACTAATGAGCCAGTAATTTGTCTATCGAGTCTTGTCCCGTACCACGAAAGACGCCGTCTTGGCTTAAGACAGTACGAGACTGCTTTAATTCCTCAGTCATTGCTCCGTTCGACAAGAGCTTTTTGGCCCAGAGCTTGAGGGATCCATTGTCAGGACTAGTCTGCAAAAATGTCCAGGATTACTAGGCTATCACATGCTTTTCAACCGAGATTAGCAAGATCGGATCGAGTGTATAGTTCATCAAGGTGATGATGTCTCTTTGTTGTACAAATGGTTTCTCTAGGTAAAAGACGGTGGACCAAGTCTTGTCTAGCACAAGGCCGTGCCAACTTTATACACGAGGAGCACTGTACAAACTCAATACGTATACACTAACACGCACCAGTTCGCCATCGTACATATACTAGATCCTACCAGGCAGTCATCTTTATATCGAACAGAAGTATATATAGCCAGAGGTGATGCCACTGTATGATGTAATGTCTTCCACTAATCTTCTTCATATAATCTCCCTCTGCAGCCAGTCATCTCATCATCAATGGTTCAAGGTCATCTGCCCATCTGTAGATTCGTCTCCTTCTCCTTCTCCTTCTCTTGCCTCTCTCTTTCCCTCCCTCTGAGCACCCATCATGTGGTTCGCCAAAATCGTCCTGGCCCAGCTGGGTGCAGTGCTCGTGTTGTCTGTAAGTTCCTTCACTTCATTGACTCCCTCCCGATTAGTTACTCAAGACAATAATTTCTGCTGACAGTCTCTCTCTCTCTCTTTCTCTCGCTCTTTCTCAGAAACCTGCCCCCGTATCACAGGACGAGACTGGCATCAACTGGCCGTCATCCCTGAACACCACCACACTCCCGCCATTAGCGATGGTGGACAACCTGTCGTCGCGTGCTTCACCTCCACCCCTGAGGCTCGACTGTCGGGACAACCCGAACATGGAAAGAGACCCGAGGTGGCACCCCGAGACGCTCGACAAGGTCAGTTGTGAATACTGCAAAGGACTGAGCTGGGGCTGCGGACTGTGGTCTCACTGGTAGGCATATATTTCTCTCTCTCTCTTACTTTCTTCCGTCTGATGATTGCATGGCTTTCCTTTTCTTTATGTACATTACCTGGTCTTATGATTCATTGTAAATGGTTCTTCTCGCTCGCATATCAAGGGTTTTCTATCTCTTTCTTTTTCAGAAGCCGTCGCGCCTTCAATAATGGGGAAACCTTTTACTTTTACCTTTTCTCTCACGGTCACATCACAATCTCCCAACCTCAACCTATATCCCCCTAAAGAAAAACCCAAAGAGAGCTAACAATCCCATCCCTCCTCCTCCTCCTCCTTCTATAGGAAAGTGGTACTCCCAAACGACCACCTCTTCGACGAGCAGTTCTGGAACCACAAGGACCCCTCCCTGCGGAAACAAGCCTGCGGCCGCTCCTTGTGGATCCTGAACGCAGCCCAGGGCAAGCGCTCCGGCGCCTGCCAGATGGACGACCAGGGAACGGCCACAATCAAGTTCCAGACGGTCTCGATCGTGTTGGGGGAGGCTGTCGAGGAAGCGGTGAGCCTGTCGACGTGCGGCTTGATACAGACCGAGTGCATGATGGTCAGGGGGATTCCTTATTAGGGAGGAAGATTATAAGACGCACTGGACCCAGGAGAATGAGTGACTAGGTTATTTGATCATGAGAATTCTATAGCAGTATTGGGATGTCTTTGCCAAAAAGTCTTTTGTTTTGCCCAACCCGTGACTATGTGATGCGCGTGAGAATGCCTTCCCCCCTTTCAATAGCTTTCCCCCCCCCCCCTTTCTTTCTTGAAGGCAACAAAATTCGTAGCTCAGAGACAGAATATGTAGTTCAATATTTGATCCATCCCGTTGAAGAGAGTAAGTGGGCAGAGAGTGCCCTGAGTCCTTTCCGAAGAGAAATAAAAGGTACAGCCTGCGTTGGGGCACCGGTGGTCGGTTGCCCCCCCACTTGCACATCTCGAATTAAAGTTTTCAAGGTTTCCTAGGCGAGTCTGGGGTAAACAACCCTGATCCACTCAGTCCCTGTCCTGTCTCTTGTTTCCAGCATGTTTTGAGGGTCTCGTGAACCAAAGTCATGCTGGGACGGAGGTAACAAGTACATACTACCCACTGAATAAGAATTTGACGTCAAACTTGCAAGATCTCAGGGCACGCAAACAGAACTCATCCCTTCACTTCTTGATGTGTTCAAATCCGGGCCTTGGAAGATGCTTCCAGCCCTTCTTTTCGTCACATTTTTGTACTGGCACAAAGATGTCGACATCGTATCAACTAGTGAATTCCAACTACCATGACTACCTGAGTGCGGTGGACCGCCGCACATAGGTCATAGTTATCGATCGTCACTTAAGTAGCCCCCTCACGTTGCCCTGAGCCGAGAGGCGATGAGACAAACCACTTGTCGATTGCCTACAGACAAAGAAAGTTCTGCAGCAGCAATCACGCCCGTCGCCCTGCCACACATGGCCAGTCAACCTGGAAACTTTTGACTGCCCAACTACTCTCCTCTCCTCCAAATCCAGCAAAGTCGTACTACTTTACTCACGATATCCTGTAATTTTTGTATACCCCCTCTCTTGCTGCGGGTCATTAAAGGGGCAATTCCCAGTACAAATATCTGGGAAACTCCCTCCTCTCTGCCGTCGTGGCCATGCTTGCTCGTTCGCGGTAGTCCTGCCGAGAAAAAATGTGAACCTAGAACGAATCTTGTTGGCCGCATGACCTGCTGCAGAATCAACCTATCCCTGCCTCTCCACTTCCGCTCGCTTCCTATTCCCCAGCATACAGCTTGCCCAAGGAGAGACCACTGGAGCCGTCTGGCTCATGGTCGCCTTAAGCTGCGACAATTCATGTAGTAGTAGCATCGTCCGAGGCGTGCGATGTTGATGAAAAGATGTCGAAATCGCTGATGATTTCTGATCACTTGCTCTGTCTGGCTGTGACCAGACCCAATGTCGTGTGGTGGGTATGTGTGTGTGTGTGTGTGTGTGTCAGAAGAGTGTAAATAATTCAATTGACCAATATCGCTAGTGCCCGGCGCTGATGTCAAACTTCATGATTGGCGGTGGGTTGTGTCCACACATAAACGGATACCAGGACCCGGAAGATTACTGACAAACTGACGAGGTTTCGTCAATGTTGGGTGGGCTGTCCCTTCACTTGGCCTCCTCTGGGGCGTCTGGCGCTCGGGTTTGAGAACCACCATGGCTTGGCGACGGTCCAGGAGGGGGCGGGCCAGAGAAGTTCTTCCCGCCAAAGTTGTTACCTCGGTGCTGGGGTCCGTGTTGGTGCACCTGCTGGGGACTCGTGCCGACGAGCTGCTGGGGTCCAGGGTTGTTGTGTACTCTCATGTTACCCACTTTGTTCCCCATAAACGCCCCGTTAGTACTGACGTCCCGAGGAGCTGTATCGCCTATTGTTCAACTTACTTTGGCCTGGCTGCTGAGGCGTGAACACGGGCTGTTGGTACTGAGGCATGGCACCGGGGCTCATCCCGTACATGTGCTGACCCTGCTGGGAGCCCTGATGCGCCATCATCGGAGCAGCTGGCCGTCCGGGGCTCGGGTATCCGTTGGCACCTTGCATGGCCTGGGGAGGTACGGGTCCGGGAGGCACAAAGTTAGGGTGGGCCCCTGGGTAGGCCATCGGCATCTGCGGGGTGCCCTGCATCATGGGCGAGGGGGCCGCCATGTAGCCTGGCCCCATCATCATGGGCGGTCCCATCTGTCCATGCTGCTGTGGCATGTATTGTGGGTTCTGCGTAAAGTTGCGCATCTGCGGGCCTCCCATCGGTGGCGCGCCGGGGCCCATGAAGCCAGGCATGACAGGCTGCGAGTAGGGCATATGAGAAGGTGAGTTCATCATGTTAGGATAGGCCATCGGGACCTGTCCTGGTCGCGGAGATGCGTACGACTGTGCCGAGTTCGAGTGCATCATCCTGGTGCCGTCCTCGCCGTTGTTAAATGGCATATGAGGACCATGAGCAGGGTGACCACCGCCGTGCATCTGCATGGGTGGCATGTGTGGCGACTGCCGAGGACCCGCGTTCTGTGCCCCCTGCTGCAGGTGGAAGGGGAGCTGGTGCTGGTGCGGTATCTGAGGTACCACGGGGGCCGGGTTGGGCGTGGCCATCGTGGTAGTATATGGTGGTCGGTCGAAGAGTTGCTTGTAGCTGATCTTATCCTTGCTGTCCTCTTCCCGAATGGACTTCCACGTCGGCAGCGTGTCGAACGCCGGCCGCAGCCCACCATTCTCCTCCCACGCGGGCTTGTTCGTCTGAGGTGCCTTGAATGACTGGACGTGGCTGAGGATGAAGCACTTCTTGATGTCGATCGGCTTAATCTTGCGGCGGATGACAACGGTCAGGACAGGCGGGGTGGCGGTCTGCTGGTGGTGGTCAACAGCCACATTGTTCATTGCTGAGCGGGGGCTCGAGGCAGCACTGGGTCCTGCGGGGATAAAGGGCTGCGCATTGGGCCTGAACTCTTGTGTGTTGGGATTCAGCCTGGGACCTGGGACCATGTGACCTGGCGGGACGCCGGCGTGGCGGGGTGGAAAGGCTGGGCCCATGTTGTTGGCGGCTGGTCCGGTGGGAGGCATGCGCGCGTCTGGCGCCATGCGGTGGGGTTGCTGCATCATCCTCTGCTGCTCGCCATTGCGCAGGTGCTGTGCCAGATGGCTGCCCTGCTGGTTGTGGCGTGGTAGGTTCTGGCCTTGTCCACGATCGCCGCGGTACTGCTGCTGGTACGAGCCTGGAGTGTAAGACTGACGATTGCCAGGGTGGCGGTTGGCGCCCGCAGCGCTGCCAGCACTCGCGTGCTGTGGCTGCGCAGGACCCTGACGGGATGTGGTCCGGCTCTCGGTTGCCGAGGCAGGAGTCTCAGTGCCAGACGAAGAAGCGGGCACGTGCTCCGACGACTTGGACTGCGCCGGTTTGGGGGCAGCAACGCCCTGTTGGGTCTTTGTATCGACCTTCTTGGCCTCGTCCTTGGCACGCTGCACCTCCTCGGCGTTCTTGCGAGCCTTGTCCTGAATCTCCTGCTGCTTCTTGGGGTCCTTGGCGATGATGCCGATCAGGTCATTGGGCACGGGCGTGCCCAGCTTGAACTTGGCCGCAAACGCCTTGAGCTCATCCAGCTTCTTGCTCTTGGCAGCCTTCTCCTTGCCCTTCTGGATCTGCCGCTGTGTATCACCAAATGACTTGAAAGCCGCGAGAACCTCCTTCTCTATTGGTTGGTTCTCTTTGGCGGCAACCGCGCCATTTCGAGTGACGGTGAGGGACGACCGCAGGGCTGCGGTTGGCTTTTCGGCTGGTTTGACGTCGGACTGGGCTTTGATTGCGCCCTCTACGGGCTTGGCCTCCTCCTTGCTGGTGGGCTCGGCAGGCTTGGTGGTCTCTGAGGACTTCTGGGGCTGGGGGGCCTTGTTGCTGTTGACAGGGCTCTTGGTGTCGTCCTGCCTGGACGTCGTCTGTCTACTGCTCGTGTTGTTTGGGGCAGCTCGCAGCTGCGATGAGATGATGGCCGGATCAACAGGGGCGCCCTTGACGGTAGCGGATCCGGTCGGCGCTCGTCGTGCTGGCGGCGTGTACTTGTTCGTAGCCTGGCTGCCGAGAGGCGGGAAGTCCGCTCGCTTGACACCGCTGTATCTGTGGCCGGAGTTAGCGAGAAAATGAACAACAATGAACAATAACAGCAGCAGCAGCAGCAGCAGCAGCAGCACTGCTGCTGGCCGATGGGCAGGTCATACTTGTCCTCTTCATCAGCACCATCATCGCCCTGTGCGACGTGGTCCATCATGCGCTCCTCGGCGGCATGTGCGGAGGTGGCGTTGCTGCCCTCGATCTTGCGAGCCAGTCGGTCGGCACGCGCGACGGCGTCCTTATAATCAGGACGACTGCGGTCGAGGGGGGTGGTGTAGAGGTTCTCATCGTAGTCGGACTGGACGCCAAATTTCTTCTCATTGACAGCAAACTGGTCCCAGGGCTTGTGGCTGTCTGTAGAGTCCTCTAGCCCGCCATCGACAAGTCCATTGCCGGTGGCGTCTCCGGCATCCCATCGCTGGAGCTCGCGTCTGTCGCCGAGACGGCCGCTCGAGATGCTGCTGTCGGTCTGGAAGCCGGACCTGCTGCCTTGTGGGTCGTCAGCGCTTGACTTGTTGCTGCGAGGGCGCTGGCGGGTCGCCATACCGCTGTGCGATTTGTGCACGTTGTTGCTGTTCCGCGAGTAAGGCATCGCGGACTGCCGTTTGCCGAAACCGTTCATCGCTTCAGCGGAACCAGCCTTCTTCTGCTGGACCATTCTGGGATGGCCGCTGGTCGTTTCGGGGGAGCTGTTGGCATAAAGGTCCTCGAATTCGGCTCCGTCGTTGACGGTGAGCTGGCCGCGCTGACCCTGGAAGCAGACAGATTTAGAGTGAGCCTCTCTTCTGTCCCAGACGAGGGGGAGAGGGCACAGGTAAAGGTGGTTTCAAGTGTGTAGGGCAAGAATTGAAAAAAAGGGGCAAGAAAAGTGTGTCGAGGTCATGGTGGAATTTCAGATGAGGTGTGACAGCACAGCTCGAAGCAGGTGGGACCCGGGTGGGTCGGGTCCGCGCAAGGCGCAGAGGCCAGGGCGCAACGCCAAGTAGTAGTATGCAGTAGTGGTTTGACGCGGAGGACTGATTGTAGGTAGTGTCGAGGATGTGTGCGCGCGCGCGTGTGGGCTCACTTACCTCCTTGACGCGATTGAAGAAACTATTCCACGCTGGCTTGGTCACAGCAGGATCGGGGTATTCTTGCGCTCTGGGGTGATTCGACCGGTCGGTAGTACTGGTGTTGTTGGGAGTCCAGGCTTGGTGTTGAGGAGCGGAAGACTGTCTTCAGGGTTGGATCAGTATGATAGCTGGGCAGAGTCACAGTGGCTTTTCCTTGTGGAGTGGCACGGCGGGAAGAACGACGAGCCCAGCACGGACGTCTTTCCGGCAACCCCGATGTATGGTTGAGGGTTGAAGGGGGATGCGGAGGAATAATAGGCCTTGGTGATTGGAGCAAGGCTGCAAATTGACCTGGGAAGTTTGTCGAGAAGGGGTCCAAGAAAAATAGAGAGGGTTGGGAGAAGGGGAAGAAGGGGGGGGCCGCCGCGCACAATGGCAGTGGCAGTGTAGGGCAGATCTTACCTAGGGTTTGGACAGGAGGTCTTGCTGAGGCTGCTGCTGTACAATGGCTTGACAGCAGGCTGGACAGTGGACAGGCTGTTGTAGGCTGGATTGCTTGAGGTTGTCGTGGGTCCCTCTTGGTCCATCAATGATCCAATGTCTCTTCGTGTAGTGGCCGTAACAAAAAGCTGGACCCTGTCTCGACAAGTAGCAGGCTAGGCTATATCGAGGAACGTTGAACTGGGGGATGAACGGCGGGAATTGGTGTGGTGTGAGTGGGCAGATGGGCAGATTACGAGTGGTTCCGGGGAACACTTCGTATATTACTGCACAGAAGCAGTTTTTCTCTTGCTTGGGGTGGCAGGTAGAAAACACCTGCAATTAAAAAGAAGAGGAAAAAATTGACTGCGCCTGAACGTGATGCGAAGTTGTCTGACGGGGGCCAGAAAAAGATCACGGACCCTGGATGACGAAGGTTGTCTGCGAGTCAGGTCTGGTGCGAGGGCGAACAACGACAGGTCAGGTCCGGATCACATAGGTAGTATGTGTACCTTGAGCGACACACTCCTCCGATGCGACTCGGAAGTTCGGGTGCCCAGAGCAGGGCGCAATGCAGTCCTGATGCGAACAGAGTTCTGAAGGTTCTGGCCGACAGAGGTAGAGGTGTCTGTGGACAGACACAATAGCAGCTTCCTTCCCTCCAATGGTTATTTATTTGCGTCTCTCCTGTATGCTTATTATTGCAAGTGCTGTAGTAACAACAACCTTGTTGACATGAAAACGCCGGGGCGCACGGTCGTAACGGTCGTGAGTCCGAGGTGAGGACAGGTCGAACGACGGGGTTCGAGGTGCGCTCGTACGCTTTGCGACGGGAAAGGTTGGAGGTTGGGCTCGCTCGAGGACGAGGATATGGCGGGGAAGCTTTGTGCGCCTCTAGCGTCGACCAGAGATGCAATACCTTGGTCGTGGGGGGGGGGGGAAGAAAACAGACTGTCGAGGAGGGTGCACACACGACTTTGTTCGCAGACTGGAGTGGTAAGAGCTGGAGGGGAGGGGGGGGGGGATCAGGAGATCTGGTCGTGGTTGTTGTTGCGAGAAGAAACAATCGACGTGGAGGGGCGGTAACAAAAACGTAAGAAGGGGGGGGGGAAGAAGAGAAATAGGAACCTGGAACGGTCAACACTCCAACTGATGCTTCCTCAATGCTTTACTGTCTCCTCTCCAAAACAAGGGGGAGGACAGAGTGGGAGGAGGAAAGAGGGATAGAGAATTGGGTGACGGGGTGAGAAGAAAGAGAGAAAAGAGTCTCTTGCTGTTCCTCGTAGAACCCGGATGTGATGGGTCGTGTGTGGCGGTGGGAGGGTTGGTGGTGGTGTTTGAGAGGGAGAAAGGAAACAAATCACCACCACTACCTGGGGCAGGTGTCCACCAGGCCAAGGGTTGGGTTCTGGATCGTCTCGAGTACCGAAGCACTACTGTACAGCACCTCCCCCTGCTATAGCGGGTAGTAGGATATGCTAGGGGGTGTGGGAGCTAGCTTGCCAGTCTGCCAGTGAAGAAAGTCTGGAAGGGGGGAAGGTTCATTTTTGGTGGGTGGCAGGGTGGTTCAGGAAACGGGGCAGGGGCAGGGGACAGCACTCTCTAGGACACGGGTGGGAATTTGTGGCAAAACCCAATCAGAGGGGAAGTTACAAGCCGGGGAAGATGGCGCTAATCCTGATAAGGGAAGATGCCCCTGAGCACCTGGGTGGGGCAATTCTGGGTCGTGGCTGTTGGCAGTGATATCATGCTATGGGAACTGTATAGGACCGTGCTTGAACTATACTAAACTATGTCTGTCTGTTTATTTTCTTCGTTTCTTTGTTTTGTGTTGTATTCACTTTGTGCAGTCCTTTCTCCTCCTCCTCAAACAGGAAAGAATAAAAAAGTGAAGGAACAACCCCTCATTCACCCCACTCCAAATTGAAGAAGAAGAAAGCTTGACCTGGTTAGGACTTTCCCTTTCAAAAGGAACTGGAGCTCAAGGAGCTCGGGAAATGGGTCACTGTCTAGTGAGGTCAGACCTCTCCAAGCTGAATACTTATATGCATGTACACCATGTCTCGGATTAATTATTCGAGTACAGCACATCAATGCCCCTGCAACTATGGATCATGCCTATCCTACAACTTGGACTTCTATTCTGCAGTCTTCGCATTCTTCTTCTGGGATCCTCCTCGGACTCATCGTGGACAGGAACTGACTCAGCCTTACAGTATCACCTAATTACTTGTGATCTTTGTTATCCTCTTACTAACGCATGGTGATGACAGAACAAGCTATCGTACAAGATCTGGTAACCTTCCTGACCAAGACAAGAAAAATGCAGAGACGCAAGGTCTTCTAGTTTGGATTTCTTGCCTTATAATACCCATACCCAGCTGCCAGAACCCCAACGAAAGGCTTCAACAGCGTCGGCGCGTGGAACTGGGCATGCGCCTTGGCCATCTTGGGCAGCACGGCCTTGGGCGAATTCTCAGTAAAGAACCAGGCCTGCCGCAGCTCGTCCGTCAGTCTGGCGTACGAGCCTGCACGAACACAGACATCGGCCTCAAAGGCGGCGACCTCGCGATCTAGCATTTCAACGCCATTCTCGCTCTTAACCGCTGCAGCAATCGCCCTTGACAGCCTTAGCGCGTCCTCCATGCCCACGTTGACACCCTCGCCTGCAAACGGCGTCATCAGGTGTGCTGCGTCGCCGATGAGGGTGAAGCCGGCCCTGTGCGGCCAGGAGAAACCCACAGGGAGCATCATAAGGCTTCTGGGCGTCGTGTACCCCGAGCATTTGGATACGGCCTCCCTGACCAAGGGGTGCCAGTCATGCAGCCTCTCCAGCAGCGCCGCTTTGGTCTCCTCGAGGTTTGTCGCGTCGAACTTACACCCTGCCTTGTCAAGCAGTGAGCTCTCATTCTCGACGCGGTAGCACACCATGACGTAGAGGGTCCCGTCGCCCATCTGCTGCAGTGACGCCCTCTGCCCGTCACTGTGTGCGAACACGCTGCCACGGTTGACCATCTCGCACACTTGGGGTGCCGTCTTCTCCGCCTCGTACAGACGCAGCTCGTGCGCCACAATCCCTGAGAAACACGGCTTTGTGCTGCTCAGCGCCCCGCTCCTGACCTTGCTCCATCCTCCATCCGCCCCGACGATGAGGTCGAACCCAGACACCGTCTCTGTCCTCGTCACCGCCGCCATGCCATCCTGTTCCGCCTCCGTCACTGTGAACACAAGCTGATGATCCCTCGGTGCCCCGTTGTCCTTTGTAGGCAACACCTTCTTCAACTTCCAACCCCACCGGATCCAACCCTCGGGCAGACTCTCAACCAGCAGCTCCCGCAGGGCCGACCTATCAATCTCGGGTCTCCGGCCTCCAAGGTGATCCCCCGCCCCCTCGGGCGACTCGGTGGCCTTTATTCGAATATAAACCTTTAGATCCTTGTCGGTAATTTTGAGTGACTCGCCGTCATATCGTGCGTGCTTGAGGAACTTGTCCGTCAGCCCTGCCTCCTCGAGCGCCGCGAGCCCTGTCGCCGTGTGCAGATCGAGTGTGCCGCCCTGCGAGCGGTAGTTAGGCGACGTGTCGGCCTCGAAGATGGTGATAGTTGCCGAGGGGGGCAATTTCTGGTGCAGAAGGCGGGCGAGGGTGCAGCCCACGGGACCGGCGCCGATGATGGCTATATTTGGGAAGGACATGATGTATGCACGTATGTATGTGAGTGAGGAGATGCGAGAGAAAAGAGGTGAGTGATGGATGATGATATCGTAAATGAGAAGATGGAACAGTATGGGTTCGTCTCTTTCTGATGATGGAATGAACACACTTGTTAGTTTCGCCAGACTGGATCTTGGGTTGGTGTAGTGGGCTAGTCTTGAATATTTATACATGGAGCGGACTAAAGACTTGTTGATGACAAGACGTCTCTCGACACACATGCTATTTTGGAAAGATGAGGGAAACTCCGTGGATTGTCCTGCACGGTACACACCGCGCTGCTAACAACCCTCCGCCCCCGGACTGTATGCTTGTCCAATAAGAAAAAAATAACAAAATTGAGGATGCTGTGGTTGTATAGATGGATGCATGAATGCATGTTGATCCCACAAGGCACAAGTCATAGCAAAATGCCAGGCTTCGGCACTTCAGTCATCACCCTGTTTCAGCTGGACAAGTCAGGACCCCACTGAAAACGTACACGGACTTTATCCAACAATGTCCTGAAAGGGAAAGCAGAGAGACAAAATTTCATTTTCAAGGCCTCGTAACAGGTCCTAGGCACCCATCCTTGATACGTGCATCGCAGAAAACTTACGTTGTTGAGGCTGAGCTTGGGCGGGGCGGTGTTCCGGGCACGGCAAAGATGTCCGTTCCGGGTATTAATTGTGTCGAGGAAAACCCCGGCCAGGCTTACATCCTCGTTCTCGCTTACGCAACAAAAAGCGATAACGCAGATCTCATTTGCTTGTTTCACTGCTACAATGTGTCTTCACGTAACAGAGGCTTTTGTTGAATGATACCTCTGCGACGGCAGATGAAGAGAAGTGAAATCTTGAAACAGAGTAGCATTTTGAGTTCGGCTGATGAGAAAAGCGTTGTTATTCTAAGAGTCAGCATTCAAAGCTTACGAGGGCTAGTTCAAGCCTACCATTGCAGAGTACTGTGAGAAGTGGCAGGGAAATGTCTTCGAACGAATCGCGTCTATATCTTTGGCAAGTTGCTGTCTCAACCTCGTGCAGAAGGTTCAATGGTGTTCCAGCTGGGCAGCACCTGCACACGACGCAAAGACATGATAAGAGATTTAGGGCTTTCTATAGCACATTGTAGAGTAGCCGTGCAACTCTGCAACCTTGAGAAGAGTGGTGGTTGTTCCACCCCATCATTCATCCATCAAGACGGAGCCTATCAGTGATGCAGATAGAATAATGCAGTGTGGCTCAGTAGGCAGATTGCCATGCGTTGGATTTGGGGAGGCCTCCATCTCATTTGTTTCTCTTTTTGTCAATCAAGTAGGTAATAATTCTAGAATAAAAGACATGCGCATGGTCTTGGAGGAGGGTTCTGTAGAAGAAGACGATGTGTGCTAGTCTCCACTTTAAGCAGTGAGAATCATACTGCAAATGGTAGCGCACCCAACCAGAGTCGAGCATGTGGCAGGCTGCATACCTATTCGGGTAACCAGTACCGCAACATGGCCTTGTGGGTCTGCGTGGCCCCCACTGTTACGATTATGGCACGTACAACACGTACAACGCCGTGTCTGACCTACCAAGGTCTACATTTATGTGCTGTTTGTATTACTGGAGGTATAAAGAGTTTTCATTGAGGCTGTGCTCATACATGTATGGATCCAAGTTTCATCCTTACCTCTTGATGTCCTCTCAATGTAACCAGCTCCTACATTTTGTAAACGAGAACGAGGTGCCTAACGCAATGCATTCTAGCACTGCCTGTGTCAGCGGACCCTCTTTGCATACTTAGTGACTTGCTTACTGCCTCCCGTCCCGTTCGTCATTTTCTGGTCCCCTTCAGATTGCAAGTACACTGAATTGAATTGCAACATGTCGCGATACTATTATATAGCATAGAGCGAACAATATATGGGCAGGGATACAACATATGTACAGAAACAAGAGCAGTTCCCGGTGCTCTGAGTCGATTTCGGGCCAAGGCAAGGCAAAAGTATATTCCAAAAATGTGGATATATGTTTGATAATTACGCCTTGTAAGTGAAGGCGATCTTATTCGAACATTTCCTTAAGACTCTCGTCTAGACGGAGACTTTGGTAAACTAATCTAGCATAAGCTCATTACAGTAACAATAACATCTTGCGCCCAAACATCCGACACAATCCCTTTGGAATCTAAGAACCATCAACTGTCCCTTGGCTCCTCCATTTAGTTTAATTCTGTGCATCGAGTGTAGGTGTGCCAGCAGACCTCGTGTCTTGCAGCCCACCGCGTTCTTTTGCACCGTCTCTGCCCTCCGGCACAGGCACAAGGAACGCCGAGGCCAGACAGATCGCCACAGCCAAGATCTCCATGAGAACACCCATACAGAGATAGATCGTGTTGCTCCCGTATAGAGAGCTGTACTTGGCCTCGCCAGTAAGATCCCCGAGAGCCCCATAGAGCAGACGCACAAACACAAACGGGCAGGCCAGCACGACGGTGACGAGGATACGCATCTCGGACCCGAGCGCGGCTCGCTTGGCTGGGTGGCGGGCGACGTCCAGGGCCACGAAGAGAAAGCCTACGAACATGAGACCGTAACCGGCGAGGAAGAGGGCTAGGGCTGCCTTGATGAGGGTGTTGATCTGGACGTCGTTGATGGTGGTGGCGTCGTCAAGGGCGCGAGAGGTGCCGACGATGCCAGTTATGAGGCCGGTGAGGGAGAGCAGGGAGATGGTGAGGGAGGATTTGGTAGGGATGGAGTGGGTGGTTTTGTTTCTGTTTGATAGAAAAACCTCTCATGTTAGGAATAGTTTGGGTAAGAGGGGAAGAGAAAGAATGGACAGTATAACAGAATGTGAAATTCTTGGGGACAATGCTTTGATGGACTTACACCCGGTTAACGAAAGCGACGAGGGTCAGCATCAGCGGGGCCAGACCCATCAGCTCGCAGACGATGACGGCAACATAGATGTTGATTGACGGGTGCGATAGGGAAATAAAGTAGGAGACGTCGCCGGCGACTCGAAGTGCTGAGAGGGTGGCGATGAAGCGCCATGTGGCGGCCCATTTCAGGCCATAGTGGAAGCAGAGGAACAAGGACAGGACAAGCGAGGGCACGAAGAAGATGAACTGTAGGATCGTGATACCAGTGCGGTATGATACGGCCATGGTCAGGAAGCTTGATTGGGAGTTGTTCTCACTTTGTTTTACATGTTCTTGGGAATTCAAGACCACAACAGGTCGGGGCTGCCATGTCGAATATAAGTTTAGTACTTGTAAAGCTGCTGCACACTGCATACCGTATTTGGACTAGCGATGTGACAAGCCATACCCTTGCAGCCAATGCCCAACGCTCTGAGAAAAGATGGCCAGATTTGTTCGTGACATTCTAGAAGAGGTCTCATTCTACTTTTAATAGAATAAGCATGGAATGCTATGGGGAGAAGGGGGAAAGGAAGGGGAAACAAGGGCGGGAGGGATCTCAGAAACGATCAATGTGGATCCAGTGCTGTACTTGACATTGTCGATTCTGGAAATTGAACTGCTGTTCATACTATGATGATTGTTGAAAGAATATACAGTGCTCTTTTGCGGGATGTTGTGGTGTTGTAAGTGCGAGGAAGTAGATTTCAAGGCACACACGATGACTTCTGTAGAGGTTCGTCCACAGTGACACTAATGAAACAGAATTGGTGCACTGTATTCCTCCCCACATGACTTTAATGAGTAGACCTTCCGTTGTCCGAGCTCGACGTAATTCTTTATCGATCCCTCGTTTTATGGGCTGTCTAATTTGGCACTCGTTGGTTAATACCTCCGGCCCATGCACATAGCTGGTCTTTGCCCGCCTCCTCAAACAGAAAGCCCGGCTCTCCATGTCTTTGATTGCCACTCCATCCTCTTCATGATTCTTCCTGACTCTCAACGCCTGTCAAACCCCCTCGATGCCTCTCGATGCTCTTCTATTCACATCTTGTCCCCTTCCCCCCTGTTCTATTCGGCCATCGCACCCTAAAAGTCAGGGAGCAGGAACTCGCCCATTGGTCGCAAGGCGGCGGCGGTGACCAACAAAGCAGGTTGTTTCTCCAGCTCGTCCGCAAGATAACCAGCCTTCTGAATCCCCGTCGCAGAGCGAATAGCACGCAGGCGGTCCACAACCCAAGCCCGCGTCTCCGGCGTGTTGATCGGCAGCCAGCCAGCAAGGAACAGATACCAGAGCAGGAAATAAGCCCCCGAGGCCGGGACGAGGCGCGGCATGTCGGCCGAGCTGCAGTCAAGACGGTACCCCGACGTCGAACCCTTGCCAACAGCAGCGCCGTCGTCGTCGTCGTCGTCGTCGTCGTGGCGCACAAAGCCCAGCATCTGCGGCACGGACGCGAGAATCCCATCGCGCATCTCAGCCGTCGTGTCCGACACCCTCTGCAGCAACGCCGTGTAGGCGCCGCCGCCGCTTGGGCCCATGACCTCGTGCGGCGCCCAGGCGAGCCCCTCGCGCAGGAGCAGGGCGTAGATGGCCTGGTGCAGGATGATGCGGCACGCGCGCAGGCCGTTCCAGATCTTGGCGACCCAGGTGTTGTAGTAGATGTGGTAGACGCTGCGGTACACGGCGCGCGGGTTCGCGGCTGGGTCGTGGACTGTCTTGAAGCGCCAGTGGAGAGGCATGTTGGCGGTTAAGGTCTCGAGGCGGCGGTCGAGCTCGGCAGCGTGCGAGAGGAGCGCCTCCCACTCGTCTGGCAGGAAGGGGTGGTCCTGGTCTGGGTCTACGCGGTGGTACAGGTCCATCACCTCAATATGTGCCGTGCCCAGGATCCAGGAGGGTGATGGGCTCCTGCAGGTTGAGGCGGCGGCGGCGGCGGCGGCGACGACGATGACGACATCACTGCTATCTGGAGTCCTCCTCCTCTCCATCTCGACGCGCAGGAGGCGCAGGCGCGGCGGGACGGGGTGGCCGTGGCGGGAGCAGAGGGTCAGAACGTGGCTGACGGCCTCGCCAAAGATGCGCAGGCCCAGCGTGGTGCGGAACTGGGCCGTGCCGCGGTGCACGAGCAGGCTGGCCGCGCCGTTGATGTGGTGGGCCCACGCCTCGAGGGACGCGCTGCCGGCGCACGTGATGGTCTCGAACAGGCCCAGCACCAGCACGGCGAAGAGGGTGCTGTCCTTGCTGGCCGTCAGGGGGTCGGCGAGGGATCGGTTGACACGCTCGATGGCCTCGGCGTAGCTGGCGCGCGCCCTGCTCATGATGCTTTGGGTTCCGGGTGTGCTGGCGAGCCCGGCTAAGCCTGCTGCGCAGATGGCCAGGCGAACCATTTCTGTGTCGCCTAGTGGGTCGGCGAGGATTTCGAGGGTGTAGTTAAGGAAGCCAGGGCAGGGACCGGAGTCCTCTATCACGTAGTTGGACAGGAAGTAACTGATGGCCAGGTCGTGGAGGCTCTCTAACGGCGCCTCTGGGGCCACCAGCATCGATACAGCTTGAGTATCCCAATATTCGTGTCTCCTTGACTGGGATTGATCAGGGTGGGAGGAGGAGGATAAGGAGGAAGATAATGAGGAGGAGCTGGGGAAGGGTGACAGAGGGGATGGGCTCAAGCGGTCCTCTGTGACGACATCTGCGAGATGATCATCTTTCCTCCTTCCTTTCTTTTTCGATACAATCTCATTCTCTCTACCATCCCTGTCGTCAACTCGCCCAGAGTCCCTTTCCACGTCATTGTCGTTGCGGTCTGTCTGAGTTGGACTGCTGTTGGCTCGATGATCAGACGAACCCACGGTGACACATGAGTCGACCAGCGGCGACAACGACCGAGTCCTGAGAGGAGTAGACTCTGTGGATATGGATGCCGATGAACACTTGTCTGAGGCTAGAGCCACCTTGGGTTGTCGCTTCGAGGTACGAACACGGCTGATAACCCGTGTCGTCTCGTTGCGGATGATGATGCTAGAGGCATCGTGATAACCAGGGCATGCCTGACCTTTGCGGCGACCTGCAGTAGCTCTGTCAGTTTTGCCGGTTAAGAAGAGGCGGGGGAGGAGGAAGAAGAACAATAAGAGAAAGAAGAGGTCTAGTTCAGAGACATCTCCTTCCTGATGACGCACACTGCCCACATCCTGGAACGGCTTTATCGCACTGGAAGATGAAATGGATAGTTCTTGTCAGTCTCGATATTTGAGGGTCACCACAAGAAGGTACAGTAGCTTAAATAGATACACCGACTTCTGATGACAAAGGGACATGTGAGTACGCACCCGCCTCTTCTTGGCTCGACAAAGACCACAGTTTGCAGATGGCCGCCCGCAATATACCATGGCTGATTTGATTACCTGCAGTATACTTGGTAGGTTGGTTTCTGGCGAGAATGTGACTAGATCCGTATTGTCGGAGGGCCCAGCTTCATCAGAATGCTCTCACAGAGCGTGGCGGCATTACTGACGTGTTGGGTTGTGAATGCTTGCATAAATCACACTATGGACGGATCAGATGTGAGGAGGAAGGGTGGGGGAAGGCCTGTCTTTGCATCTGCCAGTTGCATGGGACATAAGAATGCGGCGCAGTTTACTCCTATGTACGAGTTAGTTCGTACCTTGATGCAACAATAGATGTGGAACGGCTGAGCCGAATTGCCGACCCGTCTCGAATGTTACATAGTCCGCATAAGATCCCGCCCTGTCTTGAATATTTGCGTAGAACGGCAGAGAATGTTGCTTTATGAATGAGCCAGTCTGACATTGAAAAGAAAACCAAAAGTACAAGGAAGAGGCAAGTCCTCTCACACGTCGTAAGATGGTTCATGCTTGGCATGCATTTTTTTCTGTGACCTTTCTGATCATTCGAGTTGTTCTGTACGGACCCCCCCCCCCCCCCAAACACACAGCCTTAGCCACCAGGTAAGCCTCTTCGTCCAGGTTATGGATCCTACAGGATCTTTCGGCAGCTCCAATATAACCTGCCAGACAGCTTCATAGTACCAATTACCCAACGTTCAAAGGCCTATTACAGAAGATCTAGGGCACACCCAACAGGATATTCTCGATACTTGCGGAATGACAAGAATTCTCAATTGTCAGTTGAGTCGAACAGCAACTCCAATTGAGCTTCACAGTGGATGCTCTAGGACTGTCCCAGCTACTATTGAACCTCGACCTCAGAAATTTAGATCTTCAGACAAAATTTCCATGTCAAATATGAGTTCGGAGACACCACGTGCAAGTGGTTCCATCACGGGCACCTCGCTGGAGAACCCTTCACAATTTTCTCCCCTCAACTCTCCTCTTCTTATCTTCTTGCCTATATGTTCTGCTCTTTCTATATTGCCTCGAAAAGAAACTCTCTGAATTAAGGAATTTTATGTTATAAGAGATGCAACAGGATTATGACTGGCAAGTTGGCAGTTGGCTTTTGAATACTGCAATATTGGCTTATCGCTCCAGGGCCACCGGCTGGCTATTCACACAAGGTACCAAGTACTTACTTAAGCAAGTTGTACTACAGAGTACAACCTACTTCTTAATTCAGCAATCCATAAACCCTCCTTCCACCTCCTCCCACAAACACCCCTCACTCATTTCTTTTCCTCCATTCCATTAAGCACTTACTTACTTAGTCAACCCCTCTCAACCACATGACCTCATAATTACTTACTCTTCCTATCATGGACATCCTCACCTCTCTCCTCGCCCTCATCAAGTTGCCCCTCACCATCCTCAACGTCCTCCGCACCCTCTACGCCGACTATTCCACAGTCCTCGCCCGCACCCGCGCCCCGCCCGGCCTCCCTGTGCCCAACCCCTCCAGCTCCTTCTGGCAGGATGCCCCTCCCCACCCGGAGCTGTGTGACGTGCAGTCCTCCCCAGCTGGACCGCCTGAGACAGCCGATATCGTGATTATCGGCTCAGGCATCACTGCTGCGGCGGTTGCCAGGACGGTGCTGCAAGAGCTGGCGAGGAAGGAAGAGAGAACGAAACAGCCTGCTGCCGGTGTTGCCGAGGAAGAAGAAGAAGAAGAAGAAGAAGAAGAAGAAGGGCAGCAGAAGCGCAGGGGCTGGGTCCGCGTGCTGGTCCTCGAGGCCCGCCAGCTCTGCTCAGGCGCCACGGGCCGCAACGGCGGCCACATCAAGGCCTCCCCCCACGAGCTCTTCCACCGCCTCACCCACGACGCCAAGATGGCCAAGGACCGTGCTGCAGCGCTCTGTGCCCTGCAGACCAGCCATGTCAGCATGCTGAAGGAGGTCGTGCAGGACGAGGAGCTCGAGGCCGTCTCGGAGTTCAGGGAGGTGCGGACGGTCGATCTCGCTGTGGATGAGGTGATGGACGCCAAGATGAAGGCCCAGGCGGACGAGTTTGCACCGTATGCGCCGGAGGGGTACGAGTTGAAGGTGTACTCGGGGGAGGAGGCGAGGGGCCTCTTTGCAGGGTCGGAGCATGTTGTGGGGGCGGTGGCGTATCCTGCTGGGGCGCTCTGGCCGTATCGTTTTGTTACAGGTCTGTGGCGGAAGTTGCTGGATCGGTCGGAGAGGGATGAGCTGGCTATTGAGACGGGCACGGCGGTGACGGCTGTGGAAGTTGTCAGTGGGGAGGATAGGTTTCCGTACGTCGTGTCTACGAGCCGTGGTAATATTCGCGCCCGGCATGTCGTCCATGCCACGAATGGCTTTGCTGCACAGCTTGTGCCAGGTCTCTTGGGTAAAGCCACGGGGGTGCTGTGCCATATGACAGCACAGCAGCCGGGTCAGGACTTTCCAGACCACGACGGGAAACAGTCGTGGTCGGTCATATATAACCAGGGCTTCGACTATATCACGCAGAGACCTAATGTGCCGAGTGGGCAGGAGAAGGAGCGAGAGGGAGGACGGGGAGGTGGCGGCGGCGAGATCATGCTTGGAGGCGGCCTGTTCCAGAGCGGCAAGCAGGGCATGGACATGTTTGGGGTGTATGACGACAGCAAGACAGACGCCATGACGCTCATGCACCTGGAGGGCGTGATGCCGACCGTGTTCAGGTGGGGGGCGGAAGCACCTGGGAGGAGAGTCATCAAGGCCTGGTCTGGGGTTGTTGGCTTCACCGCCGACGTGTTGCCTCTTGTGGGCAGGCTGGACCCGCGGCTTACCAAGAGACAAGTAACGACCAAGCATAGCAGCAGCAACGGTGACAGCGTCAAGCCGGGCGAGTGGATCGCGGCCTACTTTTGTGGCGACGGGATGGTCTGGTCCTGGCTGTGTGGCACGGCCGTGGGGATTATGCTGGCGGGTAGTGAGGACGAGGACCTGCCCAAGGAGCCTGGCCGTCCTGCTGGCAGGCTGGCGAGCTGGTTCCCGCCAGAGCTGCAGGCGAACTGGGCGAGGGTGAAGGGGATGGATATTGCTGACCTGGCTGGGGAGTTATGAATGAATGAAGATGAGATCATGAGATATGGGTGAAAAGTAAATGAGTTCAAGACGATGTCATATTGGCATTGGTAGACATGAGGCAATGATAGACTTTAGATGAGATACCGTCCATTATGACAATCCATGCTGGCTAATGATCAGTTTTTGGGAACCTCAACTATTATGTCTCTCGTTCCATGCTCCTTGACGTGCTCCTCCTCAAGTCTCTCCCTGTATCTCTCTGACTTGTTCAAACTCAAAAGTATGGCAACGGGTGCAGGTCCAAGCCCTCAACAGAAAGCTTGAACGAGTCGTTTCTGCGACAAAGTGTAAATGTCAGCTCTCATGTCAAATCGCAGACCAGACGCGAATCCATATCAACATCATGTCAGTGCACACTGCATGGACTCACCTCGAGTAGCTCCCACCAGCATCCAGATCCAGCCGGCCACGGATACAGTCCTTGAAATCCACATCGGCCCAGATGATGCCCTCGTCGTCTTCCCACTGCGGCCCAGCAAGGACATCGCCAAATGGGCCCGTGATGCACGACCCGCCGCGGGAAATGAAAGCCTCCTCGCCCGTCTTCTTTTTGTTGTTGATATTCTTCTTGATTTCACCCCTCGTCGTCGTCGTCGTCGTCGTCGTCTTCTCAGCTGTCCCATTCACCCCCTCGTCCCCCTTGGTGCACAGGACAATCTCATTGCCATTCTCATCAATGACAGACCGTCTCCTCGTCCGCCGGCCCTGCTCCTGCCCGTACGGCGTGACGTCCTCCCCATCATCATCATCACCATCTCCTCCCTCCTCCTCCTCGCGGCGCTTACACATGTTGGAGCTCACGACAAAACAGCGGCCCTCGATGCCGATGGTGCGGACGAGGCCCAGCCAGGCATCTCGCCCGTCGGCCGTCGGGGCCAGCCACAGGTTCACGTTCTGGGCGTACAGGGTCTGGCGGAGGAGGGGCATGTAGTTTTCCCAGCAGATGGCGGCGGCCATGTTGATGCGGATGCCGCGGATGATGGTGGAGACGGCCTGGAGGGTGCGAGGAGAGCCTTGGGCCCAGATGAGGCGTTCTGTGCCGGTCTGTTGGATGGCCATTTTGGTTAGCATGTCTTGGGAAAATGATAACATGACAAGAAAGGAGGAGGAGGAGGATGATGATGTGATGAGAATGAAAACTGAAAAGAAAAACATACCGGCATGACCTTTCTCCTCTTCCCAATCATGCCCCTCTTGGGACAAACATACACAGCAGAGCAGTACAAACTCCCCCCCGCCCTCTCAATGCACCCCACGACAAGAAACACCCCCGTCTCGGCCGCAATCCCCTCCAGCTCCTCCCTCGTCCCGTCCCCCCCCCTCCTCCTCCTGCTCTTCCCCCCCTCGCCATCGCCACCATCCACCACTACCTCATCCACAGGCAGCGCCCGCCGCACCCAGGCCTCGCCCCCACCGGCGCCTCCGTCCCCCACCACATCGCCCAGGTCCACCGCCGCCTCAAAGTACCGCACGAACTCGTCGCGGCCCTCGGCAGACCGCCCGCCCACGACGCAGCCGAACGCCGACCCGCGCGGGTAGCCGCCGATGTACGCCTCGGGGAGCAGGAGGATGTCGGCGCTGTGGGACGAGGCGGCGCGCTGGGCGATGTGTCGGATCTGCGCGAGCGTTTGGGCCGTCGTGGGCTGCGTCGCGGGCGAGGCCGTGGCTAGGCGGATGGAGCCTGGGGCTGGGGCTGTGGAGGATGATGGAGGCATTGTTTTTTTTCTTTCTTTCTTTTAATGTTGATGAGAGGAGAACGAGGTGTTTTAGGAATTGAATTCTAAATCATCTGGTGGTGGATGAGTTTGTGTGCAAGTTTGCAAAGGCGATGAAGCGAATGAGGTGATTATGTGATGAGAGAGGGGCGGCCAGTTGACCACCTTCCTTTCTTTCCCTCTCTTTTTTTTTTTTTTTGTGTTGAGCTGATTTATGTAATTCTTTACTCAATAATAAATTATTGACTCACAGCTTCTCTTTCTTTTTCCTTTTTTTCCAGAATAGCCTCTCTCCCTCTCTACTCTTTCTCTCCGACTCGTTTACTTATCTCTGCTCCGGTCCGGCCAAGGCTGATCGGAAGACGCGGGCAGCTTGAGTCGAGTCCACGATAGAGTTACGTAAAAAAAGACTGCGTATAAAACAGAGCCGAAAATGGGGGGAAAATTGACTGATGCCGCTTGACAAAGTTGCGTCTACCCCGCTGTGCCATCATGCGCCTTGCCTGCATAGAGCAAGTATGGGAATAATATGTACTGTTGAGATATGAGATAGGCTTCGCTTATACTATCCAGAAAAATATCGCAAATCTTTGGAGAGAGGACCACTTGTGATGGTTGAGTCACATTACCCATTTCTCACACATGAAATGACACCAACAACCTCCTTGAATGATGGCCCCTTCTCGAGAAGAGGAAAGAGTCTTGGATTGTTCCCTCTCTTCTTTCTATCAAGTAGATGTTTGTAGCAGTAAAAGTAGTAGTAGTAGTAGTAGTAGTAGTAGTAGTAGTAGTAGCAGTACTGGGTATCGATTCCGTTCCAAACCATAAAACTCGTCATCAATGGATGCCACCAGCGCCAACAGAGAGATAAAAAGAACAAGAAAGAAAGAAGGAAACAGACACGAAAAGAGAGTAAACAATGATACAGACCAACCAACTCCGCTCAGCAAACCCTTTTCTCTTTCCCCTTTCATGCGTGTGTATGCATATTGTGTGCAAACTTCTCCTTTGTATCGCAGTGTGCATGGCTCTTAGTTGCTGGCGACCACACCCACACTTGTGCTACCAGCATGCAGACAGTGCCCACCTGAAGAAAAGCCCACAAACCATCCCTATGATTCACTCGCAACAGCCAGGGGCCCTCCGCCGCCGATACTCCCGCTCAGGCTGTCCGCCCGCCCGTGTCCTGTCGTCAGCCCGCTCACGGACCGCTCGGCAATGGATCTTGCCGCCGTCAGCCCGGGGCTTGTGGGCTGTCCGTCCAGGTTTGCACTCAGCACCGACAGGGGCAGGGACTCGCGGCTGCCCCCAAACTGCGACGGCGGCAGGGCGCGCACCGAGGCGTGGTCGTAGTCCGTGTCCCAGGAGCGCCGCCTACGGCGTTGGGTCGACGACGCTAGGGTCAGGATCGAGATGTTGTCGTTGAGCAGGTTGTTGGCAATAATGGCACTGTATGTGGCCGGCCGGTACGCGCTGCGCGTGTTGCGGTCGCTGCCCGGCATGGCCGTGACCAGAGCCTGCGGCTGGCTGTATTGCACGGGCTCACCGTTCGGATCGCGCGACGACGACGACGCCTGGGCCGTGCCACTGGGGTGGCTGGCGCCCACAGCGCCAGGGCCGGCTGCAGGCACACCATTGGCCATCTGAGACTGGATCGTCGAGAGTGTGGTCGCCACGGAGCGGGCGGAGGGGGCAGGTGAGGAGAAGGTACTGTCGGGCCTGCGAGGGTCGGTTGCTGTGATCATGGTACCCGCGAGCGAGGTGCCGCCGTACGAGGGAGCGGTCGTGGGAGGACGGCCCTCGGTCCCGACATCGTCGTCGTTGTCATCTGCCGAGCCTCTGCCGCTCGTCGTCGACACCAGGGACTGCCTATCGTCGAGCTCCTCGGCCGAGTGGACCACCAGCTCAGGGTCAGGGCCGGCGTCGCGGGTGCGGGTGCTGCGGGCGCGGGCGGTGTCGCCTTCGATGGTCGAGATCCGGCTCTGTGGATAGTCTGTAGACCGCGACTGCGACAATGACTGCGACTCAAGATCCTGCTGGCGCTGCTGCTGTGCATGTCTGCTGCTGACGTGTCCAGACTGGGGATATGGGTTGTTGGGCCCTCGTGCCCGCTTCATCTTCTGGTTCAGCTTCTTGACCCATTTTGTAAACGGTTTGCGTCGATCTGCGGGCACCGTGGCCATCGTGATTCTGTGATCCAAAGGGTGCAGCCTGCAAGGATGGAGAGCAGGGCAGCGCAGGCGGCGGTAGTGACAGTCGGCAGGAGAGAGGAAGGCGGTAGTGATCGTAATCGAGGTGGACAAGGAGGTCGAGTACGAGGACGAGGAGGAGGGAAAATGAGGAAGGCTGAAGGGGTGGCTTCGTTGAGAAAAGACCCGAAGAAACAGACAGCGATGTGATGTGATATGATGTGACCGTGACGATTTGATCACGCTTTAGTCACCTTGATCAGAGAGCAGAGTTATGGAGTAGAGTGTGAGTCGGAAATTAAGGAAAGGATAGAACGAGGAGAGAGGGGGGGGGGGGCGGAGGAAAGAGAAGGTTGGAAATGGAGTCTTTAGTCTTCTTAGGATCTGAATTCGGGACGATAGGCCTCCCCACCCCCGATCCGTCCACTGCAAGCAGTGTCTTAGCCTTAACCCAGAGGCCCTAGCCTGAGGCCAGCCCAGCCCCTGTCCATGCACTGCCCTGCCCATCTCTTAAGGCCAATCACAGTACCGCAACCACAGCCAGGCCAATCAGGTCAGACCTAGCTACCCAAGACCCCCAAGGCAGGGCGAGGCAGCAAGGCAACTGCTCCCCTGGCTAGCCGCCTGCCTGGATGGCTACTGCATCCTCCTGTAGCGAGCTAGCCAGGTGCCATTTGCAGAAGGGCCAAGTACCCACCTGGACCAACGCAGCCACTGTGGGACACGTGACGTCATGCCAGGGGCTGTTTAAGCAGTGTCTGCACTGGAGAACAGCGAGAAGCCACCACCCACTGCAGTTACACCGCACTCAACGACTTGGGAGTATCCGCTGCCCCTGGCACTTGCTACGGCACCGGCTACAGCACCACGGTAGGTAGTATGCATGCCATAGCGATGTATCTACTAAACCATAGTGCTCCAGTGCTATAGTGGTGTTTATGCTCACTCATGACAACTTCAACTCGAACCTGCACCACAATTCCCCACACCAAGCCTCACACGAGACCACTTCGCTGGCAGCCTCACCCAGAAATGTCCATCTCGACATGTCCATCAAGCCGCTCCCAGGGGATGTCGTGGCGCAGATCAGGTCCTCCGTCGTCATCGCCTCGCTCAACGGTGTCGTTACCGGCCTCATCAAGAACTCGCTCGATGCCGAGGCCACTAGGATTAACGTAACCATCGATTATACGAGGGGTAACTGTTCTGTCGAGGACAACGGCACTGGCATTCCCCCATCTGAGTTCCAGGAAACAGGGGGCCTGGGTCAGATACATTGTATGTGCCGTGTGCACCATCGCTTACCCAATCTCTGCCACGCTCTATCACCATGCCGTGACTGACGATGTCATACATATAAAAAGACACTTCCAAGTTCCCACCATGCTCAAATATACATGGGAGACATGGCGTGTTCCTGGCCTCCGTGGCCTCACTGTCGCTCCTTTCCATCACTTCTCACCATGGAGATTTTCACTCTCATAACTCCATGGCCATCCACAATTCCAAGATTCTGACGAGACATATGCCGTGCCTCCCCGAGCAGAGGCTTGTTACCTTTCCCCACGGCACGAGGGTTGTTGTGAGAGATTTGTTCGGATCTATGCCCGTTCGCGTCAAACATCGTGCTATGCTGGCCGAAAAGTCGACTTTCTTCAGCAGGGATTGGGAGCGCCTCCTACTGGACGTAATAGGCCTCCTGATCGCCTGGCCCGGCGCAGTGTCCCTCTCAGTCCGTGAGGCTTCTGGCCGTCAGAGACTCAACCTTAGCACTGGCTCTAATCCCGACCAATGGGCCAGTGACAGCTGCCGGCTTCTTCACCAGGCATCTCTGTGGGATAGCCCAGATGCAGGAGATTGGGTTGCCATCGGGGCCTCTGCCCCAAAGCTGGACATCACCTGCTACGTGTGCCTCCAGCCAGTGGCAACTAAGCGCATGCAGTTCATCAGCCTCGGTATCGAACCACTGTCAAATGAGAGCCGGTGCAACATCCTATACGAAGAGGTGAACAGGGTCTTTGCCGACTCCAGTTTTGGTGCTGTCGAAGACAGTGACTCCGAGGAAGGCTCGAAAAAGAAGGGTAGAGAGAATTTCACAACCAGGGATCTCAAGGTTCAGAAAGGTGTTGATAAGTGGCCCATGTTCATCTTGAGGATGTCTCCCTCTGCGTCGGAGCGGTCTGAAGCTCTAGCCGTGGACGACTTTCTCGACGACAGACGCCCAGACTTGGCCCTGGTGACCGACCTGCTGAGAGCCATGTTCTATGAGTTTCTCAAGAAAAATCACTGCCGGCCCAGAAAAGTTATCTTGTCTACAAGGTCCACATCACGCCGTCAGAGAACTGGTAGCGCTTCACCTCGCCCTAGCAGCACTGCTACAGGTTCATCAAGAGAACAAGAGGCTGCCAGATGCCCTACTGTGACAGCACCTCTCAAGCCTGCTCGGAAGGTGCCACGCCTCGAAGCGGCAGATAGAGGGTCAGAGTCCCCATTCGGCGCATGGTCCAAGGTCAAATCTGGACAGCCTCTGTCGACCTACAAACAAGCAGCCCCTAGCCTCTCACGCACGCAGTCTGCCTCTACTACTCCATCTCAACCGAGTAGGAACACCACGCCATGCCACAACTCCACCGACCGGTCAAAACCCTCCAGCCCTGAGCCGCTGTCCCGTTCCCCACTCTACGATGTTAGCGGAAGACTCACACGACAGCCCTTTGATGACATTGACCCTCGCGAGCTGGTGCGGAAGAAAGTGAACAGAGCGCCAGAGCCAGAGTTGGGTGATGCCCTGCAGCCTGAGATAAATGACAAGCCACCCCCCGCTGTCGATCGTCCTGCAGCAGATGAGACCTTTGAATGGGTCAATCCGGTGACCAAATTGGTCACCACCATCAACTCCCGTACTGGCTTTGAGATGGCACCAAGACTCTTGACGCAGAATGAAGGACCATACAGAGACCATGCTTCCAGGACAGGCCTCGACATAACCATGGAGGCACCCGGGAGTCGAGAAACAGCACCTTGGGTCAGAGACCTCGTCAGCAGATGGAAGAATCCCGTTTTTGAGTCTGCTGAGGCGCCTATACCAAAACTGCCTGACGTAGCAGAAACGCTTCAACTTGATCTCAAGCCAGGTGGCCACCATTGTCATCAAGCCCAGGCATCTTTCCATGTTGGCACACCACACGAAACAGCTGCCATGGGCCTTCTGGGACGTCTATCGAAGGACACCTTGAGAAAGGCGCAGCTCATCGCCCAGGTCGACAAGAAGTTCATCCTTGCAAAGGTATCACTCACGCATATCCAGAGGGACAAGACTTCGAGCTTAGATCCGCCTGACATATCCTCAGTTCTGGTGCTCATCGACCAACACGCCGCAGATGAACGCTGCCGTGTAGAAGCGCTCATGCAGAACTACTTTACGCCCGCCATAGGCGATGACAACGAAGAGTACTGGAGAGCCGTGACCGAAGCCCTGCCCAAGCCTGTGCAGTTTGAGCTTCCTCGCCATGATAAAGACCTTCTTAACCGGTTCCAGGATCACTTTGCGTATTGGGGCATCCACTACGATATTGAGAGTCCTATACCCAGCAGCCGTACGAGCACCGGCCAGAAGAAGATGAAGACTACCACTAGCAAATTCAAAATCAATGTGCGAAGCCTACCCCCTGCCATCCTAGAGAGATGCAGGACGGAGCCCAGGCTACTGGCTGAGCTGATTAGGAAGGAAGCCTGGAAGTTGAATGACGAGGATGGATCTGTCCCACAGCTAAGGCCGAGGCCAGTCTCGGGGAAAGACCATGATGGCGAGGCGCCGGTCTGGGTATCGCTTTTTCACGGGTGTCCTCAGGGCCTCGTGGAGCTGATCAATTCCCGGTCTTGTAGGAGTAAGTCAGCCGCCCATCCATGTCTCTCCACTCCTCAGCCCTAAGCACACCAGAGACTGACGATTGCCATTCACTTCACCCAGGCGCCATCATGTTCAACGACCCTCTCACCTCAGACCAGTGCTCTGAGCTGCTGGACAGCCTAGTCCGGTGTGCCTTTCCTTTCCAGTGCGCGCATGGACGACCGTCGATGGTACCGCTCGTAGATCTGGGCGTTAGTGGTGGCCTGGCGAGCCTGGGCAGTGTGGATAGCGAGAAGATGCAAGAAGATAGTGATGGGGAGAATTTCAGACGGACTTTGCGGGCATGGCAGGAGAAGAGACGTTGATTGTTTGCTTGGCATACATAGCACAGGAGTTCTTGGGCAGGCTGGGTCTTTGTTTAGGATTGGTATATTGGCTTTCCACCTACTATAGTACCTCATTTGCGCGTATGTCATTTGAAAAAGGGCTCAGCGAGCTGACGAGGCTATGTCTTTTCTCCACCAACCAGTCATAAATCTTGTGATTTCAACTTTTGATCAAGCAGTGACCATCACGTGCGAAATCTCCTAAGCGGCTCGCATCAACTGTGGCCAGCCTTCTCAGTATGCACCCACCTGGACCAGGGCAACTTTACCTCTCCGATGGCCTTTGCTTTTTGATGCAACGGCGTTTGGTCACGGGCCGCCTGCTGTATGTCGCGGTCATAGCGGTACTCCTCAAACTTCCACCAGATCGCCCAGCCTACCAGGGTGACGATGGTCAGGGGCACCGTCACGGCCCAGTAGATCCAGAAATCTGGAGAGATTGAAGAGCTGCTGCTGCCGCTGCCGTCATTGGCCTTCCAGTTGAACATGCCCATGCTGAAGAGAGTCTGCATGAGTGGTGAGTAGACGATACAAGAAGCGGGAATATAGCGAGTGAGATGGGGGACTGGTCAGAAGGATGAATGAGGGATTGCCTACCGCGACAAATGTACCTGGCAGGTAAGCAGCAGTAATCAGGGCTATGATCTTCATGCTCGTGCTGTCCTTTCCTGCGGAAACGGCCAGACGAGCGCTAGTCTGGCCGTCATCCTGGGCGATAGATGTGTATAACTAGTATTGTATGAGAGACCTGTACTGAACCACTTCCCTCCACCACCACCCTAGACAGTTTGGAGAGCACTCACAATATTAAGCTGCAGGTGCATTCGTGCTTCAGAGGTCTCTGTGACTTCCAGGCAGGTCTCACTGAAAGCCTTCAGGTACTCCAGAGGCTCCTGAAACAGGGCCCCGTTCACCCCGTGGCAGTTTTGCAACTTTTTGCTCTTCTCCAGTAGCGTGAGTAGGAAGTTAACACACCCAATGTCCCACTGCGGCGAACGTTTGGTGAAGATAATCCATGTGGAGACATCGTTGAGCGCTGTCATTAAGCTCTTTGCTCGTTCCCTGTGCATCTGGCCGTCGACAAAGAGTTTCGACCCAACCGTGCGGCGGTCAAGGTAGAGCTTCTGCGACCGCCCGGCTTTCGTAACCCCGATGCAGGCCTCGATTTCAACTACTTGGCTGCTAAGGAAGCCCATGACGTAAGACCGCACGCGCTGGACGTGTGTCGCCAGGGCCAAACAGGGCAGCAGGAAAGGATGGCAAAGCAGATGCTGGGAAGCCTGAAGCTGGTTGACGAAGGCGTCAAGCGCGGGAGGCCTGTTGGCTGGCGTATCAAAGATGTTGATGTCGAACGCGAAGCCGAGACTGAGGGCAGTTGTTATGCCAGTCTCGAAGTCGTGGCTGACAGCGAGCCCGCCGATGGAGCAGTCCCATTTCTCAGGGGTCCGGAACGTCAAGTCTGTGATGGTGAGAAGAATTTAGCCCAGGCACGTGAATAAGCCCTCGACAGAATGAACGCACGCAGCCTCGTGCAGCTGTCAGGCGTGCTGCCTTCGGGATACCTGCTGCACGAGTATAGCCCCGACGGCTGCTGAAACGTCGTGAACGTGTATGGTGGGAGTCGAAGTGCCTCCAATACCTTGGCAGAGGTTAATTCTGATGGGACGGCTCGTGCAAACCTCCCCATGGGCTGTACAAAAAGCAGCCTGATGCCGCCTTCAACGCGCTTGTTCTTTTCGGCAGCATGTTGTTTGCTGATGTCAGAGAAGTTACCTCTCCTCCATGCCCAGTCTTCGACTTCTGATGCCTTCATAGGATGGACTGTAGTTGTATAGGTAGCATTACCCGAGTCCTGATGCGCACGCCCTCAAGTCAGCTTGGTATTACCTAAAACAGATAAAGCGGCGAAGGAAGGCTGTACTGGACGCACGTCAACATATTTCCAGGTTTCGAGGTGAGCGAAATGGCCGGTCTGGCCTCCTTGCAGGCTCCGCAGAAGTGGCGCCTCGAAAATGGCTTCAAGCATCGTTGGCGATAGTGCTGGCTCCGTTGGTGCAGGAATCGCAGGCCGCCGCATTCGAAACTTATATGGATATTGAGAGAGGAAAAAAGTGAGACCAAGGATGGCCGTCAGCTGCAGGTGGTTGTCCAAGGGTAAGACGCTTCTGCAGCTAGCCACCCTGTGCGTTAACGCATTGCCATCCAGTCGTCATATTGCATGTTGCTGCTCCAAACATCGATGAGGCACCTGCCATGGGTCTAAGGCTTGGATGTACCCAAACCTGACGGGCTCGTCACACATGGTAGAGTCATCGGATGATATTGCATTTGAGGAGAACTAGTAAATTTGTCCATAGAGCCCATGAGAAATGCCATACAGGCCCAGCGACACACTTGCGGATAAGAAGGAGAGAAAGAGAAGGAAAGAAAGAAAGAAATGAAAGGCGAGATACTTCTATTCAGCTTCCAAATAAGTTTAACACGAATGGTGTTGGCGACAACATGTTCGGGAGCTACCGAGTCGCTGGCTCGAGTGTTCCTTCTTTATAGTAGATAGATTTGGGCTTCTCTCCTTGCTTCTTTCCACCTGTAGTACAGCTTCCCAGTAGAGCCCAAGCCCATAATATTGTTAAAGTAGTTGCAGCAGAAGGGAAGTCTGTACATTGCAGAGCAAGCGTACACAGTTCAGGGTTAGGGCTCTACTGTATCACAGATAAGCCCCACCGCTTTGAGGGCCCCTGTTCAGCCACTGCGGCGCGAGCTTGTACGTAGTCAAGTCAACAGTGCGTTGCCGTCCCACTGCGCTTCGTCATTGCAACGTCTCGATTTGAATGTGCACCCCCCCCATTGACACCCTCTATCCCTCGGATAATGTGACTTGAAAGTCTAGGGCTGTCTCGCTAACTGACTGAGAAGGCTTGTTGACAATGGCTCTTTCTGTATGTATGCTCCTCCCTTCTACAGGACCTGCTGCCACTTCATGGCGCATTCTAACCAGCCTGCCGGATCCTCACAGTGGAAATCCTTCGATTTCTTCGACGTCAGCCAGGTCAAACTGCCCGACGATGCCGAGACACGCTCCTTCTTCGAGGGCAACGAGATTGCCAGCGTCTGTTCCGGCTCCGACAGCCTCTTCCTCGGCAGCACTGACGGATATGTGCGCATCGTGGGCCCGAGCTGGAAGATCATGCGTAGCTTCCAGGCGCACGAGGACGTCCGGATATCACACATGCGCCAGGTCGAAGGAACGAGCCTGCTGGTCACTGTCGCCGAGGACCTGAGCAGCGAGCCTGTGCTCAAGGTCTGGGCCCTGGACAAGCCGGTCAAGAAGACAGGAATCCCGACCTGCCTCAGTACCGTGACCATCCACAACGCGAGGAAGCAATTCCCCATCTCCGCCTTCGCGGCCTCAGAGGACCTGTCACAGATCGCTGTTGGCTTCGCCAATGGCGCTGTCACTGTCATCAGGGGCGACCTGATCAACGACCGTGGCGCGAAGCAGAGGATCGTCTACGAGTCAGAGGAACCCATCACTGGTGTGGAGCTGCGGGTGGACGAGAAACTCACGACCCTCTTTGTCTCGACCGTGTCTAGGATACTCAAGTTGACTATACTGGGCAAGGGCCAAGGCCAGCCGCCAAAAACAGTCGAGGACCAAGGCTGTGGTGTTGGGTGCATGACGGTCGACGGGTCCACAGGAGATATTGTTGTTGCCAGGGATGATGCCATCTACTACTACACACTGGAGGGTCGGGGCCCGCCGCGCGCATACGAGGCCCCCAAGGAGCTGGTTTCTGTGTATAACAACTATGTTTCCATCGTCTCGCCGCCGGCGTCGGCACGGTCGCAGGATCCTGACATGATACGGCGGCGTTTCGGAGGCAGTGCTGCAGATGCCATCTTTAATGCATCGTCATTCCTGTTGCTCGAGCCCGACCTCAAGGTGGTGGCGCACACCGAGACCCTCATCTCCAAGGTCGTGGCCGTCTTTGAGCTGTGGAGTGATTTATACACCTTGACGCAGGATGGCAAGATACACAGGTACCACGAGAAGACGCTTCAGCAGAGACTGGACATGCTGTACCAGAGGAACCTCTACCCGTTCGCGATCTCACTTGCACAGACAGCCGGCCTGGATGCACAACAGCAGAACGCCATCTTCCGGAGGTACGGCGACCACCTGTATCAGAAAGGAGAATACGACCAGGCTATGGTCCAATACATCAAAGCAATCGACAACACAGAACCATCACAAGTAATACGAAAGTTTCTTGACACGCAGAGAATACACAATCTCATCGACTACCTTGAACAGTTGCACGAGCATGAAAAGGCCACGTCGGATCATACGACCTTGCTGTTGAACTGCTATGCCAAGCTGAAGGATATCGACAAGCTGGAGAAGTTCATCAAGCAGCCTGGAGATCTCAAGTTCGATCTGGACACGGCTATCTCGATGTGCAGGCAGGGAGGCTACTTCGAGCAGGCAGCATACCTCGCCAAGAAGCATGGTGAGAACGACCTGGTGGTCGACATCCTCATCGAGGACCTGAGGAGTTACGACGAGGCGCTCAACTTCATATGGCGTCTTGATCCCCAGGAGGTGAGACATCCACGCCCTCCCTCCCCCCCCCCCCCCCAAACTTGACGTGTCCATGGAGACTACATGACTGACTGCGATCGGCCAGGCCTACCCATGTCTCATGAAATATGCCAGAGTTCTCATTGAGAACTGTCCCAAGGATGCGGCCCAAATGTTCATCGACTATTACACCGGCAACTATCGGCCCAGGATACGCCGCATCGCTACCAACGATTCAGTCACTCCCTCTTCGGTCGGTGGGGGCTTTGCCGCCGGCGCAGCAAGCGCTGTCCAGAATCTCTCCAATCTTCTCCCCCTTCCCTACATGAACAACTCGGCCGTTGCTTCACCTCCCACGCAAGGGAACCTGCCGGCAACTGTCAGCGAAGGTTCAGTCCTCATTGACACCGATGACGCGCCTCCACCCAAATACACGCCTCCACCGCCACGGACGGCGTTTTCATCGTTTATAGATCATCCTGACGAGTTCATCGTCTTCCTCGAAGCGTGTCTGCAAGAGGACAGCATCTCGGATGCCGACAAGACCGACCTTTACACAACCCTGTTTGAAATGTACCTGCACAAATTCACAGACACGAAAAGCGAAACTGGCCGGGAGGAGTGGGAGCAGAAGGCCAAGAAGCTCATCGAGGGCCGAGGGGCGCCGATAGAAAACTCCAATGTCCTCCTACTCTCCCACCTGTCTGATTACCATGACGGGACCACCCTTGTCAAAGAGCAGGCCGGTCTGCTGTCTGATATCTTCCGCTCCTACACCTCGGCCAAAGATACCCGTGGGGCCATGAAGGCATTGCGCAAGTATGGTGCTCGAGAGCCATCGCTGTATCCGGCTGCTCTAGCATATCTTACATCGGACACGCGTGTGCTGGACGAGGCAGGTCTTGACGAGCTGGCCTCTGTTCTCGACAAGATTGACAAAGATGGCCTGATGGCACCGCTGCAGGTGGTCCAGCTGCTCTCCAAGAACACGGTCGCGACCATGGGGATGATCAAGCCGTATCTGCACAAAACGGTGGAGAACGAACGAAAAGAGATCGCCTCGAAACGGAACCGTGTCGCCGGGTTCCGGTCAGAAACCGAACAGCGGCGAGCCGAGATCGCAAGTCTGGGCTCAAACCCCACTGTATTTCAGGGTACACGGTGTCTGGTTTGCACACAGATGCTGGACCTGCCGGCTGTGCACTTCCTGTGCAAGCACAGCTTTCATCAGCGGTGCCTGCGAGGCGGAGACGGTGTGGACGGCGAGTGTCCGCTCTGCGCGCAGAACAACCAGACTATCAGGGCCATCAAGAGGGGTCAAGAGGAGAATGCGGATCGTCACGAATTGTTCAAGGATGAGCTGGAGAGGAGCGACGATCGGTTTGCGACGGTCGCCGAGTGGTATGGTAGAGGTGTCATGGGCGTCCCGCAGAATATGGAATGATGAGTATTTCGCAAGCCTCAAGGAGTTGCCTCCGCTTGTGCCGATTGGGTATTATGAATTGTGTTCTTTTATCTGTCTAATGAAGATATTGGCGAGACAAGGACCACGTGCCTTGACCGAACTTCTTTGCAGGATTGCTCCCGTCTATTTCTGAATGCTGATGCCGAAGAGATGATTAAACCAACTGCCAACAGACTCGGACGTGGCTTTGGCCCCCAGCTGCAAGACCTGCCGCCAGTCGGCGATGGTGTCGAGGTTCTGGCCCTCGAGTAATTTCCCGTCGAACCCCGAGATTTCGGCGTGCTGAACCTGACCATGTCTCGCCGTGATGGTTGCGCGAAACTTTGTGTGACATGTGAGCAGGTCGTGTGGGCGAGACATAGAGAGAGGACAAAGGGTCAGCTTCAAAAGCTTATTTTTACTCACATCGCTCGGCACGCTTGGTGGGAAGGGTGGGCGCTCTCGAGGGTCTTCCTCGGAAGGATGGGTTGAGAAGGTGAAGAGGGGTGTCTGGTTGTAGATCCACTCTCGAGACTGTTCGACATGACCGCCATCATCATCATAATCACACGTCAGTAATCAGTCAAGTCGACACAGTCAAAGACATCATGCACAGCCAGAAAATGAAAGGAGAGAGACTGGGTAACCATCTCACCGTAAGTTCCTCATAACCCTTCCGGATCTTCTCATCCGCAAAATCAGGCACATCCTTTCCCTCGCCCATCACAGTTTGCAGGTCCGGCGGTCCATACATGGCCCTGAACTCCCCCATCACAGCCTCCACAAACTCCTCACTCCCAATCCCGACATTGCGGATCCGACTGCGCACGCTCTCCACCCCTCTGGCCTTCATGTACCCTTCGGCCGGCGATCTCAGCAGCCTGCCGATGTCGCGCAGGTTCGGCGACGACAGGAGGCATGTCCCGTGGTGCAGGGATCTCAGCCGGGTGAGCTTGTACGCCGACCCAGAGATCTTGAAGGTCTCTGCCGCACCGCCATCGTCGCCACCGTCTATGACGATGTCGTGCCGCGCGTTGACCTTGGCCGTGGGCACGCCCAGCCGGTGCAGGGCGCGGACTACCATCTCGGCGTGTTTGTCGCGGTCGAACTGGGCTGGTGGGCAGATGACGCTGTAGTTGACGTTTCCACGGTCGTGGAATACCGCGCCGCCGCCGGAACGGCGTCTCACCAGTGCCACATTCGTCGTCGTCGCCCCACTACCAGCCACATCTTCACGATGACCCTCATCGCCTCTCCCTCCTCCTGCGCCTCCTCCTGCTTTTATCAGGTCCGTGGCACCACCAACAGCAGCCCGATAGGAGCGCAGTAGGCCCAAATTGAGCTCCAGCCAGGGGTTCTGATTCCGACCAATCACCACACACGGGTCATTGGCGTAGAGAAATAGCACCGTGGAATCAGGGTGCGAGGTCTGGAGGAGGAAGTGCTCAGCTGAGAGGTTGAGGTAAGGATCGTGGGTGCGCGAGGTGTAGACTTGCACCTTCGAAGAGGCGTGGGCTGTTTGGGCATGCCATGGTGCTGCCGTTGCTGCTGGCGCCGTCGTTGTTTCTGGGAGGGAGGACGATGATGACGAGTAGTTACTGAAGGGTTGGCGCCATTGAGAGCGTGTTGGGGGTTTGCTAGAGGGTCTTGTTTGCCATTTTATGCGGCGCAAGGTGGCCATGAGACCCGGTGGTGTGGGTTTGTGAATAAAAGAGAAGGTGGGTTGAGAGAAGTGACCTAGATATGTTGAATGGTGATGATGCGGTTTTGGAGTTTTCCGCTGATGATGGTTGCAGACCCAGGGTAGGCACAAATACCAGCACTTGTGATTTCATGCAGACCTGGTCAGAGGGGAGATTAGGGAACACCACTACCACCAGGCCTTCGGTTTCAGAGCACCCAACTCAATGTATTTGTTTTGGAAAAGGAAAATCACACAAAAGTGAATTACACTCAACTTCATGAAGAGCTTATGTTGCCAGACTATAACAGCAGAATGTGTTCTTGAGGCACCTTCCATGAACGAGTGCTGATAGCCGGTGCCTCGTGAGGCAGTTGAGGTCGACGCAGGGCTTTATAATGGCATGAATTGATGCGAATTTAGTGGACTTTTATACAATTATGCAACTTTTCATCGCTTGAGATGGATAACGAGTTGTAATGTAGAAACGAGGAAAAGATTTGTCTTTGTTGTCATACTATGGTGGGCAAACATTTCTATAGAGTCATCTAACATGCCACAAGAATTCTACAATTACACTATCATCAACCAGGGTCGTGATTCAAGCTGGTTGCTGGGTTTGTGCTCATAATGAGAAATATTTCTGGGCTTATAGCCGGCACTGGCCGTATGTCCTGGCCTAATGTCCTGGCCTACTACCAAAGGTAAGAGTTGGTAAGACTCTGAGGGGTCCGCCCTTGAGAACAAGTCTTGGCACGAGTTCAAAATCAGGGATCTCATGCCAGTATCGTGGGACAACAGAATTTTCGATAATCTTGTCCTCGATGCCGAAGAGAAAAAGCTTCTTCTGGCCCTAGTCTCGCGGCGTGGACTCTTGGAAGACTCATTGACGATGTTGTCCAAGACAAAGGTGCTTCAAGCCATTTCTTCCCCGTCATGCGATTGTTCCAATCAGAGCTACTATCAACACTCAACCTTGTTGATAGGGAAAGGATTGATCTTGCTCCTGTGTGGCTCTCCTGAGGTTGGCAAAACGTTGACAGCCAAAGCAGGTAATTCGGACAATCAATAGCACTGCACATTCCATAACCCAGTTTCAAAAACTGACCTGGTTCTTCCAGTGGCCGAACAGCTCCAGCGCCCTCTGTACCGAGTCAGAATGGGAGAGTTGGGCGTGAACGCAGAAAGGGTCGAGAGCTCGCTGAAGGAAGCCCTCCGTCGCTGCTCATACTGGAACTCAGTGTTGCTGATTGACGAAGCTGACATTTTCCTGAAACAACGAACAAATGACAATCTTGCTCGGAATGAGCTGGTATAGAGTGAGTGCTCAACCGTTAGATGTATTTCCCAATATTGATCACTTACTGAACATGGAATTCAGTTTTCTTGGTGCTTCTAGAGTACTAATCAAGGAGTCCTCATCCTAATGACGAATCAGACTGATCATCTGGATATTGCATTCGGGTCATGCATTGATATAGTCTTATCGTATCAAAATCTAACCTCGAATGCGCGGAGGGATATCTGGTCAAGCTTCATCAAGACGCTGCCGCCGGACGAAATAAGGATTACTAGCAAGAAGTTGACAATGCTTTCTCAGTGGGTTTTTTATGGAAGGCATATCAATAGTGCCATCAAAACGGCTCGCATTTTGGCTGCGAAGGACAAGGAACCCTTAAGCATGCATCATCTGAACATAGTCCTCCACATCAGGAGAAAAGGGACTGGATTTCTTCGATCAAATAGAGATCGGCAAATTGGCGTAGAGCGCATCCCTATGGTTGCTGATGGAAAGATATGGCGGTTCCTTTCGTGGGTCTTACCGATGCGCATATTCGCTGTGGTATATCTTCTCCTTGCGCATCTTCAAGAGCTTAACAAAGGATAGCAGGATCATGGGCTGATAGACCATGTCAATCGAGTTTGATATGCCTCTACAATGAAGAAAGTAAGCCACCAACTCATAGCCCGTGTCAATAAACGCCAATGCATGGTTTATGATGCTGTCAAAGGTAGGCTCATGCTTGGATCCCTAGCTCATGGCCACGGGTCCTTAGCAGCTTTTCCTTTGCCTTTCTTGGCCTTGTTCTTGGATGACTTGGCGAGATCAGAGTCCCAAGAGGCCCAAGAGCCGAAGTATGGCTGCAGACCAGGCCCCTGTCCACCTACGAGTCTTCCGGGCTCGGGACACTCCTCAGGCTCGGGACACTCCTCAGGCTCGGGACACTCCTCAGGCTCGGGACACTCCTCAGGCTCGGGACACTCCTCAGGCTCGGGACACTCCTCAGGCTCGGGACACTCCTCAGGCTCCTCAGCAACTGGACCTCTTCAGGATCTTCCAGAACGGATGAAGCATTGCCAGCAGCGACATTTTCAATGTTGCTAGCCGAACATGCTATCTCGGAGCAATCATCAAAGTCCTCTGAATCACTGCCGACTTCACCATCTGCTTGGAGCTGTTAGTTGCCGCATTCATGGTTACCATGCTATTTCACGTACCAAGTGAATTAATTCATGCCGCTGACGAAGCCCTTGCATATTTCAGCTCCCTTGCTTAGAATACCGACTTGTCGCATAAGCTGCTCTCTCTGAGACTGGGCTTCCTCCGATTCGCCAGCAATGGAACTGACCAGATCAGGTGCCATCTTGTAAACCCCAGTTGGGGACCACACGTCACCCAGAACAGACACAAGACAGACCTCAATAACCTCGACAGCAACATCGTCGACAAATCGCTTCATAGCAACCTGAGAACCGAGACCGGATTAACTCAATGTAACAAGGCCCAGGGGATGGAATATACATACCTTGTAATATGCCTCCATATAATCCAGAAGCTTCCAAAGCTGCAAATCTGTTCATGTCCGGCTCGGTAGTGCCCTCCACTAGAGCATCAACCAAGTCCGAAAGATTTGCATCGATTCTCAGATGGCGAGTTTTCAGATCAGAGACGCGGAAGAAGCCCTTTACAATTGAGGCACATTCGGCACTCTTCCGAGCGGCTCGAATCTTCTGAGCAGTCTCAGTGAAGTAGTGATTGTAGGTGATGGGATGGATGGTCTGATGGGACTTCAGAATCTGAGCAGTCTTGGCTTTGAGAGCTGTCAAGATCCTGTCCATTGCGGGGTCGAAAATGTTCTGGACGAGCGCAGTTGACGTGCTGGGATCGGTGATGTGCGCGATGACAAGTTTGAGGAATGTCTTACACGCCTTCCAAACCCGATGAACGTGACTGACGACAATAGCCTCCCACGGACCAGCTTGATCGCGAAACAAGTCTGCCATGATCATGGGATCAAACAGTCCAGGCAGTTCCCGACCCCTAGACCTGCGCATTCTTGCTTCTATCCGATCTACAAACTCATTTCGCGTGACGGAGATGCCCTTGGGCGAAGAGGCACTTCCCGACTCGAAGCTGTCAATTATTTGATGGCGATGACCGCGTGTAGAGAGTTCCTTGGCAAATCTTAGGTTGAGATTTTGTACAACCGCGCGGATTCGCTGCTGGTAGCCGCGTTCGGATTCAACATCCTCAAAGAATAGATCAGTGCAGTTGGCGTCAACTGCGCTCTTGACCAGCCGCTGGAAGGCCTCGCTGACTCCGAGCAGGTAGAGCTGCTGTTCTGCCAAGGTAACTCGAGGCTGACCAAGCTTTCTCAGTTTCTCCCAACACGCAGCGCGCTTCGACTCGATCTCTTGTACCAGGCTGGGAAGCTCTGAGGTGATGTGCGCAAGGAGAACCTTACTGAGGCGGTAGCGTAGCTGGTCAATACCGAGAATTGCGCTGGGGAGATTCTGCCAGATCCCCTGGGCGAAGAATGTGGTCTCTGAGGCATCACGCTGGGTGAGCGACGCCTTGCCGGCCTCGCAGTCCATGTTCTTCAGCACATGCCAGCCAAGGCGAAACTCGACCTCTTGGTTCTGAGCCAGAGATGTGTAGATGGCCTCACTTGGTGACCCAGGAATCAGAGTGTCGGGCTTTGTAATGACTCCCATCGTTCGACTGCCAGCAGGGTTGGCCGAACGGGCCAGCTTAAGGACGATCTGGTTCGCGAAGTCGTTTTTAGCCGAGACCACAGCAAGAATTATGCTTCGAGGCTGTTTCATATACGAGTCGACGACGTCTTGAATCAAGTCGACATCGGAAGCTGTCTGATGTTTTGTCTGCGAGTGGATGAGGCCAGGGAGGTCCACGATGGTAAGGTGAGGACGATCGGGACCTGAGATCTCAACGCGAAGGAGGTCTTTGGAGAAGGCCTTGCCGTGTGTCGATAGGCCCATGGCGTCTTTGGCGTCCTCGATCAGCGATCCGAACCCATCGGTATCCTTGAGATCCCTGTGGAAGCCAGCAAGACCTTCCTTCTCTGGGCTGCTTCGAGAGTGATGAGGAACGATGGAGGCGCTGACGTCAACTTGGGGTGCCCGGCGCAGGACAAGCTCTGTGGGAAAGCGTGTGCAAAGATTGCTCTTGACGGGAAAGGATACCCCGGAGATCGCTTCGAGCACTGAGCTCTTGCCCGATGACTGGTCACCACACACGATGATCTGGGGAAGCGAGACGAAGTGGTTGATTCCTTGAGAGCGAGGCTGTCGATTGAGTTCATCAAATCGAGCCGGCCCTCAGAGCAGAGGCCATTCAAGGCCTCGGGTTGAAGATCTGTAAGCAGCATGTCGTACGTGAATGCCCCGTGGTGACAAAATAAGATTTACAAAGTCTGTGTAGTTCACAGGAGAAAATTGGACCTTGAGGATTCCAAAAGTGTAAATGCAGTGTAAATTTATGAAGCGTTTTCTCGAGTCGCAACATGTAAGCTAATATACAATCGCAGCACGCTGTTACTAACCTCAGGATACTCTTGAACTATGCGAGGAGACAAAAAAGGAGTGCGTAGAACAAAAGGGAGGAATTGGAACTAAATACGCGATGCGACATCACTACGAGATTGTCTCAAGGGCCTCAAAGCTTGATGCTTTTTGACACCACGTCGTGCCAACGCTTGTCTCAAAACTCGGTCAATCACAGAGAAGCCTACACACCTTCTACTGAAGCGAATTGGCCGGTCAGAGCTATACAACGTCATGACTCACTTTTGTAATGAGACAGTCATAATTTTCCGGAAGGTTTACCCGTCGATTGAGGTTCCAAAAGCATGAGATTTGAGAGAACGGTATGCCTGGAAGAGTCGGCAAAGGAAAGTCACTTTTTCTTCACAGGAACAGGATTTGGTTCGTTATAAGTTGCAAATGCAATCGAAGGTTCGTGCATAAACAACAATGTAACAATATTGAAAAAAGCTGTGTTCTATAGAGAGATACTTGAACTAGACGTTCAAATACTGATCACAATTATGTAGATAAGGCTTACAAGTGTGTGTTGTTACTCAAGCATACGTGTACAAAGGGCAATGCCTCAAATTAACAAGCGTTCTGTTTCCAAGCGTGTACTCTCTGTTTGGGGTCTATCTCTATACAAGCAGGATACTTGACTCCTGAACTCCATCAAATGCTAGACCCTCCCCATACATGACACCTTTTACATAAGCATCCCCAATCAGGCGGTATCTCTGGTCCGTCTGGTCGCCCGTCAAACCCTCCGCAGCCGGCCTGAGCACAAAAGGCACAGCACCACCACGCAGAACGAATACCTTGTCTCCTGGTGCACAGGTAGACGACACCAAGCCAAAGAGGCCCCTTTCAGTGGTACAGAAGCGTCGGTGATGGCCAATCGGAGTGATGGCATCGTTGACAAAGTCTTTCAGGGACAGTGTCTCGTCCTTTGCGTGAAACCCACCGCGTAGCCTGTCAATGAGTTCATCTGGCATCGTAATTTCGAAGTTATGGGAGATAAAATGCACGAATCCCAGTCTTGTAGAATGGTAGGAGTTGTCGGTCCAAAACCCACGGCGGGCCTGGCAGCAAGTCTCGAGGAAATCCATAAGTCCACCGCCAGTCCCCCTGGGTGCGTTTTCCCGGGCGAACTCGAGCCCAGTGCGTACCCAGAGCATAAGCAGGTCAACAGACCCTTCTGGAAAAAATTCGGCTGGGACGGTGATGTCGTACGTTTGTTGTAGCCAAGTCAAGATTTCTCCAACTTGGGCCGCCGGGGTACAGCGTTGGATTGTGTCGACAATAGATCCACAAACTCGTAGCACAGGCCTTTCTAGATTGTGTGGATCTCCCACAACCTCGATCGTAGTGCCTGAAGTATCTTCCCCACCGGCGGTGAAGTCTTGCCCTTGTATGGGCACGTACTGATGCGGAATAGTCGTGGATGATTCAGTCGCAGGCGCCCAATTCTGTGAATCTGTGTCAACAACTGTCTCTGGATACTGAATGATCCCATAGGTTTTGGTGTCCTACCGGAACCCAACTTGGTAATGCCCCGCTATGCATAGTGTTAGAGGCTTGACTTAGCAGCTTCGCGCCATGTCCAAGCTCTATGAACCGCTGTGCCAGGCGAATGAACACACTCTCAAGCGGAGATGTGTAATCTACCAGGCGGTAGAATTCATCAGCGTCGCTCGCCAGACCAAGAAGCCCAAAGACCATATCGCGGGCTTCTGTAGCGGAAAACGTGCGGTAGGTTGATAGCAGGTCAATGAGGAGACTGCGCTGGCTAGAGTTTCTCATCCTCCGCCGCTCGGCCAGCATCTTCTCAGCAGCTATATAGCCAGAGCTGATGTCACGACCAGCTTTGGGGTCGAAACATGGCTTTGGCAGCGCAACAGGATCTGTTGATGGAGACAAGACGACACTTGTTATGGGAGGTGCCAGCCCTTCTGGCGATAAATATGCGCTGTTGATATTCCGGCTGTATCTATTCATGAACTCGATGCAGGTCGCAATTGCTCGGGGGTCTACGATAGTCGTGCCAAGGTTCCATTTGAGATCCTTTGCGAGCAACACCTCCTGCTGAACCCAGATCCTCTGAAAAAACGGCGAGGAGAACAGTTCTCTCCAGGCCTGCCAGAGTGGGCTGGTCTCAGGGGGTAGGTTGTAGTCCTCCAGCGCGCATTCCGAGAAGAGCAAGGATGGTTCGTCTTTAGGTTCAGCATGCGCTGTTGGGCTTTTCTCGTCCTCGTCCACAGTGTTTGCGTTGTTTCTGTCACGTTGGCGGCTTCGTACGTCGGCTTCCAGAGCTCGCGCAGCCGTCAGAATGGCGACGGCCAAATCGCGGAGCTGGTCGGCCTTTTCAAATGTCGGTAACACTTGTGCCCAGACCGAGTCGGCCTGGCGATAAATACGGCCCATCAGTGGTATTTGCGTCTTCTTCTCCGATAAACTGGCCTGGTCGATGCAGATTGCATCCACCCAGATTTTGATGCCGAATTGCGGATGACGCATGGCTTGGAGGGCAGCCAACAGATTCCGGGTAACGAGGAAATCCTCGCCCTCGAGACAAAGAGTCTCTAGCTCGGCTGTAGAACCCCAGACGTAGGATAATGCTTGATATGTCTGGAAAGGATGCAGATTTGGACTGGGTAGGCCGTCATCAAGGATGTCGTACGGCATGTAATAGACCTGGCCGGTGTCTTCATTCCATTTTACACCCGTCGCCTCGACCGACTTTGGTTGATCTGGAAACTCGGCGGGGTCGGCATCGAGATCGCATGGCAAGAAGTGGCAGTCTATGCGTTCGTCTACCGTCCCGGGGTTGAGGCGAAGCACTCGAATCGAGGTCGCACTGGGAAGTGATCTGTACGTAAAGGTTGGATTGAATGACATGTCGCGTGATGTGCCACCAAATTCTGCAGGTCAAGACGCTGATAGGACGCGGTAGAACAAGAGTTGATAATTCAAATGACATGGAAAATCTCCAAGTCAAGCTTGAAGAGTGCCGTCTGAATGCTCAACGAGAAATAAGTGATATCCAGGGCAATATTCTGGGACTGTAAACGGATCGGCTGAAGAGGAAATGTATGCTGCCTAGCCGCATTGACTGCTCAAGAATCACATTGTGGCGGAGCTACAATCGCTGCCTGTGAGCGGGAATCCGATAGCGTATTGGCTGCTGCTTAAGATGCTACCTAAACTAAAATATGCATAAAGCTTGGCAAGCTTTAGGCGCATCAACCGTTATACAGCCAATTGGTCAGCTCGCATCGGTTGACGACGATCAGAAGCAATCAGAGGCTGGCACAACGGTGGGTTGCGTATGGTCTGTCGGAGTTCGTCCAGCACCGAATTTTGAATTAAAGGGACTGAAGAAAACTAAAGGAGGTAGTGGATCTGATTCTCTATTCGCTTCTAAACTTCTATCTGTATTATCTGAATTCAACTGAATTGCTTCAAGAATCACATTCCTCAAGACAAGCTTACTTGGCCACCCGCGAGCAAGACCTCGAGACTGGAATAAGGCGTCGCTTAGGATGTAATATCGTGCTACGTAGATTAGTGTTATTGGTGATAATCTACTTGGTTGCTATCTTTGAAGGAAAAAGAAAAAAAAAAAAGGAAAAAAAGAAAAAGAACATCTTCCTCCCGACACTGGCTGTACCTTCTTATTTTTCTCCACGCTATCAAGGCTCAAATGAACTAGCCGTCCAAATCCTATTCATGCATAGGCCAGTCACTTGAGAGCGTCCCAAATCAAACCCCATGGCAATGTTGATAGAGAGACTAATTCAGAGCTGAGGTTGGGTCCCACATGCACTTTACCAAGCCAAGATTAAATGCATCCAGAAGGATGAAGAAGCGTGTGTGGGCGTCAGCCCAACATAATACCATGCAGCACCTGAAGCAGATAAGCGTGGGGGGACGAAGGAGTTGTTAGTAAGCATAAGCAGATGGCACAAAGACCCGCCCCCAGATCCGTTATAAGCCCCCTGTGCAACCTCAAACATAGGTGGAGGCAGTCATCTGTCCAGATGAAGAACTACCATCTGGGCCACATTATGATGTTAATACCGATTCTGTTGCTGCTCGCGAGCGTGGTTCATGGAGATCATGGGTCAACCTTCGAACCAGAGGATTTCAGTGTGATCAGCGCTCTGGTCGATGTTGGATTCGATGTCTCAGGTATCCCAGAGATAAATCTGTCAAACGACGCAGGAGATTCGGCATCTCTGATAGCGCGCTGCACGCCTGCTGTAGGAACATTCTACTGCTGTTTCAAACGAGCAGTGATTGTCTCCCCTGTTCAACGAGATCATAGCTGATCATTCATCCACACTAGTGTGCCACATTACAACAGCGATATAGTGAGGATGCATTGCATATGGCGAGTGAGACACCCTACACAAACTTCACTGGAAGCTACTGGGCCTCAAACCAGGGCGAAGTGAGGCCTCACTGCATCTTCAAACCCTCAAGTCGGGAGGCCGTGCAGACTCTGGTGCTGCTCTCACGGCATACGGGATGTCCCTTCGCCGTCAAGAGTGGCGGCCATGCTGCGTTTCCTGGGGCATCCAGCATCGAGGGCGGCATCACTGTGTCCCTGGAGAGGCTTGACCAAGTGTTGCTGTCCGAGGACAAGAAGCTGGCCACAATAGGTGCGGGAAAGATCGCCTACCAGCTTTATCAAGAGCTCGGCGAGCACGAGCTCACCGTGCTCGCTGGACGCGGGGCGACCATTGGCATAGGTGGATTCACCCTCGGGGGCGGAATCTCCTTCTTCTCCAGCCGGCATGGGCTCGCCTGTGACAATGTAGTAAGCTTCGAGGTAAGACAGAGCGGGTGATATTGATGTAGTCCTGAGCGTGCGCACGTGTGCGCCGCGCCGCTCCCCCTTAACCTGAGAGACCCTGTGCTGACATCCTCTCTTTCCCTCACAAGGTTGTCACTGCCAGAGGCGAAATCGTCACTGCGAGCCCAACCCAGCACCCAGATCTCTTCTGGGCCCTGCGCGGCGGCGGGAACAACTTTGGCATTGTCACGAGCTTCGAGGTGGAGACCATCCTGCTGCCCAGGAACGAATTGTGGCAGAAGCACAAGATCTACACGCACTGGTGGTCTTCTGCAAACCTCATCGACGCCTTTGCGCACGCCGTGAGCGAGGCGGACAGGGACCCTGACGCGGGGCTCTGGGTGGCCTGGGTGAAGTACAAGGGTGTGAGGATCGCGTCCACGCAGCTGTGGCACGGCGCGGCCAACGGGCAGGACTCGGTGGTGTTTGAGAAGTTCAACAAGCTGCGGCCTGTCTACGAGGAAGGGGGCAACATCTCGCTACCCGCCATGACCAAGAATATCGAAAGCCAGAACCGGTATGGGCTGCGCGAGTGCTTCTACGAGATCACCACCAGGGCCGATCCTCGCATCCTCAAGCCGGCTCTGGCGTATTTCTGGGAGGCGGTCGACGCGCTGGCCAAGGTGCAGGGCGCGCTTCCTGCTCTCGTCTGGCAGGGCTTCACGCAGCCCCAGCTGCGGGCCATGAAGAAGAACGGAGGAAACCCGCTGGGCCTGACTGTGGAGGATGGACCTTACTACAACATCGAGGTTGCCATCTACTGGGACAAGGCCGAAGACGACGAGCTCGTCCACTCGACGGTATCTGCCGTCCTGACCAAGATCAACGTGGAGGCAACTGCCCTTGGGTGCCAGGCGGACTATGTCTACATGAACTACGCCAGCCGGTACCAAGACGTCATCAGCAGTTATGGTGCAGAGAACAAGGCCAGGCTGAAGAGCATCGCCCAAGAGTACGACCCGACTGGTGTCTTTCAGACCCTACAGCCCGGTTATTTCAAGCTGGACCACGCACCGCTGCCGGACCCCAAGTTCTTCTCCTACCCGTAAGCCTGAAATCCCTGATTTGGCCCAGCTTTGCATGTGCTCATACTGATTTTCTCTTGTTTTCCAATTACAGATCTGCCAGTATCGAGGAGTTCGTTACCGAGATTCCTTTGGTGCAGGCTGACAAAGACGAGCTGTGAATTGTCCGCAATTGGGTTGGCTCATACGAACCGGCTTCAGTGCATTTTATGAGGTCCTCGTATCTCAGAATAAAGTGGTAAGACATGACGCGGATTGGCCTTGACGAGTACAAAATACATCCACAATCGAGAGACTGAACAAGGGGAACAGGAGAGAGGGATTTATTGGTGAAAAGAAATCAAAAAATCTTGGAGCAAAGTTTTGGAAACTGGGAGTGCAGATGTCAAGGAACAGGCAAATCAATACTTATATTGCTCTTATATGTTCAAGCGTCTATATTGTATCTTCATTCAGTCTATATAGCACAAACATACGCGTCTATATCAACATATGTTGTTCCTGTTCGGGCATTTCATTCCTCGTAAATGTTGCTGTCACTGTGGTGCAAAAGTTAGCCAGCTTGAATGAAAAAAAAATGAAAAAAGACCCAAAAACCATCAACACTTTGAGAAATACTTACAATTCTTCCGAGAATTTCTCTCTTCCCTCTGCATCCTTGTTCACGTAGATACTCACGCTGCACTGGCCACAGGGAAAGTCTCCAAAGCCATCCTCACCAATCTCCACCTCCCTGTCGTTCCAGCCCAGGACATCCGTCCAGCGCTCGCCAGCATGCATCTCGCCGACATGCATCCTCTTGGAGGCGGCGCCCGCGTTGCTCAGGACAGCGGCACACCCAAAGCGCCGGTCCCAGGTGCCGTACCGCACGATGCCTAGACACGTCGGCTCGTCAAAGTACTCCGCCTGTTGTCCGTAGGCGTAGAGCTTGCGGGCCAGGATGATCCGGGGTAGGATACCGCCGCACGACGGCGGGAACGGGTTCTCGCCTTTGATGCCGTAGAGGTCACCGTAGAAAATGCAAGGGTAGCCGCTGTCGCGGAGGAGGATGAGCGAGTAGGCGAGGGGTTTGAACCAGTCGGCTATGGGGGCCTCGAGAGCCTGGTATGGCTGGGTGTCGTGGTTCATGACGAGCGTCTGATTGATGATGAGTTATTAGTTCAAGTGGGGGATTATTTCTTTTTGTGAAGGGTCGATAAAGAGAGAGAAGCCACAATGTCGGGGGAATCGGGGAGACGAACCACTGCGCACATGGGAGCGGCCTGCACCAAAGTGTCATCAAACACCTTTCTCATATCTGCACTGTCGCCCTGGCTGATCTCGCTAAAGTTGTACACCAACGGCGCATCAAACAAACAGAACTTTCTGCCCATCCTGTCGAGATAGTGTTCCATGTCCTGGAGGCTATCCTTCCAGAACTCGCCGACACAGAACCAGCCCTGGCCATAGGTCTCGTCCATGTTGGTGATGAACCGCCGCAAGAAGTCCTCGCTGAAGTGCTTGATGGCATCAAAACGGAACCCCTTGAGCGTGACCTGGGACGCCAACCACTTGCCCCAGTTCAGCACGTCCTCGGCTACCTCCTCGTGATCGTAGTCCAGATCCGATCCCATCAGGTAGTCACTGGATACATTTCATTAGAGTCAGTTGTTCCTTGTTTTTCTCTGTCCTTCTTTCTTGTTTCATATAAGAAAGGTCGACATTTTGAACTCACTAGTTGCCCTTTTCGCCATCCACGTCGCCGGCATCCGCCCAGTCCTTTGTCTTGTCCCCCATGATCTTATAGATGGCACTCTTCTCGTTCGCAGCGTTGTAGTCGACGCCCGAGAAGTGATACCAGTGGTACTGCATCTGGCTGTACTTACCCTGCCTGGCCGGGAAATCATAGCCAACCCAGGCGTGGATCTCGTAGACATCGCTGACCTGCTGGGTGCGGTCCTCCTGGTCGACCTCGTGCGCCATACACTTCTCCTTGCGGTCGGCGGCGAACCTGTGGTTGAGCACAGCGTCCCAGTACAGGCCTACGCCGTGCTGGTTGGCCGTCTCGGTCATCTGCACCAGCTCTTCCTTGTTGCCCCATTTGGTCGCGACCCCGCCCTTTTGGTCAAACTCGCCGAGGTCGTACAGGTCGTAGATGTCGTAGCCGTTGCCCTCGGTCGAGGACCCTTTGCAGCCTGGTGGGATCCAGAGGTTGTCGACGCCCCACCGCTTGAGCTGCGGGATCTGCTTCTCCAGACGGGCCCAGTGCTTGTGATCGGCGGGGACATACCATTCAAAAGCCTGCATCATGGTCATGTTCTCTGGTGTGGCCTGCTGCTCCTCCTGCTGGGGCTGCTGCTGCTGGTCTTCTTCCGCCATCTTGAGTGGAATTGCCGAACGCCTTGTCCAGTGCGAAGTGCGAGTCCAAAATACAAGTACTGGGGCAAATCAAGAGTGTCGAGAAACAGAAAGCAAGCCTGTAAGCACGCAGGACGATGAAAATTCCAGCAAGCAAGCTACAGCTCTTTTATACACACAGTCTTATGCGCAAATTTTCTCGTATTTGGGCCTCGAGGATAACGTTCGAGTAACAGGTCTCCTAGTTTCCGAGGCCCCTGTAGCGATAATACGTGGGGGTTCTGCACGGCTGGACTGGTCGGACTTGGTCGGACTGGTCTGACTGGTCTAGAACACGCGGATAACCCTTGGAGCTAGCTGGGGTCGTTCCAAGATTGTTGTGTGAATCTTTTGTTGAGTCGGCAACGGAACCCCTTAGGACGGCCCGTCGACGTGGTGGCTCTGAAGAAATGACGTCGCGTACATGTAGGCGGGGCTCTCGTGCGTGTTTGTGGGCCCACATTCGGTGGGTTGATTATGTGTTTGCGTCCACATGGTACTATAGTAATCAGCTGTAACTCATGAATGGGGGATTTTTATGCAGAAAACATACGTGTCCTTTAACTTGTTGTTTGAAAAGTCTGTGTTCTGCTACAGAACTGGTCTCTTGAGCACAGCATTATCTTGCCAGTGAATCCCTGACTTGCAGGTCTAATGCATCCTAAGTAAGTACTAACTTTTAGGGCGTGCAGGAGACAGACCGAGATGGTTCCAAGGCGAGTCTGAGAGAGTAGAAACTGACAAGAGTGAGCGCTATCAGATCGAACATGTTACATATCAAAGATCTTAAATGATTGAGAAGACTATCTGGTTGTCAAAGTGCCAAAGTAGAGAAAGAAATGGTCAAGGCAAAGGCCAGTTGAGCAGCTCATAATACGACTAATACAGTTACTCATAACCAAATGAGTGTTATTAGTGACAATATTGGACGAGCAAAGCTTAGCCATCTCTGTAATTCCAAAAAGGGTTAAAAACGCTGCTCCTTTCCTTGAGGGAGGGAAGAGAAGGGGGGGGGGTGGCTCGGAAACAGGCACTGGACAGTAGAAGAAGGAATCAAGGTGGACATAAATTCTATACACAAGGGAATATATCTTGATCCGAAGAGACCTCAGAATCACTCAAAACTCTAATTCAAAAAGTTCAAAAGAAATTATCAGACATACAAGAATCAATGCTTGGTTCTAGAGGTGAAGCTGCATTACCAGCTCTGCTGCAGTGCCAAGTGAATGCTACCTGGGGGGATGAAATTGCAATTGGGCAAGCCTCAACCTGGAGTCCATCGTGAACTTCCAAAACACTATTATTGTCCTAGGAGTGTGGTATGTTTAGTGTCAGATGAATCTTTGATAACGTTCACGTCTTTGCAACTCAAATGCAACTGTCTCGGCAGTGTTAAGGCCTGCAAGATACCGCAAGGGAATGCGAGACCCACATCCTCAACACTCCTTTACCTCATTTTCAATTTTCAATAGCAGCTGTAGTAGAAGCAGTAGTATATTACTACGATAAAGATATCAATTTGCTTCACCCAAACTGCTTCTGCATCTGACGTCGAAATAAAGATAAACGAGTGAGACCCGCTGGGAAGATATCCACCAATAAAATGCAAACCACCTGCTACAGTGGCTACTGTACAGGGCCCTAAGTACTAACAAGACCCTGGCCCGCACAATTTATTAGACTTCGCAGGAGTGAGACAGTACATTCCAAAGCGGCCATTAGAATGGCTTGTCTAGCATAAGTATAGAGTATAGTCCCATTCTGGACTTCATATATACCATCGCTGCTCATATCAATACCACCCTGATGCACAACATTATCCAAAAAGAGAGATGTGTGTTGATGCAGCATGCGAGAAGGTGTCCTGGGGCTGGGGTGGGACCTCAGTGGCCAGTGACCATGACACCCGCCCCCCAACCCCCTGTCGACGATCCTCCCCAAAAGGGAAAATCCCAGCCACCCTGTTCCCCATAGCAACGACGATGGGTAAATACCATGTGTGGTAGTGTACATTGCCATGTCGACAGCAGGCCACTCACCCACCACCTCATTCATTTAACGCCCTGAAAGCCTAACAGAAGACCACCCATTCAACGCCAGCCACGCAGGCAAAGTCCAGCCTTTGACTTATGCAGTGTTGCTTTTGATCTTCAACGGCTTCCTAGCTTGTCCCTGACCCCCTAACCTGGTCTGCAGCTTGTAAATAAACCTTGTTGACGCCACTGATTTTTTGTTCTCTTCTCCTTTTTCCTATCTTCCGTTGCCGATACAAGATCAATCTTCACTCAATATTCTTGCCTCGTATTATTTTTTTCTTACTCTTTTCCCTTGAGCCTTTCGATGTCCCGCAGCCGCCGTGCTCACGACTTCGAGATTCATGTCGATCAAGACTGCCTAAGTCCAGCAGCAATGGAGGAACCCACCAGCCACATCCAAGAGACCACCACGATGGACCAGCCCGCCGAAGAACCTGTTCCTGCTGTCGGGACCACGACAGAGCACACAGACGACGCCAGCCCTGCAGCTGAGACGGAAGGATGGTCAGATCCTACGGTAGACTCGCTCCTCGACGAGCTGATCGGTGGGGATGGCCCCGCAGAAGAGCATGAGCCCAGTGCAGAGGAGGAAGAGGGCGAGAAGGAGCAAGATGAGAAACTTGAGGGCCTGGACGCCGGTCCAGAAGCAACAACAGAGGAGCACAGAAACGAGGTGGATCATGAAGAAAAAGAAGAAGAAGACACAGTAGACGAGCACGAGAGCGCGGATGGCTCCTCGGAGCTTGACTTTACCTCCATCATGGACTCGGTAAACCTGGAGCGACGACATTCGCTCCGAACCGAAGCCCTGATCCAGGCAGCTGCTCGGGCGGTGGTATCGATGAGACAAGGTGGACAAGACGACGACAACGACGAACATGAAGAACAAGATCATCACGAGAGCGCAGACCAGTCTGTCCTCAGCTCCACGACAGACGACCACGAGGGCGACACAGACGACGACACCCTCCAGCTTGAAGACGACCATGACCACGACCTCGAGGATGACGCAACCTCCAGCCGTCCCGAGTCCTCGGCTTCCTACTCGCTGCGATCCCCGACGGAGGAGTATTCAGTGGGTGACGGCGCATACAGCAACTCGCACCACGGTGCCGAGGACGATGTATTTAGCGATCACACGCCCCTCAGCTCCCGCAACTCAGCAGACGACCACTGTGACAACAACGACGATGACGCCTTCGAGCAGATGACGGAGAAGGGCAGTGACTCTCCCCGTCATGCGCGGTCGCGAGTCGTCTCAGGCGTGTCCATGTCCGCCCCATCAGAGACCTCGGAGCTCTCCCGCCTGTCCCGCTACGAGAAGGAGGACTTTGTGCCCACATCTCGCAGCACCCGCCCTGCGTTCCGCAGCCCTTCCTCCGTCCGCGCCCTGCAGATGTCATCGCCCACGCCCTCTGTCTGCTCCGCCCAGGCTCGCTCGCCCAAGGCCCCGACCAACTTCCCCACCGTCTCCCGCCTGGGCAGCCCGACAGTGTCGGGACAGTTCCCGCCAAAAGGGCGGTCGACACCTTCGCGCTTCAAGCGCCAGGAGGCACCCTTGGTCCTGCTGCACGTTACCCTGCTGCCGCTGCGCTGGCCCTATGGCGACGTGCTGGATCACTTTGAGGCCAAGAAGTCGGCCCCTGCGGCCTTTTCCAGTGAGGGGATGAAGAACCTGCGCGGTGCCTGGCGACAGGTCCAGGATAGGCTGGGCGACACCGTCCTGGAGCGAGGCATTCTCCTGCCACACCCTCAGAGCGACTTTGAGATCCTGGAGGAACGCCTTCTGGAGGCCCTCGAGCTGCCCCTAGGACGTCGCGCTAGGATCCTGGAGTGTGGTCACTATCTCGGTCCTTCAAACAACATGTCCGTCCCCGACGACATCGACTCCGAGTCCGAATACATGAGCGACGCAGACGAGTCTGAATCTGGCCGTAGGCCCGAGAAGAGGCATTGGTGCACGACGTGCAGGGGCGACATACGTTACGACGAGCTCAGTGCCGAGAGGGTCTTCCGCATCAAGGTCTACGCTAGCAACGGTCTCATGAGCGCCGGTGCCTGGGAGACCTGTTGGAAGGAGATGGAGCGCGTCGACATCGAGGTCGAGCCCATCGTTGATGCTGGTGTTCAGGTCGACTTGGCCAAGCTGGGCGCGGCCATGGACCGCGAGCACCAGCAACGGCTCGAGGACGAGCAGAGCCAGCAGATGGAGGAGGAGCAGAGGATGCAGCTCGAGGTCGAACAGCGCCTCTCGCTGGAACAGGAGCGGCAGGAACTGGAGTCGCAGCGCCTGCGGTTCGAGGAAGAGCAGCGCCAGGCTCTGGAAGAATCGCAGCGGAAGCTCGAAGAGGAGCGGCGCAGGATCGAGGAGGAGCAGCGCCAGCGCCTCGAGGAAGAGCGCCGCCTCAAGTTCGAAGAGGACCGCCGGCTGCTCGAGGCCCAGCGCCAGGAGTTTGAGGAGCAACGCCTGGAGCTCGAAGAGCAGCGCAAGCTCATCGAAGAGGAGCAGCGGCAGCACCTAGAGGAGTCGAGGCGCCAGGAGCTCGAGGTGGAGCACAAGATCCTCGACGAGCAGAGGCAGGAGCTGGAGGAAGCACGGCAACAATTCGAGGAGGAGCAGAGACAGATGGGCGTTGCTGCGCCGCGGTCCACATCGCGCACCTCATATGCCGAGGACGATCTATCCTCGCTGTCGCGGGATGGTGCCACGTCTACGGAGCTGGGCGCCCGACGGCGACAATCAGACCGCCTGCGTGAGATCTATGGGCACGACCGATCCTCATCTTCTGAAGGTATGCTGAACAACAGCTCGTCTCCATCCATCCACATCCACGTCGACACGAACCGCCAGCGCGAGGAGGGCCAGAATTCACGCCAGCTGGCCACCATTCCCGCCACACCGAGGGACAGCAGCAGCGCCAGCGGGATGCCCATGCTGCCCATGCAAGAAGCGACTTCTCGCCACCCCTCGGACTCGTTCATGCCTCCGCCTTCCTCCCCACCACCCTCCTCCCAGCAGGCGTTTCAGCAGCAACAGCAACAGCGTAAGGCGCTGGATGCTGCATCTCTGCCTGAGCTGGTGGGCGAGACAATCAGGGTGCTCCTCCAAGACCCTAAGAACGTGGCTATTGCTATTCTGGTAGTGGCCCTTGCGATGTTGGCTGGGCAGTATGGGAAGGGCCAGGAACGCGGCGTTGACATCTACACGCAGGGGGGCCACCAGCAGCATCACTACCAGTCTCCTCCCCATCATCACCAGCTGGATTCTCGTGAGCCTGTTGGGCAGGTGATCATGAACACGCCCCCTGCCGTGCAGCAGCCTCAGGCGCAGGCGCAAACCCAGTCTCAGCTCGTTGAGACTATCTACAAGACTGTCACGGCAGAGCCTTCTCAGAAACATACGGTATCCCGCGATGTGGAGGTCGTCTACCATACGGTCACCCAGCACGCACCTCCACCACCTCAGGAGACGCCCACCCGTGTCGTGGAAACCATCTACAGCACAGTCACGGAGTCGGTTGTCGGGACGCCCCCGCCGCCGCCTGCGCAGGCTGTCATCGAGCCGCCGTCCCAAGATGCGGGTGAGTTTGCGTTACCACCACCACCTACCACTGGCGCCACCGGTGGTAGGGCGGTCCCCAGCGTTGATTTGAACTATGCGAGCTTGGATTCTTTCGTGGTGCACGGCGAAGGTGATGATATTGCAACACCAACACCTTCGCCTTCGCCTTCACCCCTGCATTTTACCCCTGTTGGACTGCTTGATCCGTTTATTTGCCCTTTGCTATCTTTTCCTCCATCGGAACCTGACTCTGACGACCAGAAGCTTAAGAAGGCCGACGACACCTATAGTGAGGTTGCACTCGAAGAACAAAATGAACAAGACCAAGAAGTAAATACCCAGGATGCAGATGACACAAAGACATTGTTGGAAATTCCGGCCAGTGGACAGCACAGCCCAGGCACGCCCTCAGCCTTGCCTGGCGGAGATGACGAGGTGCACGACCTGAGCAATGCCGCCGTACCACAGCCATACAGTTCCATGGCACCACTCTTTACAACGACCGAGGCGAATGTCGACGCCGCTGAGACAACAGAGATGTCCAGCGAGACCGAGATGGCCGTGGAGGACTCCCTCCCTGAGGCGAAGCAGACACCGCTAGGAGCCGAAACTAAGCAGCCTGACGAAGAAGAGCAAGGGATACAGGTGCGTTTTGGTGGTGATGATTATCACGTGGTAGGAGTAGAGGCCAGCGAGAATATCTGCAGGGTCCCAGGTGGATTGTGGTAGAAAGTGGAAACGCAGGGAAGGGAGGAAGGGGGGGGGGGGGGTTGGGTTGATCAAGTGGCTGCCGCGGAGGGGACGACTTGCACATACTAGAGCCGCAGAGAGATGATTTATTGTACATACACATACTCAGCGGGTTGGATATGATGGACGAAGCATGATCATATGGTACATAGGAGGATAGCGTCAATTGGATTTTTGTCTTGTGGGTAATAAGTCCAAACTCCGTTGATTGCTTGCTATATACAGTATGTTTGTTCAGTCGGAAATGGATTCATAGTCTTGACATAGTCTTGACCATCGTCCTGATTCCACGCACGACCATACCATGCATGGCTTTCCGAAACCATCTGGTTCAGGCTTTGTGCAGCTGTGAGTCCAGGGAACTGCAATTTTATGCGGGGAAGATACAAATGCAGTCTTGTACAAGGTGTAAAGGAACATGGGGCAAGAGAGATAGGTTGACGACCTGATCGACAGCCCAACCCGGATAACAACAACAATGTTGAACTCGAAAAAAAATTGGCAGGGAAAATGGGTTTGGCCGAAAAGGGACCAGAAGAGTGTGTGAACTTCAACAATCAAACGCGCCCCCTTTTCTTTTCAAACGTTCTGCGCTTTTTCTTGTCTAAATGAGGGGCGCCGATGACTATTGGAACGGTGACCTTCACCGGAAGAAATGATGGGCTAAGCCGAGCCGCTCTAGAGATTTTTGCTTTTTTTTTTTTCTTTTCCCCCAACCCAAATGCTCCTTTGGCTCAATCTTCTTTGATTTCTTGTGTCTTTTTATTTTCTTCTTTCTTTCTCTTTTAAGGCTTCGCCCTCGGATCAGAGGCGACAAGGTCCCCATCCCCCCCCCCCTACGCCGCCTGCCCGTTTCCGGCAGCTTGTGACTGCAACGACGGAAGCAGACTTCTCGCGGTGCTCCTGGCCTGCTGGGCGAGGACGGTGTCCATGAGCACCAGTGCGGCCATGGACTCAACGATGGGCACGGCGCGCGGCACCACGCACGGGTCGTGGCGGCCCTTGGCGGCCAGGATCCCTGAGCTCGAGCCGTCGTAGGTGGCGGTGGTCTGCTCCTGGCCAATGGTGGCGGCGGGCTTGAAGCCCACCCTGAAGTAGATGGGGGCGCCGTTGGTGATGCCGCCCTGTATGCCGCCGCTGAAGTTGGTCTTGGTCGTCAGCTTCGGCCTGGGTATGCCGGCCCTGTCGGCGCCCGTCTTGTGTTCTTCTTCCTCTAGCCTCTGGGCCGTCTCAGCGGCGATAAAAGGGTCGTTGTGTATCGAGCCCGGGATCTCGCAGCCGCCGAAGCCGGAGCCGATCTCGAAGCCTTTCGTTGCTGGGATGGACAGCATGGCGTGTGCGAGCAGGGCCTCGAGCTTGTCGAAGCAGGGCTCGCCTAGCCCCGTGGGTGCGTTCTTGATGACGCACGTCACGGTCCCGCCAATGCTGTCGGCTCGGTCGCGGAAGCCCGCAATGTACTCCTCCATCCTGCGCGAGGCCTCCTCGTCGGGACACCGCACGGGAAGGTGGGCGTCAACCGTCTTGCGGTCGATAGTTTGCAGCAGCTTGAGGTACTCGGGGTTCGTGCTGGGCGAGGGGTGCTCGGCCGAGGGGGGGAAAAGGTGTTCGGCGCCGACACTCGTGGTGAAGGCGACGATCTCGACGCCGTAGGCGAGGCGCAGGTACTTTTCTGCGATGGCACCAGCGGCCACACGGCCAATGGTCTCGCGGGCGCTACTCCGGCCGCCGCCAGAGGAGGCCTTGACGCCGTACTTCTCGAGGTAGGTCCAGTCGGCGTGGGAGGGACGCGGGTACAGGTCCATGGTGGAATTGCCGTAGTCCTTGGGCCTCTGGTCCTCGTTCATGACCAGCATGCCGATCGGGGTGCCGAGGGTCACACCAAACTCGGTGCCGGACTGGATCTGTACGCGGTCCTTCTCGTTGCGGGGGGTTGTGATGGCTGATTGGCCTGGGCGGCGACGGGTCATCTGCGGCTGGATGTCGGCTTCGGTGAGCGCCATGCCTGGGGGGCAGCCATCGACGATGCAGCCGACGGAGCGGCAGTGGGATTCACCATAGCTGGAGGAGAAAAGATGGTATGATCAGATTTGGCCAAGATGAGGAACACGTAGTCCGGAAATGGCAGAAGAGAATAAGGAGGAAAAAGGGAGAAGCGGGAAAAGAGAGGAAACATACGTGGTGACCCGGAAATACTCGCCAAAAGTCGACATAGCTGTTGTTATGGACTCGAATACAAAGAAATAGAGCAGCCAGACACGAGAGGATTAGATGCCTCAGCTTGTCAGGCAATGACGGTGAGTCAATTGACCGTGATGTGACTTGGGTTGAAGGTTTGGCATGAAGAGACAAGTCAGTCGATTTGGGGCTCCGGAAATTCTCTTAGCCCCAGTATATGGCCACGCAAAAGAGTCATTCATTCATTCTCGAGTCTAATCGATAAGGCCAATGCAGACCAAATGAGGTTAGTGTTGGTCAGGACCCCTCCAAATACCCCGCCATCAGATCCACCCATGTACTTTTTACTCCTATACTGGCTATATAGTACAAGGACCATGAACTGGATTATGTACTTATGTAACTCATTCTTTCCACCCAAATAACGTACTTGCATACCCTCCTCTCTTCCTTCCTCTTCCTTTTACTATCGCCCAAAACCTGCTTTTACTTTCTGAAGCACGTCAGGGCTTCGCCTCATCACCTTCTTTGCCCTTGCCCAGTCCACCAGAAGCAGTCCCAACAAACTCAGCGGCACCGCAACGCAAAAGTAAAGCCACACGGTGCCTTTGATTCCAGACAGGTCGCCGCTCATGCTAAATAGACTGGACACAAACGACAGCGGCGCAAAGATGGCGGCCAGATATGCCAGGCGCCCAAAGTACTGATTCTGCATCATGGCCTGGCGGCTGTCTTCGATATTAATTGACGCCATCGCCACGCTCTGAATATTATCGATGCGCTGCTGCAGGGTATCGATGCTCGCCTCGACGGCCTTGAAGTCGCGACGGAGGTCTTGAATACAGTCGTGTCTCGGGGTTGGATTCTCGTCGGAAAACACCGCAGCCATCGCTTCCGTCACCATGGTCTTGTATCCTGGGATCCAGCGTCGCCACGGGAACACCTTGGCCAGCGATGCCTTGATGGCCAGAGACGCCTCGCTGCCTTTCTTATAGGCGCTGAAGTCCGGATTCTGAAACTCCCAGTCGACTTGTGCGAGCCGCGTCGGGATGTAAGCGTCGCAGAGTGTCAGCCAGTCACCACAGATGATCTGGAGCATCCGGTGCACCATGACCTTGGGATTTTCTCGGATGGATGCGATCTGCTCCTTTGACATGCGCTGGGTCCAGTATACCACTTTGTCAAAGAGGTCTGTCGGAGGTGGCTCATGCGAGGCCCTGCTCCTGTTTGAAGGCGCCCTGTCATACCGACGGTTCACTGCCCACAATGGAGCGCCCTGTTTGATAGACGGGTCAATTAACAGTACACCTGTAGGCGCAGAGTCAGTAACAACGGCACACGACAACCTATGAGGTTGCTCTCAAGGAGGAGACGAGTTTGTAAGGGCCACGAACCAACGGGCCCCGTGCTGCCAGGCTCGGCAGGGCTGAACCAGAACGAAGCTTTGCTGCGCACGCAAGCAAAGCACGTTCCCTTGCCATCAAGCTCATCCTTCTGGTTTTTGTCGTCGTCCAGTCTCCGCAGAACGTTGAACCGCCCAGCTTCTGTCCTCGCTCCCGTCAACGCCTCCTTGTTCTCAAACCGCCGTGGTTGCATCCACTTCAGTGTGAAGTAGTTCCGGCTATGGGCGATCGATGGTAGTTCCGGAATCTCAACCCACTTGTCACGTGTGTTAAACCACGAATAGTCACTGATGTGACCTCTGAAAAAATGGGGGTCAATGTCTAACTCGTTGCCGAGCAGCTCAATGACGTCCCGTGACAGATCCTCAACAACGAACAGCCTGCTCCTATCGCTCGGCGGAGGGCCTTCCTTGAGTGCTGTCCTCAGCCTGGCCGTGCTCTCCACGGGATGGACTGTCACTGGATCAGCTGCTGTCCCGCTCATATCGAAGTCCAGAACCGCGATGTGCGTCCGCTTGGCTCTCTCGGCGCGAACCAAAACCTCTTGCGTCTTGATCAGGTTCCATTTCACAGGCGCAGTCGTGACCTCCATCCAGTCCGCCAGATACCCTAGTGAAGTCCAAGAGTTCGCGATCGCCTTGATATGCTGCAGATATGGGTATTGTCTCCTGGAGAGGGCGCGTCAGCACAGATACCGACCGAGACAAATATCTGGGCCTCAATGTATACCTGTCAATCTCCCATTCCTGCGCGCAGCCCGGGGGTCCTTGATCATAGACCTCGCCTATGTAGTATGCGTCCCCCGACTCGACCGTGTGGGGGAGGAGCAAGTTGCCATCGATCTGGTCCTTGACGCTCTCGAGGAACGTCGCACGCTTCTTGAGGGGAATTTCATGTAGTGGATGAGACATGACTTGGCTGGGCTGGGAGACAATAAGTCCTTGAGAAACTTGCTCTGTGAATTAGAGGGGAAAAGATAATGAGAAACAGAAAAATATAGAGCGCAGAGCCTGATGGCTCTTGAGTATATCATAGCCTGATATAGACGGACCCAGGACCCCATGCCTGAAGGAGGGTTCAGCCGCATCTTCATGGTGCTTCCTGATCGGTGGGCTGTACCCGCTGACAAGTCTGCTAATCATGCACACGCAATATCCCTCCCAGCTGCATGGCGTTCTTATTTGGTCAAACTGGACAGCCATATTTGGTCGATCGATCCGTGGTCCGATTGGATGCACGCTTTCGCTTCTGTGCGCTTGTCACCAACGGAGAAGGATCCCGTCCTGCAAGCCCCAAGTCAGGTCAAGTCGGTGCCCCACACACACATGTACCATGTGGCCTAGCCACACGAATTTAAGGTGGCGGGTGTAATCAGCTATGGCGTCGATCTCCCCCTGTTGGAGCTGAAAAAAAGTGTCGAGATCGGCTCCTGCTGCTGGTGTGTGTCTGTGTGCGCGCGCTTGAGGCTGTAAGTGGCTTGAAGGCATAGGTAGGTAGTAGGTCTTGGACTTCTGTGGAGAAACGAAGCGCGCAAGCGTTCCAAGGAGGATAAGCCACGATGTGCGGCAAGGAGGAATCATTGGGGCTGAGATTCATGACGAGGGCATCGTCTTGGCTGGATTTCATGATCCAGGAGAACAAGAAAAAATTGACGGGAGGATGACGGTGAGATGTCGGATCATATGCAAGCTCTGTCGTCTATATCGTCGTTATTGCCACGACGATGCAGCTGCTAAAGAGGCCCAAAATGAAGAATCGAGCAAATCCGCTGCCAGATTGCCATGGCAGTTCCTTGTCCTGTTCCTTGTCCTGTTTCTAGTACCTCCCTCTCTCCTCATCCAGGCCGGGGTCCCGGACCTACATCCCCTCCGTTAAACCCCATGAACGGCATGTTCATGTCAAAATCCAACATCTCATTGTCCAAAAGGTTGACTGGCGCCCAGCAATGCATCCAGTGGAATCCCATCTCCTGGTCCATCCAGGGTGCGCCCACCCCGCCACCCCCCTCCCCTCCTCCTCCTCCTCCTCCTCCTCCTCCTCCTCCTCCACCACCACCACCACCCAGCCCATGATCCGAGTCCGCAGGCGTTAACGCCGATATTGCCCCGCCGCCGACTCCCGAAACATGGTCGGGTGCGCTGCTACTAAGATGGTGCTGGCCCATCCCGGGGTGGTGATGAGGGTGAGGGTGAGGGTGCGCGGTCCCGCCGCTCGCCATGGACATGAGTGTGCCTGCGAGTCGTTCCGAGTCTCTCTGGTGGCGGGCGGCGGCGGCGCGGTCGAGGGCCTTTTGGAGGAACTTGGCGGACTGGCCGGCGACGACGCACTCGTCTGCCATGGTCTGAAGGACCTCGATGGCCATGGTGACGTGCTGGAGGAGGTGTTGCATCTCTACCTCGGAGGCCTCCTGGTTGATATAGACGAGGATGATGGAGGCGGCGAAGATGGTGTAGGTTGTGTTGTAGAACCTTTTGTGTTGTGGGAAAAGGAGAAAAGGATGTCAGCACGTACTGGGCGGGTTGATCATTTCTAGTGGAGGATAGGATGAATAGCATGAGGGGACTGACCATGTGCGGAAGAATTCGTGATATTTGTATGTCTCGTGAATGGTCTCGATGGTCTTCTTGGCTGCGTCGAGGCCCTTTTGGATGACTTCGTACGACCCTGGTATGTGAGACCTTTCTGCATAGGTAGAGGTGAGAAGTATGGAGCCGAAAGTCAGGATTCTCAGGTTCAGGTAGCCTGCCAAGTAACGTTAATCAGTCAGTCAGAATTCCTCGGGGGGGCAACTAGACCACAGCAATGAGGACAAACGCACGTATATATAGAACAAGCTTCTGCCGCTTCATCCAGATCGGTTCCTTGCTGCTATTCACAATCGACTGGTCCGGGGTCTGCAGCGGCCGGATGTTCGTCGGCAGGCCCGCCAGCCACTCGTCGAGGGTCTGCTCGATCTGCTGGGCCAGCTCGATGGTCCTTGGGGTGGTGTTCTGGGTCAGGTAAACTTTGATGCACAGGTGGCGGGTGATACGCGAGAAATCTACCATGCAGCGGATGATGGCGCAGTACGGAGGGTCGAGGAGGGCAAGGTCGGCGGGGTTGGGAAGTTCGGATATGTCAGTGTAAGGGAACTCGCGGTTGTGGTATTCGTCGCAGCTTAGACTACTGGGGCGGCCCATTGCGAAGGATAATTCTCTGCAAGCAAAGAGAACAGAAAGAGTCAGCTAAGGGGATACGGAGACAAGGGACACATTGTGAAAAGAGAGAACGAGAGAAAGAAGACTTGCTCTTCTAATGAGTATAGAGCCCTGTGATGGTTTGTTGGTTTGATTTTCCACTTGTCAGCATTGATTCCACAATCCATGAAGCGAAGAGAAGAGCCGACTCACCACCATGTTCTGGCTTCAGCTTTGATCAGGGCGGCACTCTTTTTGGAATGTGGACCTGGCTGACGGTTGATGCCCATGGCTACTGCTGTCCGCCCGGCAAGGCCGGTGAAAAAGTATGACCCTACCCCGAACAATGTAAGCCAAGTACAGAGGGAGAAGCGGTTGGTTAGCAAGAAGAACGAGGACATGGACTCACAATGTGAATTGAGTTCATTCTGGCAGACCTTGGCCTATATGAGAACACATGACAAAATCAGCCAACCGAGCCGAAAAAAATTTGATGTAGGGGAGAAAAAGGAGGAAGAGAAGCAATAACATTGATAAACGTACCAAGAAAAACTGAGACTGGACCATCTCCAAATCTGTCACAATCTCCAGCGAGGTGAACCGTGACCTAGCCTCAATGAAGAACTTCCTGCTCCACTGCTGATTGCTGATGCCGCCTATAGGCTCGGCATCCCGATATCCCACGAGGGCGCCGAGGGACAGCACGGCGTAGTACAGCGGCACAAAGCTGGCCTGCTGCTGAATGGCGGCCTCGTCGCCGGACCACAACACCTCGCACCGCTCGAGGAAAGAAGTCTTGTCAAGGATGGGATGGATGTAGTGAATAGACGAGAAGAAGTTGTGCAAAAAGACGCTGCACTGGCGATAGTGGGTGGACTCGACGACGGACACCTGCTTCTCGATGCCGGTCTCGGGAGTAACGGCCGCCCCGCCCGTGTCAACCTCGGACGGGGAGAAGCCTGGGTTGTGAAGGCTCGAGAGCAGCACGGCGGCGGCGGCGTCAGACTCGCAGTGCTCATCGCTCGTGGCGTCGGCGTCGCGAGGATGCCGCGTGCCGTCTCTCTGGAGCTGCGAGAGGAGGGCGACGGAGGAGGAGCTGCCGTAGAACTCGACATTGCGGGTGTGCTTGTTGATGGCGGTGACCTCCTGGCTGGCTGGGGCCCCGGGGCGTGACCGCATGGGCGAGGAGGGTAGGCCCCCCTCCGTGGCCGGTGAGCCCTGGGAGGCGGAGCGGACATTTACCAGGCCTGACAGGGCGGGCGAGGAGCGGTCAGCAGCAGTGGTGCGGCTGCCGGCCTCGGTCTTTTGTGCCTCGACGGCGGCTGAGAGCTGGCGGACCTGCTCCTCGAGACTCTTGACGTATCTGCACTCATGGAACGGTCAGAAGGAGGAAGAGTAGGAGCCATGAGGGCTAGGGAAAGGGAAGGGGAAAAAAATCAAAAAAAAAAATCAACAAGAACATACTCTGGAGTAAACCGGCCTCTCGTCACATCCTGCCCCTGATAGACGCAGTCAACCTTGCGGTCTGTATGGTAGCAAACCATGAAGAAGGATCATCAGCACACAGTCTCTTGCCGCCTGCCATCATGGGTGTAAGGATAAGGGAAAAATAGGACAAGACTAAAGGCGACATGACATACTCCTGCAGTAAGTACAAGGATACAGCTCATCACATTTATTCTTCTTGAGGCGGCAGAGGTTGCATGCTCTGGCTGCCCTTGGCCTGCGAACCTTGTGGCCTGAATTCTGAGTGTGGGTAAGTGTTGAGGAGGGGGAGGAGGAGGATTGTGGTGGTGGTGGTGGTGGCTGTGGTGGCTGGGGCAGTTGCTGTTGATGCTGGCTCATGATGAATGTTGATTATGAGGTGCAGCTCGGCGATGGTGCTGGGGGGGTTTTGTGGGTTTGGACGTGTTGTTGGTCAGCAAAGATAGAATCTGGGCTGGTTGACGAGCTGCATCCAGCCCTTCTTCACTCGTTACTCAATTGCGAAAGTGTTGACCTCTGCCGTAGCCTTCTTCTTCTTTTTCCTCGTCTGGTCCGTCCTTGTCACGGCCTATGAAGGTCGTCGTCTGGGTTACATACGAGGCTGTGCACGTGGGTTGGTGACATGTGGAGCACCTAACAGGCACGTTTTGAGAGCATTAGTCAATTTTATGGAGTGGGTAGGGGTTCCAAGATGGGTTGGCTGCGTGCGTGAGCGAAACAGTGAGGGCGAGTTTTGAGGTGAGGCTCAAATTGGGCTCGCTCTTTCAGGCTCGACCAAAACCTCCGCCTTGCCGATGCGCAATTCCCCTTGCCACGCACGCCTGGGACTAGCGGACACTAAACATGGTGTGGTAGTGCGCCAGAGTGAGCCGTGCATGCTGTGCCACCTGTAAGCGTGGGGTTCGTTAGTGGGGTCTAATGCACGCCAGTCAAGCCACAGCGCCAGGGCATCGACTCAAGGGGGGGGGAGAGTTCCCGGTGCTGAGCTGCCTACCTACGCTGTACAGTAACTATGGTAGGGCGCTCTCACGATGGCCTATAGGGAACCCCGCAGAGCACCACAACGCCCTGTGGACTAAGCAGTACCATAGTAGATTGATTGTATTGCCAGTAAAGTACGAACGACAAGCTATGATCAATTGCTATCGACTTGATTGCTATCATATTTAGAATACAGTAGTTATGCTCACATGTCACATTGTACATTCTCATGCTCTGAAATTTCCCAAGAGAATACAGGTGAACAAGTAATCCACAGGAAAAAAAAAATGGAGGACGGAAAAGAAGGGGAAAAGAAGAAAAGAAGAAGGGAATGAGAACGACCAGGTCATGGAAACATTAAAGACGATGGATCTGAATGTTCCCAAACTTTGGCTTTTACCCTACGTCTCCTCCTCCTCAGTAGAGTCCAGACCTCCATGACAAGTCCACGCTCCCCCAGGTTTATTATTCCCTGCCCAGAAGTGACACCGACCAACCCCGCGATATCTTGTCTTCGGAAAAGCCGGGAACGGACTCTGGTCCCCACAACACTAACGACATGTCCACGGGTGCAATATCAAATTATGTATGCCAAAACCTGGTCCTGGGGTCGTACCATCAGAGTCCCCCACATAGAAAGTGTAGCTGGGTGGATGGTCGTGTCTGTGACGCGAGGGGTTGAACTTAACTTATGAGATAGTGCTTGTTCTTTATTTATTCGTGGAGGGACCAGCAGCGAGCATTCCTGACCAGGCCGAGACAAGGACAAAACATAACCTGGAAGCAAACTTGAAGGACATTAACACCAGAGTGTTATCCTTTGTTCACCAAGTACAATACTCATTTATCAAACTTGATCCACTTCTCAATAACAATGAGCGTCCCCGTCCTCAGCACGCCTCCCGACAAACGGTCGGCCTACATCATCGACCAGCTCGAAGGCGAACGCATCACCATCCCCGGCAGTAAGGGCGTCTTCCGCATCCTCGCCTCCTCCAAACAGACTCAGGGCGGCATCGCCGTCTTCTCGAGCGGCGCCGTGCTGTCTGATGCGCCGGGCTTCCACTGGCACGCCGAGGCCCATGATGTCTTCCTCCCAACCAAGGGGTTTCTGAAGCTGTGGAGTGGCGACAAGTGTAGGATCATGGGGCCTGGAGATTTTGCTTATGTCCCCCCTGTGAGTTATGCCCAAAAGTTGTTGATATGTATTTTTAATTCTGGAATTATAAACTTCTCATATGAGCTCTGTATACACACACACACATGTATTCGAATACTGACATGAATTATTCTACAACCAGAAAATCATACACAACCCAGAGATGCTCGGCCCCCACACTGAACAGCTAGGTCTCGTCGCTCCTGGCGACTGGGTCGACTTCTTCCGCTACGTCGCCGACTCCTACAGCGGCCTCCTCGTTCCCGAGTCCGACACCCGCGACCTCAAAGCCCACATCATCCCCAAAGTCATGGCCGCCCGCGACCGCTTCGACGTCCACTTTGTCCGCGACCACCAGCCCGCCGAGGTGAGCGACTGGCTCGCCTCCGAGACCGCCCTGCCCGAGGAAGCCCTGACACCCTATTTCCTGCGCGCCAACACGGGCCCGCGACAGATTCTGGGGGGCGTCATGTCGCGGCCGTTCATCTATGCGCGCCACACCGCGGGGCGGTTCGCCATCACGAGCCTGGAGTCTTCGAGCGCCTATGGCAGGTCGTGGCTGGCGGAGAGGTGGATCACGTTTCAGAGTGTAGACCACTGCTTCTGCGTGCAGGAGGGCATTCTCAAGGTGCGGCTGCGGGGCGAGGAGGCGTGGAGTGAGGTCAGAGAGGGTCAGACGCTGCTGGTGCCGGCGGGCCAGGCGTTTGTTTTGGACTTTGGGAGTCGCTATGTTCGTGCCATCACCTTCACCAACGGGAAGGGTCTGGAGGAGGTCGTGAGGCTGGCTGGGGTTGACTGCGCCGGCGTGGTGCTGCCGGACGAGGCGGCTGCCTTTGATGCTGCCAGGTTGCAGGAAGCATGTTCTGAGGTGGGCATAACTCTGAACGACCTATAGTGTGTTGACAATGAAGTTATCATATGTACAAGGTTGAATTTGGAGTGTAAAGACATTACCCTCAAGCGTTCTCAGCCTATGATGCAGTAGAAAGTTGAATGATTATAAAATTAACACACCTACAGTACGATCAAAGGTCTGAAAAGGACAATGTTTTAGAAGCGCTGCATGAATAAGAGTAAATAGCAAGTGTCATCAGAAAAGTACATGGGAAAAAGGCAAGAGACAATACTCAAATTCGCACATGACATGGTCAACGTAATATTGGATGAGCCCAACACTTGCAGAATTATATATTTTTTCATACAATTCTATCAATATCAGAAGGGATCACATCGCACCGCCTCTTCCACTTCTCTGGATGCGTCGTAACCATATAACCATGGCTGGACCTCTGGGCATGTCCACCTGCTGGGGAACGGACCCTTGAGCTCCTTGCCCAGCATTGAGAGGAATAAGGCATCCCGTTCCTCTTGTTCTGGACCATCAAGCATGTGGAAGTCATGTCGCTTTTTGAAAGGGAAGAAATGTTGGTCGTCAGCAAGAGTAAACACCACAAGAAAACAATCACCCTGAAGTCAATAACGAGGACGAATGGAAAGGAAGAAATAAAATTACCTGTTTGAACGTCTCCCGAACAATAGCCTCGCCTCGTACTTTTCTGAGCTTCTCATACATCTTCAAAGCCTTAGGTATTTGATCCTTGGACTGAATATGCCCCAGTAGTTGGCCCAGGACTGCACCGTCTTCCACTGCAGAGTTGGCTCCTTGTGCTAAATATGGCAGCATTGGGTGACACGAATCGCCCCTATGTATCGTAAATTAGCATCTGGCTTGTGTTTTCTTCGTTTCTCCTATCCCAAATGAATGATCAAGCAAGAGACTTACACAAAAGCAAAGTTTCCCTTGTCGTTCACCCACGACGGAAGCGCCTCTCCTAAGATCATGAAACATGATTGTATCAGCCCTCCATTCGAGCCATCGAGTTATTGTGTCGAGAGAGTTCATGGGTAAGAATCGTAACTCACTGTGCATCAACCGCCACTTCTCCACCGTGTCGACCTTTTCCAGAAACCTCTTCAGAATCGGGTCCCACTCCTTAAACAGCGCCTTCATCTCCTCCAGACTACCCTTCTGCTTGCTCACCCCCTCAGGCAGATCATCCGGCACCAGCAGCACAAGGTTATACAGCTGGCCCGCCCGCATCGAGTACCCCACAGCATGCGCCCCAGGCCCGATCCAAAAGTGCACGGTAGGCTCACGGATCCAGCGCTGCAGCTCCTCGTCCCCCTCGGCATCATCCAGGCTCAGCATCAACCGGTACGCCAGGTCCCCCGTCGGCAGAGGCCTGCGCTCCTCCGCCTCGCCACCGAGGAAATATGCCTGGCACCGCGACCAGACCCCGTCCGCGGCGACAACAACATCCCCGCGGGCCCGTGTGCCGCTCTTGGTCGTCACCTCGGCGGCGTCAAAGTCCACCGTGCTGATGGGCTCCCCGAGGCGGAACTGCACGCCCAGCTCCTCGGCCCGGCTGACGAGGGCGCGCTGCATGTCGACGCGGTGCATGTCGAGGAAGGGGGCGTCGTACTTGGCGCGCATGTTGCGGTCGAAGTGGTCCTCGTGGGCGAGAACCTTGCCAGAGTACCGGTGGACGGTCAAGGACGTTGGCTCTGCGGCTGACTTCCAGAGACGGTCTGCCAGGCCCCATTTTTGCAGTATGCGTGTTGAGTTGGGCGTTACTTGGAGACCTGCACCGACCTGGTGGTTTTTTTTCATATACATGTGGTGAGCCTTCTGTTTCTCTCTTCTGAATCTTGAGAGAGGAGATGAATGAAATGCAATAACGAACATACCTCAAGGAGTTCCTTGGCAGACTCAAACACGGTGACATTGTGTCCCGACAGAGCCGACGAGATTGCTGTTGCGAGCCCGCTTATTCCGGCCCCGACGATGATGATGTCCAGCTTGACTGCTGCTTTTTGCTGGACGTGTTTGCTCTCCTCGGCTGGTCGGCCGTTGGTGGTCTCTTTTTGTGCTAGAATGGAGCAAGTATCATTGTTGAGCACCAAGAACTGCCAGGTCTTTTGAAGAAAGGACAACATGTTACCAAAATCCGGGAGAATTTGCTGGGCTGCTGAGAAGCAAATGAGAGGGAGAGAAAGAGGGGGAGAGAGAGTGAGAGAGCAAGTGGCGATATGTGGTAAATTCCACTGCGCATATTGGCCCGTGAAGGAATCACGAGGCTGACATGTGAGATCCTTATAAAAGGAAGCGTTCAGCTCGTCCTAAGGGGGAAAAAGGCCTTGGTGCTGTACCCGTTACAGAATTACATACACAAGTGCATACAAACATGTACGATCATGTATGCATGTCTGTCAGCTTTACCATGCAAGTACATACATATCTGGACACCTACCACTCAGAGGCGCCGGAAGTCCCGTGTCCTAGGTCGATCTGGGGAAGTCCGGGTTATCCGAACTTCTCTTTCTCCCCTCCAGACTCCAGAGGCTCATCACTTACACGGACCACCATCGGCCATCGTTCCATGTTGTCTGCTCGCTTGATTGCAATGTGGTGCCATTCGGGCTTTCAAAAGAGTTGATTTGAGTCCGAGAGAGCGAGAAGCGACATTCGTATACAGAAGCCGGATCTCCCGCTGGGTTTGATGGTCAAGAGGGGTGTTTTCAGAAACGGTGTCTGGTGCAGGTCTTCAGATCGGTTCTTTACTACAGTGATTACAGCTTAGCTAGATTTACCAACGTCATTTATTACTTCAATCGGTAAGCAGGTCTCCATATCGCTCACATGCGGCTCAAGGTTCGCGCGACCCTGGACAGGGTGGTTCAGGCCCGGTGTCTCGGGCGTCATAATATCACAGCGTTTATCAAGATTAGTATACGAGCAGGGCAATAATCTTATGAAAACATGATAGAAGTCAAAGAAATGGGGTTCAATTGGAGATTGATGCGCTGTAGCACCTTGAATTCAACAAGATTATGATGGCTGTCAAGGTGATGGTAAAAAGTCGAGGCCAAAGTTGATGCTGCCATCCCTCTCAGATACTCAGGCATCATTTACTCATGACGTTCTTGGGAAAAGATGTATTTAGATCCCTTCTTAATGAGGTTGAGAATCACCAGACAATGTTCTCAGCCTGATGAGAACCACCTTTTCTCAAGGCACACCCCTCCCAGCCCGCGTAGCCTTGGCCAGCTCACTCATCGCCTTGTCCGTCGCATACCGCTCATAGATAGGCAGGTAGTGCTCCCGATCACTCGTCGTCGCCTGCACACTCTCCCTCTCCGACACAGCCCTGCTCCACACCCTCCACCTCTCCCACAACTCCTCGTCCTCGCCTCCTTCCCCAGAGGCCGGAATACCAAGCCCGCCTTCCTTGAAGTAATCAAATACCCAGAGCCTCACAGCCCAGGGCGCGAGCACGACGTCTGGCAGACTAAACTCCTCGCCCGCGAAGAACGGGCCCGTCGGATCGGCATCCCGGATCCAGGTGACAAGCGTGTGCAGAAACTCCTTCCTTGCCTCGTCCAGAGTGTAGGGCTTCTCGGGCGTGTGCTGCAGGAAGCGGTGGAAGGCAGGGATGATTCGGCTTGTCACGTAGTCGATGGAGATCTTCAGCTTGGCCTTTCTGAAGGGATCCTCCCTGGGCAGGAGAAACGGGGGGTTCTGAGGGAAGGTTTCGTCTAGGTACTCGCAGATGATGCCCGATTCGATCAGCGACTGGGGCCCATCCGGCGTGGGAACGCCCAGGGCCGGAACGAGGCCGCGGGGGTTGAGCTTGAGAAACGAGGGCTCTTTCTTGTAGGGGTTGATCTCCTGGTACCGATAGGGGATCTTCTTTTCCTCGAGGGTGATCCATGCTCTTTGCACGAAGGGGCAGAACCAGCCAGAGTACAAGACATGGTCTGCTTGAGCGTGCTCGTGGTCCTTGACGACCTGGGCGGCTCTGCCTGTAGCGACTGGGTGGAGATTCTCGTCGGGGATGCTCATGATGCCTGACAGTCCTGGTAGGACACTAGAGAATGGCTGTGAAAATCTGGAGATTCAAGAAATGTTAAAGCGTCGTAACTAAATACCGTCAATTGTAAGATGAATGTGAGAAGGAGGTCGAACGTGAAGGCGGGACTTGTCAATGCTTTGAAATCATCATCTGCATATACATGACGCAATAGTTACTCCATGTACACTCACGTCAAATAGTTGGGGCATTCGATCGACAAGCTGAGGCTTATAGTTGATCCTTGGCCACTTCTATTCCTACATGAGTTTTGCCACATGCAGTTGCTCATCCTTTCGAAAAGAAGAGAAGAAAGACAAGAAGTTTGTCGATTATTATATTTTCTGATAAATGAAATTACACTTTCCCCCTTTGTCCATTCCCTCGCATGCAAACTTTGGTTATTCGGCCTACATAGAGGCGGAGTTATATGGACGATTCGGAATTGTCGACATATATAAAAAAAAAAAAGACCAAGTCGTCTTGCTGATCTGTTACTTCTTATATCACTCCACATTCAATTCCCAAAAGATTGTGACGGCTAAATAGTATTTCTCTACAGCCTTGTTTTCGATATGATAGTCGCAAATTCAAAACAGTCATGAAAGAATGTGAAGTGGCTACATTTCATAGCCTTGGCAAGTACTCCTCCCCCCTCTCTCTGTTGACTCCTAACAGAGTCCTGCACACACAAGCAAAGTCACAAAGCATGCAAGCTCACATGCATGAACACCCTCTTCGTCCTCCTCGTCCTCCTTCTTCTTTAACTCGACGTCTCACTACCCCAAGGCAGCCAGTTGGGCGCGACCCCATCACAAGAGAACTGGATCAAATTCGCCGTATTCCCGCTCCCATCCAAGATGGTCGACCCATCGGGCGCCTGGATAGTGACCCCAAACGCGTACGGCCCCGTCGCCTGCGCAAACGCAAAGCGCAACGGGATATACTGGCCCTGGTTGGCGTTGACCGCCACCGTATTCCCAGTGTTGGACACCACATTTGCATTGTTGCCCGTGTAGCCCGAGTACTCGATCTGCTCGTTGCCCACCCACATGTAGGCCAGGTCGTCGATGGACGTGTCAAAGGAGAAGGTGTAGGCTCCCGCGATCGGGCAGTAGACGAAGCCGCGCCACTGCATCATGAAAAGGTTGCAGGGCACCTGCGTGCCGTCCTGGTTGTAGGTATCCGTGCTGCTGGCGCATTGGCCTGTGAATCCGCCCGCCTGTGACGCGGGGCTCTCGGTGCCGTTGACTTGGGGCGTGATTGTCTTGAGATACTCTGGGTTGTTGGCGGCGTAGTTGACCGAAGGCGAGCTGTCGGGCCAGTAGGCCCACTGGAGGCCTGCATTGTTGCACGAGTTGTCGGCGACCGTGGGCGTGGCGCAGAAGGTGATGGTCGACGTGGGAGTGGAGGTCACTGTAGTGGTCTATTATGGGAATATCTGATGAGTAAACCTTTTCTCTGGTGTCTTTTTTGTTTCATCCTCATTCTTTGTTTCTTCTATGCTTTTTCATTCTCTTTGAGTGGAGACGACTGCTGAAGTATTGTAAAAGAAGAAGAAAGAAAAAGCAACAAATAGACTTACAGGTGTTATAGTAGGCGTCACAGTTGGGGTGATTGAAAGAGTGCCCGTGTTCGTAGCGGTGACAGGAATCGTCGTAGTAGTAGTCGAGACAGCCGTCGAAGTGCTCACGCTCGTGACTGTCGGGGTTCCGACACCAGCACACTCGCAGATCTCCGTCTGGACCGCTGCACTGTCACCAGAGAGGATGGCAGGCACCGGTGGGAGGGTCGGGCTGGCCTGGCGCTTGCGGGCCAGACCTGCTGGCGGATTCGTGCAGGTGGTTGTGTACACCGTGCTGGCTGTCACTGTTGTCGTAGACGTGGGGCCCGTGACGGGTGCTGCAGTGACAGGCGAGACGGTGACGACGCTCTGGATGCTGTAGGTTCCTACGGGGACATAGGTTGAGACCGTGCTGGTGGATGTTGTCGAGGTAGTCCGTACGATGATGACCGGGTTGTATCCCAGGAGACTATTTTTTTTTTTTGTAAGAAGAACATGGTCAGTTGATAGATAGTAGTAGAGACAAGTAGAAACGAAAGAAAGAAAAAAAAAGAGTAGCCCAGTCACCTCATCTGTACATGAGGAGAACACCGGGTGGGTGGGTGTGTGTGTAAGTGACAGAAAGAAGAGGGGATGGATCTCAAAAATAAAGGCTGGGAGCAACATACGCTTGACAGTACGCAGGAGCACCAGGCTGCAGGAGCAGATCGGCGGCCAGGGTGTTGAGGCCAGCAAGAACACACTGCAGGCCCGTGATGATCTGACGAGGCTGGAGGAATCCAAGAGCGCCATCGACATCTGGCAGAGCAATAGCAGCGGCCAACGCACAGAAGGACACCGTCCCAAAGAGCTTGATGAAACGCATTGCGAGAAATCTTTGCTTTGTTATCCTAATAATTGTTTCTTGTGAAGAACAAATGTCAGAATGAAAAGGAGAGAGGAAAAAGGAAGACTCGAGGAGTTGTTCACTTCGTGACGTGTGCAGGAGGGATGGCCCAACAAAACCAAGTTGGACAAACCTCGAGACGAAAGAGCTCATCTCCCTATATATACCCATTCAAGGGACATTCCGATGACGTCCATCCACTTACATCAAGACGATGGTCTAGAGCAGACATCCCTTCTCACATGATTGTCTCATCAAATGAAGGTGGCGGGATCACAGTAAGCGGCGGAGGGGCCGGAGAAGGAAGTTAAGTCTGCCCTTTTCATGTGACCCTGTTTTGACCTTGACTGATCGAAGGCTCTCGGCGCCCAGAGTAGATAGTAGATGGCTGTCGTCGGAAGGGATGAGACGATAACCTCAGCTGCAGAAACCGTCGGCCCGAATTTTAGTCAAGGGACGCCAAGAATGTGCGCACTTTGTGGCTGGCTGGTTGCCTACATGAGTACTTTTTACTATTGTCTTGTATGACCAAGAAAATATATGCCCAGTCAAATCTGATAAGTCAAGAATTTCCCTGTTCAGTTTATTGGTTTGAGTCTATCGAGTGAGGGTCATCTTTGAAAAAGGGGGGAGGGGGGGGGGGCATTGAATTACATGCAATGGACATGAAAACACCTTGAGATATTCCCTGTTTTGTAGACTTCTTCATACTTTACTTCTCATAATAATACAAAACTGTCACTCCCTACGTAAGTATTCCTCTTATTCTCCTCAGACCAGTTTATTGGCCATCGTTGTGTCTTCTCAACTCGTTGCCACTTTATGTGGGAAGATCCCCGAAGGCAACCAACACAAACTCTCACAAGCCCATACTTGAAACTATCCGTTCGCCCTCCACATCACATTATAGAGGGAGGGGGGCGGGGAGAAGAAAGAAGGGGAAAAGAAAAAGTGTGTGTCAAACTGCATGCGAGACAAACAAGGTACAATTAGCACGCACTTCAAAACAAGGCTCACGCTATCACCCAAACAAGAACTCCAAAGACGGGAGGATGTCTTGCGCACCGCTTCGACAATCCCTGGTCTGCCTGAACAATGTCTCAAAAGGGAGCCGTGTAAATGGCTGGGAGCCCGGAGTGTCGAATGCCCAGATCAGGCGATTCACAGGGAACACACCAACTCACAATGGCAGTGTCGATGGTTTCAATGGCTCGGGGAAGAGGAGATGACCACCAAGCAGATGCCCAGGTTCTCCTATTGCCCCGTCTCGTCGTCATGGAGGCAAAAGCCTGATCATCGCCGAATAGAAGTGCAATGTTGCATAGCAAGGGCGCCAGCACATTCCAACGAACCTCTTCCTTGTGGGCTTGACCAGGATGGAGGGAGCATTTCTCTGTGAAACTCAGCTTAACTCCTGTTGAATAACCTCTATATGACGCAGCAGAACGAGGGATGTTAATAGCATTTCGCCGCCCCGTGCTCCAGAAAAACCCAAAAAGAGAATCTTGTGTGGTCCAGACCGGGCTCTCGTCCTTCCCCTGAGATGTCAGAATTGTTCCGGAGATGTTCAAATTTGTTGAACCATCTTGTGATACTAATTAACACGAGCACAAGAGTATTTTTATATATTTTTTTTTTGATCTGTCAGAAAAAAGTGCGGACAACCAATAATTACTGGGAGAAGGGTACAAAAGATCTTCAAGCAATTCAGCTGGGGGCTGCCAACACTGTAGATCTTCGGAGATTATTCAAGTAGGGAACAGGTGTGTAGGCCCTTTCTGATTGTGATGAATAGCTTTGACCTGAGTCAATGTTTGGTCACAGTGCATTCATTAGTCTTGGAATCATCTGATCAAAAAGTGAATCCTAGAGAATGTACTAGTCTCAAGGCTACTTCGTTCGGCTTTCCTTCAGCAGCCATTCAAAGCCCGCCTTCATATCTTCTTGAAATCTTCGAGCGTGAGCAGTAAGAGCCGGGAACAAGGCCCAAAACACATGTGGCACACCGGGGTAGATAGTCCTCCTCGTCTTCACTCCACACTTGACCCTCAGCTCTTCTTCGTAGAAGATCGCCTCATCCCGCAATGGATCCATGCCGGAGATCTGAATGTACAAAGGCGGCAGACCATCATGGCCCTCGGGGGAACCAAAAACGTTGAAGCGGCCATCCTTGAGATCAGGCTGCAGGGCCTCCATGTACATCTCCACAGAGCCCATGCTCAGACAAGGCGCAAACGCATTCTGTTCATAGGAGCAGCCGAGGCCGGCATATGGCTCGGGCAGCCCGCCGTCATAGCACAGCCAAGGGCAGGCGAGCCACTGTCCTGTCAGCGGCGGGCTCAGCTTCTTGTCCCTCGCCCTGTGAGCCAGTCCTGCCGCCAGGTTGGCACCGGCAGACGTGCCTCCGACGATGAAGCCCAGGGACAGATCGCCACCCCACGTCTTCGCGTTCGCAGCCACAGATTGTAGTGCAGCCCAGGCATCCTCGGGCGCTGACGGGAACTTGTGAGCCGGTGCCAGCCGGTAGGAGATGGTGTAGCAGATGAAACCAAATTCCCTGACCAGCTGACGGGCATTCATCTCCTCGGTCTCGGGCGCGCCGACAGCGAACCCGCCGCCGTGGATGAGCATCGCTACGGGTGCGCCATCTTTGGGGAGCGGGTCAGGTTGGAAAAGCATTGCCCGCATGACGGTGCCGTCTGACGATTGGTATGGCACCTCGGTTTTCTTGATCCCAGGTCCAGGTTCTCCAAGCTGTACTCGCAGCGCCTCGACCAAAGTGGCTGCCATGGCCTTTCTCGCCTCGAGGCTAGAGTTGTCTATCGGCAGAGGGTGCTCCTGGAGAGCTTTAGCGAGATCTGGGTCGGCTTCACCAAGTTGGAGGAGTTCTTCTTTGGTCGGAGTCATGGCTGAAATTGTTTTTTTTTGTTTTTTGTTGTTTGAGGAAGTGCAGTTTGTATGTGATAATACTGGTCTGGTGCGGGAATCTGGATTGTGTCGATGCTGATGTTTGAGTTTCAACACCGTCCTTGCCAGGTTGAAGCAAAGCAATTCCCCAACGTGCACGTGTGCAGTCTCGGCTGTTATTTTCACTTCCAATGCTGAGTCCGAGCTGAGCACTCCAAAGCGTGCTGCGACTCCCCGCTCAGCGGTTGTCACATCTCACGTCAGATCCCTAGTCTGACATCTTAGAATCAACATCTCGAGCATAGAACCTTGATAGTCGATTGGAACTGGAAGCCATATTAGTCTGAGTAATTAATAAGTTTCCCTCATAGTATGAACAATTCCAACTGCATGGGAAAATCATGTAAATAAATTTTCAAAGACACTCGAGACATATATAGAAAGACAGTTCAAGACCGTGGCATACGAGAAGGGCCAATTCTAGTATTTCGGTCAGAGGATGGGCTTCTCTGCGATGCGAAACTGTGGTCGAATGATGATCTCCTTTCCTACATTCGGCACAGACAATATCCAAACCATAATGAAACAGTCCCAGCTAAATCTCCTTACTACTCGTAGGTTGCTGCCCAGGGCTGATAGCCTGGGTCTTGAAAGATTCTCTCGAGCTGGCGCCTGCGGACGCCAACATTGCCACCATCAAAAAGAGGCAAGATTGTGGCTTCAGCTAACAGCTTCGAGAACGGTTGGTCCTTGGAATAAGATGCTCTAGAGTTGCCTTATTGTTAGCTCTTCGACATTCAAACGAATGAATCACCACGCCAGACAAAAACAGTAAGAAACAAACGTGAAGTCGGCGTAGAAAACATAATACTCACACCCCAACCGCCTTCATACAATCCACCACACTTCTCACAGCAGCTTCGCTCGAGAAAATCTTGGCCTCCAGCGCAATCTCCAGCCTCGTCTCCCAAGCCCCCGGTCCCTTCTCAATCCCATGCAGAGCCTTCCACGCCAGCAGCCTCGCCGCCTCGATCCTCATCTTAACATCAATCAGCAGGTCCGCCACGCTCTGCCTCTCCAGGACAGGCACGACCCCTCGCCTCGTCTCACGCCTCGCGAACCCCAGGGCTGCCTCGAAGGCGGCCCGCATGATCCCCACGCCCATGGCGCCTACAAGCGCGGCCGAGGACCCAAAGGTCTGCTCGACGACCTGTGCGCCCTGGCCAGGAGGGCAGAGGAGGTCTGCATGGGGGACGCGGAGGTTCGTCAGGCGCACGTGGGGGCCTGAGGTGCATGGGAAGCCGGCAAGTTCTGGCTCGGAGAGGACAGCGTATGCCTCTGGTGGGTTGGCAGCGATGGTCTCGGCCGTGACGGCGAGGATGAGGATCTGAGCTGCAGGATTTTCGTCTGGGGAAGGTGGTCCGCCTGTTTCCGAGAGCCGACAGACGATACATTGTAGGTCTGCGCCACGGCCGTCCCAGCCTGCGCAGTTGGTTGCCCACATCTTCAGAACAAGTCAAGTCAGAGTCAGTCTTTGCTTCGAAGCCATTTATCGCTTGTTCGAGGGCATGTAGACGTATCTCTTGAGAGAATGATCTCATACCTTTTCACCATTGATAACCCATTCATCTCCCTCCCGCCTCGCTGTAGTTCCCAGCCCAGCACCGCCCTTCTCGAGCCAGTTCGCCGTACCACCCGGCTCCGAGTGCACAAAACTTGCAATAGGCACCCTAGTCTCTTTGTCTCCTTCGTCCTCCACCACCAGAAACCGCGCCAGTACTCGACTCCGTAACTCCTCCCCTCCTGCTAACAGCAACGGCGTCAACCCTAGTCCCGTGCCGAGGATCGTCAGCGCCGCGCTCGGGTCCACGGCAAAGAACTCCTCAACCACGATTGCTGCGTCAACCATAGACTCGGCAGACCCACCGAGGGCGGTGGGGATCTGGCCCTTGATCAGCCCAGCCTTGACGGCGACGGCATAGATGGGCCGCAGGGCTTCGAAGCGGGCGCGCTGGGTCGGGAGGTGTGCGTAAAGCGATGTGGCTGGCTTGAGGTGTTCCTGGGCAAAGGCTGCTGCGTCGGTGCGCAGCTGCTGCTGTGCTGGGTTGAGTGTGAGATCAAACATCTTTTGAAGCCTGACTGCGCGGGTCGTTGATTGACTGTGATTGTAGGAAAACTTGTCAAGTTGATGAAGAACGGGTGAGCGACTACATCAATTTCCGAGGGCACCGCAATGAGCGCGTGCATGCGTGACTGAATATATCTATCTGTAAGCTTTTAGCCAACATCCAAACTATACAATCTTATTACCTGATTCTGGGCTGATTGTTGGCTGTGGAGAAAATCGACCCCGATGATTCCACATCGTTTAGTCAGTCCAAGCGTGGAGGCTCATCGAGTTGCCATGCGGATCCGCTGGATTCAATCACATAACCTAAGAACTCGCCCTTTTCCGTCTACTGCATACGTGAATTAATCTACGTCAGATCTAAAAGCACCATCCACATCTATTCCCCAACGCCATGCAAGGGTATCTGGTCCACTAGAAATCTTGAAACATCCAACACCGAACAAAGTTGAAATGGCTGCCAGCCTTATCATGGCAGAGCAGCACAAGCGAGCCAATAGCTTTCCCATCGCCAATTTCCCAACATTCTTCTCCCTTTTCTCTGTCTGTAACTCTTATCCGACGGCACGTCCCCGTCGCCTCGGCCCGGGTGTGCCAGGGCCTGCCATTCCCAATCTCGCAATAGTCGCCGCCGACACACCGCCACGACCTGGCCCGGTCCCAACGACAGGAGCCTTGGGACCAACCCTCGAAGGGACAGGCAAAGCATTCTTCTTAGCAGGCGTCCCGCTCGCACGTGTCGGCAGTCGTGAGGCTGCTGAGCCAGAGCGAGTGAGACGGCGGGGCTGCTGCTTTTTTCCTTTTGCCATGTCCTCGGATGCTTTTTCGGGTGCAGGCTCGACTTTTTCCTCTTCATCCTCATTGCTGGCGTTCTCAGGCTGACAAGTTTCGCCCACAACGGGATTGCTTGAACAGGCAGGGCTGTCAAAGACTACATGGCGTAGTCGTGGGGGGGATGGTAGCCCGGTGTCCTCGTCATTGCTTGCTGCTCCAACTTCTACTGGTGGAGTAGCTGCAACAGCAACAAGAGTTGTGTTGTCATCCTCGCCTTGGATCCGCACCAAGGTTTCAGCCCAGCGGACATTTTTGGCGCGGGCAGTGCGTGAGATGGTCGCCAGAGACTTGGTGAGCTCATTGTTGTCTTCATCGTCGACCAGCGGTACCTGTGTCATTATGGCCAGCGCTACGGGAACCGGCATTGAGCCGCCCTTGTTTTTGGAAGTGTCTTGTAGTAGTGTTACAGTCAGCATTGGGTTGTTCCAAGGTCATTCAACGGTAAAAAGCAGTCGAAGAGGGAGCGGCTAATAACAGATGTCTCTTACTCTTGCGGGTCTCTGCGGCCAGATCCTTCTCAAATTTTCGATCCCGAGCCGCATTGGTGACACCGGCTGTGGATATGGCCGGCATGTCCAAGTCAAGTGATCCTGAGCCAGGAACGCGTACAGAGATGGCGTTTGCAGGTGGGCGAGTCTTCTTGCTCGTGGCGATCCGATTTGAGCGGCGCGCTCCCCCAGGCGCACTTCCTGAGCCTCGCTGGGTCAGGTCCTGGCCTGGCCCCATCTCGGGATTGAAGATATCGTCCGTCTCAGATTCCATCCCCCGGCGCCGCTTCCGAGGCTTGGACGCCGGCTCGGTATCGTCAAGGTCGGGAATGGCGAGGCGGGAGCTGGCCTTCTTAATGGGACTCGGCAATGGGCCTTGGATGGCGGTGGCGTTCTTGAGCTTCCGCTTCTTGCTTGGGCTCGGACTCTTGTTGGCATCCTTTGCTCCTAGTGGAACGCGAGGGCTTGAGGCTGCTGGGGCTGCCGCCTCTGGTTGTTTTGCCATCGGTGAGCCCGTGTCTGATGTTGCTGAGCCCATGGAACCCGAACGGCGCTTCTTCATCGCAGACAACACTTTCAGGGAACCTTGTACAACCCTCCGTCCTTTGATGCTCTTGGCGCGTTGCACAAACTTGTGCAGATCAGCCAGTTCCGAGTCTCCGTCGATACTGTCAGGCGTCCCTGGAGTGAGTGCATCCTCCTCAATCACCACAATATCTTCTTTGTTTTCATAATGAGCGGCAATCTTCTGGGCAGTTGCTTGCGCATTCATCTCGATAGCAGGGCTTGTGGATTGTTCAAGGTCCTCGGAACTATCTTCTGTAGCCTCAAGAGCGTTTTCTTCGATGGCATCTAGCGGGGCTGATTGCTGTAGGTCGAGGCTCGGGAGACCAGTTGGAACCGGCATCTTTGTGGTGGTCCCCACATGTGTCTCGTCTAGCCCAGACTCATTGTGCTTCGAGTCCTCCTGTTTCCTGTTGACCTGATCGAGCTTGGCGTTCCATGTGATGCGTTCCGGTGTATGTTGTGCCTCCGTACATTCCGAGCTCGGTTGAGCGGGTTGACCGAAAATGTCGAGGTCTCTGCCCACATCAATATCAAGGGTGCGGCGACGGTTGACAATTGCGTCATGGTGCCCATAGAGATGCAAGGCGTCACTGTGGCGGCGCCGATTGCCCGCTCGGGTGTCGGTTCTCCAGTCAAGAGCTCTCTTGATGATCCTAAGATCAGATTGCCTGCCACTGCGGCGTGCACTGTCGAGGGACATGCGCCTCTTAGTCTCATGTTCCGGCTCATCTGGGACGTCGTGATGTGGTTGATCGAAGACTGCAACGGTCGTCACAGACGCGCCGGCTTCTTCAGCGACGCTGGCAAAGGCAGCTGTGCCCTCGGTGTGATTCGGCTCTGGGCGATCGCTTGCTGCGGCCAGCGAAACCCGACGAGGACCTGGCTCGCTCATATCGGGTAGAGGAAATGCGGAACTCTCTTCGCCCCTAAGGGATGCTGATAAGACAAGGCTGGTGTTTTCCACCTTGATCATGCCGGTTCTTGGCGTGGCGCACACAGTAAAATTCTTCAATGGCGACTCTGCCACTTTCGTAGGTGTCTTGCTCTTGTCTGCCATAGCAGAGCAACGCTTTGTTGGAGATGCGTAGGCAGCATACTTCCGGGTGCTCGGAGTTAAGGCGAGGAAGGATGCCTCCTTGATGTCCTCCGAGATTGTACTTAGGGATGGGCGAATCGTACGTCGGCGACGCGCTGACTTCTGATTCTGTGCCTCGCTTGCGAGGTCCAGCGACCCAGACACACGTAGTGTTGGCGATTGAGGTACGTCCTTCTCTTGAACATCCACACACGCGGCTTCGTCTATTTGGCTTGGATGCAGTTCAAACTTGATGAAAGGTTGCAGGGGAGCGATCTGTTCTGCGTGCTCATTCGGTGGGTTGATCGGCCAGCGAGTGTTGTGTCTCTTCCGTGGAACCCAGATGAGGTGGGCCGGGTCGAAGGTGGACCTCTTGTGAGAGTAAGGTTTCTGGCGGATGCGCAGATTGTCCTGCCAGATGGAATCCAAGGCATTCTTGACTTCTTCTGTAGACGCTCATCAGTAATGGCACCAGGGAGATGTGGTGCGCAGGCTGAACGTGGTAGATGAGACGTACCTCTCGCCTTGGCCAATACGTCTTCGCCAGCAATCTCAGGCGCTGTCTCTTTCTCAAATAACGGTTTCCCATATGGAGGAATGAATGCCAACGTCCTGACGCGTTTCCTCGCCCCAAATCCCTGGCTATCCAGCTCCGCAGCGGCCAGACGGTAGAATTTGTTCTCGTGGGGCCTCGTGGTAACACGCTTGTAAATTTTGTCGTCGCTGTGGCGCAAGAGCGCGGAAGGCACAGCAATACGGTCCCAAGCCCGGGGTCGTGACGTGACGATAGGAGGTTCGAAGCAACTCGAGGGTATATAGGAGCTGATGGCACAACAACATTCATGGTCAGCGTCGCACACGCGATCGACGACTCTGCATATGGCTAGGAAGAGAGAAGGACTTACGTGTCATCGAGCCATGATATATCGCCTTGTCCAGCCACCTTCTCCCAGGCACTTTGTGCTGAGCTTATCGACTGGCTGACCTTGTTGCCCTGCATATTTGCGATATCGCGTTCTGCGCCGAGGCGACTGGATGGTAGGGCTGGTCGCTAAATCAAAGTAAACAAACTGCTAGACGGTCACGCGACACGACGTAATTCTGCTGGAGACGAGAGAAATTGAGATGTCAAAAGAATAAGGAGCACATATTGGAGTCAATCAATCCATCTGCCCAGATCTGCTACTCTGGAGGGACGCGTTTGCTATGTGTTGTCTCGGATGCGGTTCTCCAAAAGGTTGTCAAGGAGCGTGGTGGAGCTGTGCCCGCCGTGGTCGCGGTAACGGCGTCTTAAAGATTGAATGTTGACTTTCCAGACGCTGTAGCCAATCATGTGGGGGCCCTCCAAGCTGTACAATATCGGCCTAGCGTTTTAGGCCCCGGCTCGAGCTCCGTTACTCCAAGCACCCGTGTGCACGGACCAGTTCCCAAAACTTTCTTGCAGTACCTCTTTTGCATCGAATGCGCATGCACACGTCCTCCAAATTTGTCCTGAATGTCAACCTTGGCGCCGACAACGACGACCCCGCACACGATCTCAGACCAAAAACGCCCGGACAGATCGAAATTGACGTCAGTGACTTCCATACGAGACTCGAGACAAGCATCACGAACCGGATTGAGGCCCACGCCGGGCGACGTCAAAGGCGATCCTACGCATCATGGCCAAGAAGCCCATGCGCCTGCCGCCACTGCGCGTGCTGCGGGTGCGCAACCCAAATAAACAAGAGGGCAATCCCTGTATTACGGTCATGTCCTCAGTATTGGGTAAGTCATTGCTATGAGATGACTGCCTTGTGGCGCTTGCTCGGCTCGGCTCTGGAGGGGAATGTTGGGAACACTATCGACCATTGAAGAGGTGGGAAATCACACCATTCGCACACGAAGAAGGGAGCAAGCTCCATGCGAAGACCATATAGCTTTGGGGCAGGGCCAAGACTGGCCCTGAGGTGTAAATGTCCAGCGCTTGGTTGGTGTTTGGAGATAGGCAGGCATGTGAGCCCTGGACTTTGCCCGGCGACCGACCCAGGCAGATGGGACTGGAAACACCCCAAACAAAAGAAGCAATCAGATGGCAGGTTCAACTGTGCAAGCTGCCGTCGAAGATCTGGAGCTTGGATGAGGCAGCAAAATCATCTGCACATACGGCGGGAGGGTAGACAATGAAGGAAGGGTCTTGCGCATGACACAATTCGTTTTCAAGACTCAAGAAAGGATGGCGGCGAAGCCGAGTTCACTGTCAGAGCACACCTTGGCAGGAAGACTTCGAGCATAAAGCACCTCTCCAAAGCCCAGCGAGCGAGCGAGCCATTCTTCCCGGACCAATGTCTCGGTGCAAGGATTAATAATCAATGCCACCATAACTACTCGCTAACTCATTTCTCGCAGCATGCTGGGCGTCAACAGGATACGCTTCATCCACATGCTCCGGCGTCGAGCAGGCATTGCGCGAATGCATGGACGGACCGAAACCGCCACCCAAGAAGAAGAACAACATCAACTTCCACCTGTCGAGATTCCAAAAATATCTTGAGGGCAACAGCAAGAAATAAGAGAACAACCAGCCGTTTTACACTTTCGCACGGTTCTTACTAGGGCGCTTCTCGGAGCCTCTTTGCATGAGATACAAGACTGGACTTGTGTTCGGAACGCAGCGAGAGGGACGAGACAGTTTTCACTGCTCGAGGCTCCCATCAACTAGGGCTCGTGTTTCGACCCACCAGCAAGCATCAACATAAGGTACGAGGATGCGACCACGATCGGCGAGCATGAGCACCGGAGGAATGGTGGCGACCAGGGCTTGGCTTTTTAGGTCAGCTACAGGGGACTACATGATCCACAGGACTCATGCAATACACACGTCAGTCGCCAGCATATATCAGGATCCCAGGGATGATGGCACATATGTTCCACAATCTATGTATAACTCGTATAAAGGTGCAAAGATAGAAACCTCGATGGCTCCATAGCGTGGAGCAATTTTCAAGCCGTATCATTCCACCATGCGTGAACAGATATCTTCCTATGTCGAATATTCGTTCTACAAGATGAGTGCAACTTCATGCAAGCTTGTACATTTGATCAATAAGGCCGTGAGTTGCACAAGTAGGGCGTACCATTGATGGGACGTGAAGGACACACACACACCAGCATCAGGTGCGACTAGAAGAGGGTTAGGGTTGTGGGAAGCTGGCAGGGTTGTCTCAAACCTCACAGGCCTTCTGGAGACTTCATCGAACACAGTATCTCCATTCGTCTTCGGTTCACACAACGTTCTTTGAATGCATAGATCGACATACCATCAGCATGTCATTGTTTCTCGGTGTTGCACGCACGTTTTGTGCTGCAGGCCCACGTTTCGCACGCGCGGGTAGTGTCGCATGGGCAACATCCAGTAGAGACTTTTCGCAGGCTGTTGAAGACGGACCAACATCGTCGCCCTCTGAATCCGCTCCAAACTCCGGCACCGCCACCTCGAAGACACAGGACCCTTCACCTCCGAGCTCCTCTGCTGGTCCCAGCGGTATTAATATGGGCTCGCCCGACCAGACGACCCGGGCCGCTGGGGAGAGCGAACCCGAACCTACAAATCGCCCGCTTGCCAGTGCCTTCAATGTCAAGGCACATCGTGCCACGGGTCAGAACCTGCCCCAGATCCGAAACAAGCAGCCCTATAAGAATACACTCTGTAGAGCGGTGCTTCTTCTTAACTTGAACCCTTCTGTGACTCTTTCCGACATCACGCAAGCCATCGCGCAAACGGCGCCGGTCGGGCGGGTTCTAGACGTCAGAAAGAAATTTGGGCCATACGTGACTGGAAAGGGAGCTGCTGCAGCAACTATTCTATTACATAGTGGTAGGTTCATCCACTTATATTTCTTTCTTCTTCTCGCAATTCACATGTATTTTCTTCCATTCCAAGTTGTTTCTAGGTATTTCTGTTCTCGGTTTAGGTTATCGCCTCAACTCGCTCCCAGCGCCCCTGTCCTCAAGGCTAATCTTTCATTCTTTTCTCTCTTTCCCGTCCATCCTCGTCCATGCTTTATTACTCCAACACATCTACTCACTAGAAACACTCTAGATGATGCTGCATTTCGGCTGTATCAGGCCGCACGCGCCGGCGTCTTTCGTGTCAACGGCGAGTCACCATACGTCACAATGAATCATTCTCGGGAAATTCCCCAACAGACCGCATGTGGTCCCTTGAATTCACGTGTTATGGAGCTACGGGGGCCCAGGAAAGCCTTCACGGACGTCACCGAAGAGACTATCCGGGAAATGCTGTTGTCAGACAAAGAGGCCATGATGTTGGCAGACTCACATCTGCTCGACTCTGAGCCCGTTCAGATGTTAGAAAGGGGGGACGGGATGGTTAGGAGTAAGTAAGCTCAGGAGTCGATGACTCCCCTCCTTCTGGCTTTATGCTGCGAACAACAATGACTAACTGCGTGGCCCTCACACAAGTGCTCTGGCCCTTCTTCTCTGACAAGGGGCAAGCAAGGCCATACATAAAAGCCCTTAGGCGAAAGTTGGGCCAATTATGGATCGGATATGGCCCTGACCCATGCTATAATCCAGAATGGGGGACTCCTTTATCCCGAAAGTATCGCCGGTATCTGAGACTCAAATTCAAGTATCAAGAAAAGCGAAGAGAAGTGATGGAAAAAAGTTCTAGTCAGTAGTGTAACATCTAGTGATCATCAAATTTGGCATGAGGTCAAAGTGCTTTCCGCTCTATGGTTTTTTATTTGAACAGAAATGGTCTTGTAGAGTGAAGGCGTACTTTGAAGGTTAAACAGAAGACGTGGAGGTGAGTTTTGAGAGAGAAGAAGAAGAAGAAAAAAAAATTTGAAGGACAAACGGATTGATAAACACTAATAACCTGAAGTTCATTATAGTACTTCTAGATAGCAATGATGTCTCAAACCCTCTCGCTGTCCAAGCGCGACCCTTGGGTGGCTGGGATTAAAGGGCTACTGAAGGCTTTGATCCTTTTCGAGAAGTGCCACCCTTCTCTCGAACCTGGTACCGTATTCTTGATTGCCTGCTGCGCCCCTAACAAACTCTTCTTACGCCACTCCTCTGCATCTTCAGCCGACTTGTGCACGGCGATTTCGGGACTCTCAATGTAAGAGTCGTTTTCGAAGTCATTTCTGGCAGAAGTTTCGGTCTGCCATTCGCTTCCAACAGGACCCAATCTAGGATCGAACATCTGCGGCACGAATCTGTCACGGGGACCGCCTGTCTGGGTCTGATGAGTTCTTACCAGACCCATTTCTTCGTAAAATTTGTAGTAAGCTTCATTGGCCTCTTGCACATCAGCGAAGTCTGTGAGTAGCCACTGGACTGGTGGGCGACCATCGGCGCCTCGCAGCGGCTTCCCTGTGTTCATGGGCAAGTGGCCAGGAGAGGACGGCTGAGTCGCGGGCTGCTGAGAAGAGGTGAGATGGTTAGTCTTGTGCACTCAGTCAGTCAACCAAGCAATGTAAGGGATCGCCTACAGCATCATCGTCGCCATAAAAGCGTCCGAAACCGCCACGCCCCAAACCACCGCGAGGGCCGCCACGGAAGTTGCCCTGAAGACAGCCACGGAACGGAGGGCCGTTGTCGTTGTTATCGCTGTTGTTGTTCATGTTGGCGTTGGAAGACCTCTGGTTGTTTAAGTCTTGTCAGCAAACGGCTATCGCATGATAACTCAGTACTGAATCTGGCGATCAAGCATATGACGCGTCGGGGGGGGGGGGGGGGGTCATGTTGTATGAAGAGCCTTCACAATAAGAGAGAATGAATGACTGCAACACGTACCATTGTGTATCTGCGTGTGTATTGTTGCGTTTGCGTTTGCGTGTGTGTGCGTGTGCTGGTACTGTATGTTCTACAGTGAAGGGCGTTCTGTTTTGTGTGTTATCGTAGAGCTGGATGCTTCTATGGTTGTTATCATTTCAAGAACCGTGTTTCAATACTTGGAGACCACGGTCCATGGGGTCAAGGTTGTATGGAAAGCGGGGTCGTTCTGTTTGATTCTATCATGATTTGAGAAACGAGGTTATCACCACAATGGGTTGCTTTTCAGACCTGCACAGCGGCAATTGGCGTTCATATATTGTCCTTAGGCTTCCATTTAATCATGGGGAAAAAAGTAGAAAAGTCTAGAATACGTAACTGGTTGCATTCATTGACAATTTCATATATGAGAGAAGACAAAATACAGTATAGAAGTTATAAAGAATATCTATAGGCTTTCTTCATACATACTTTCTTTGCTTGAGATTCTTTACTGTCTGCATAGTGTAAGTTTTGAAAACCTGCGCCTGTTCAGGAGGCCCTTGAGAGTTTGATATGAACAGTATTGCTACAGTTTCACTATTACCTCCGATGAAGGGTGTAACTTTGGCCTGGTACCCTGGTGCGCTCACTCTGGCGCCCTCGAGACCATCACGCCCAAAAAGGCACAATCTCAGATGGTCGTCAATAGGGTTAGGGCTATGGATTCCCACTTTGAGGAGCCTCACAATACTGTACAGTCGTCGCACGCTTGGACTGTGCAAATCGCGAACGTCTACAAAATATCTTCGTAAAAGTCTTCCGATGAAATTTACTGATATCTAGTGGAGAGCTGTCGCCATTGCGTGATGCAATGGAGTTGCTTGTGTTGGTGATCTCGAGGCAAGCCCACCTCAAAGTAGGAATTCTAAGAGCCGGAAGCTTGCGAGGCTATCAAATGCACCATCACCTGGACCCCCGAATCCGCAATAAAGGTTTTTTTTTTTTTTTTTTTTTTTTTTTGACGTGACCTTCCTCTTATTGAGTCACCTGCATTGCGTGAACACCCTGGCTCTCTAAGAGAGACATTAATACACATGCATTCGATCGCAACCCAGAATATTGTTCCTCCTCGTTTGATATGTGAGTAATTATACTACTTGCTACACGGTTCAGGTTTACCATAATACACGAGATTCGTTCTCCATTTTACTGCCAATTGGAACTCTACTGCTCTTAAACCTCTGCTGCTCTTAACCCCCTGCTGCTCTCACCTCTCTTATGCAAAACACACTGTTCAGCAACTCTTCAATATCTTCACCTTTTCATCGATTTATCATCTATCTATAATCTATCTATCTATCTATATTCGAAATAAGCTCTAGCACCATCACCTCCGCTAACATGAATGGCGCTCAAGAACTATGTCTATCGCAAGACTAATGCGTCTGATGCTATCGCGACTGAGGAGGACCCTATCAATCTTTGGACCAGCCCCCCTCGCCCTCGAACAACACAGTATCTCGAGAGTTTTACCAATGTTCTCGGTCTGTCTACTGCGGAGAAGCGTGATGAATCCATTGAACTCTTCCAACGCGGGCCGGTCTTTTTTCTTCTTCTTCTCTTTGACTAGTAACACGAGGAGTGGGAAAACCACCTGAATTTCTCAGTTCATGCACAGCTTTTCTGATCTAGTACACCTATTGAAGGCAATCATTTTCACTGGCCAACATTGGTCGGTAGCCTCTACTCGGTTACACCGCGTGCACGTGGCACGAAGATCGTGCATCGTCCTTTCGTGCTTGAATTCCTTTTTGGGGAATCGTCTACCAATAGTGACATTCTTATGACCGTACCTTCCTCATAGGCATACTCTCCTCCATTTTTTACCTTCCTCAAAAGCATACTTTTCTCATGGGAGTGTCTTCATCAGGCATGCCTTCCTCACGGGCGTGCCTTCCTCATGGACATGACTTCAACATGAGTGTGACTTCCCCTTCAGCGCGCCTTATCCTTCATTGTACCTTCCCCCTCAGTATGCCCTCCTGTCGTAATCTTCCCAAGATGGTTTATGACTACCCAGTAGACTTTTCAGATTGTCCACATCCTGCCCCCAAAGCCACACCAGATCATGCCAGGTGAAGTCATCACATTCCAATTTACAACTCTCCGAAGCCAAATGATCACCAATTACGCATCATGTTTGAATACCCAGCACTATAAGACTCAGGATGTCTTTTTTTTCACTGCTGCCAAGAGATCGGGCGTTGTGCTAATGTCTTTCTCGTCGATTGAGACCTCCTAAGGTCCAGCAGATATTTCTCGGCGGCCAAGCATCACCACACCCGAGGCTGCGTGGTAGAGTTTTTATTATGATTAGCTTTGAAAGACATTAAAATTCAAAAAGTAAACTAATTTTAACACCTATGGATGAGCGTCGAGTGGTGAGCACGAAGATACCACTGATAGAATATTGTCTATATAAATTTCTATTCGGACGTCCCGTCAACCAAATATGTTAGCCCGGTCGGGTGGCGCAATGGTAGCGCTTAACACTCCTAGGGGAAGGAGCAACCCTCCTGTTTCCTTCACAATGTTAGGGTTGCGAGTTCGAGTCTCGTCCCGATCGTTTTTTGTCGAAATCCCATTTCGCCTTCGGTAGGCGGTATCAAAACCTTTTCTTTTTTTCCCTTCCCTCCCCACCCTACCTTTCACACCCCCCTTCTCCTTTGCTATTGGGGGTTCAGCTGAGATAGTTGTCATATTATACTCGAGGTAGTGTCAAAAATTCGGGAACGCAGTGCGTCGGCTTGGGGTGGTCTCCCAGCATCTGACAATACTCGGCAGGAATTCATCGCGGCGTTCAACTGCCAGAAATCAATAAAACCTTTACTTAATTGGCAATTGCGATGCATGTGGTGCTTACTTCCGCGCCAATCGTCCATACACAACTTCTGTTGAGGGAAGGGGATTTTCACTAGATCCATTAGCACGGGTGCGTTTTATCAGCTCTCAGACCCAGCCAGTTTAGATTCTCTTTTCTCTTCTTTCAACAGTCAGTTTTTCAATTTTTGAGATAACATTACCAACTTCAACGTCTTCGATACGAACCATTTCGCTTCCCACTTTCAAACCGCGCACTCTGTCACACTCATACATACAGATCCAACACTTAGCTTAATCCCGTATCACCTCTCTTTGTCGACTCGTTGCCGTCCGTATGTAACTCCCGATGTCGTTCCAACAGACTCGGGCATCGTCATGCCTACCTCACAGAAGTCCAACATCGAAGCCCGAGTCTGTTGGAACGTGCTACATACGGAGCGCAAGCCACCGTTCTTGATCTGTGGTCAGTACAAGACGTCCTCCAGGTCGCAAATTTACCAAGTTTTGTTTCAACCTTTGAAAGATTTTATCACTTTACGAAGTACGTCATATTGTATTTTCTACACCTGTCATTATCGTAACATATTCTCTCATTATATGAATACAACAACCGAGTAATTGTATTTCGAATGAACTGATGTTTTAAGTTAAAAGGTAATACAGCATAAACATTGGAAGAAACGAATATTCACACCGTTATTATCAAAGATAACCAAACGGCAGACATGTGAACTACGCTATTTGTTGAATGGTATATAAGAAATGATAACTTACTGTTTAAAAATAAAATTAAAAGCGTGTGCTATTCAAGTATCTACGGGACGAAATATTAGATCTTGTAGTCCTAGTGTCCAATCTTTGTTGTTTTCCCTTGTGAGTAATTAATCATAAGTCTTGTTGGGAAGAACACAGAAGAAGGAAGGTACGCTGCAGGAGAAGGCACGGTAATTAGGAAGGCGCACTTTCCGGGAGAATCATTTTTTTTCCCCAAAGGAATTCCCTGTTGAGTCATTGCAATAGTTGAACGTGCAGCCAAGCCTGTCCCGACACCGGCTGTAGCCGCCATCACCAAGTGATCCCAACGGGGAATGACAATCACTATCTCTTACCTACTGTTATTTCACTATCAAAAGAGCGCAGAGGGCTCTGTCCATAACCTGTCATGCTCTTCCATAAAGACACCGAGATCCCACAGACCGGCCCAGATACCTTCCCTCTATAATCCATTTCCGGCCTACGGACGATCTCCCACCTCCTCACATTCCATGCGATGCTTCTTCCAGTCCTTTTTCTGACACTCTACCGAGCAGTATCGAGCTTTTAGGCAGCGTACGCACTTCTTGAGTACCACCCCATCTTTGTCTTCTTCACTCGTGCCGCAATTTCGACACCGTGGGGTCTCACCAACCGACATTCCCCTTCCAGTAGCAGCTGCGACGGTATCCTTCAGCATCTTTGGGTCGATGACCTCCTCTACTAAGTACGAGGCGTAAAAAGGGCTAATGGCGATGCGTGTCGCGAATTGCGAGGCTGTGTCCCACTCAGGAAGGCTGATAAAGCTGTCAGGTAGTTTACCGACACCACAGTTGCAGATCACCGGCCGGCCAGGGTCAGTGCTCAGCGGGATCTTGGCTCCGGGCTGCATGTATTCACACCCCGGCGAAGGCCTGTGGCTCCAGGTCCTGCACCGCTCAGCAAAGGCCGGAAGTGCCTTCTTCCACAGCACGAGCTCGGCATCGTCGACAATGAGGCTGCCGCACTCGAGGTTGCGTAGAATGAGGAGGAATGTCTCCAGGACGCCGGAGCTGATAAGGTCCTCTGTGAGTGGTATGACAGCCGCGTCAATAACGACGTTGGCATTGGCGGCGTCGAGACGGATGGCGGATACAAAAAGGAGGATGTGGTTGCCGCTTTTAGGGTGACTGAGGGAGAAGAGCCCTGTCTGGCCGCCCTGCAGCCCGGAGGACAGCATGAACATTGAGAACAAGGACTCTTTGAAGTTCATGCGAGCCGATGAGGCAAGATGCGTGGTGCTTGAGGACTGCAATTTGTCGCGCACTTTGCGCTCACGAGCAGAGTACATGGACGACGTCAAGGTAGAGAGGAAACTGAGTTGTTCCCTCTTAGATAGATCAAGAGCAGGTAGGGTGTCCAAGTTCACAAGGGGGAGATTGAGCGCGAGGGGCACAGAGATTCCAGAGAACTCTGCGGAGATAGTCGGAAAGATGAAGTCGTCCAGTTCCTGCGACTTGACGGGATCAGCGAGCGGCGCTAGGATCTCGATGTATCCTGACGTCCGGGCGATGCGTGTCTTGCTCCCATCCTTGACAACTGGCGCGGGAAAGTTGAGTTCAAGTACCAAGCCCCGGTCTCCCAAGAGCACCTGGAATACGCACGGAGACATCTTGCGTGTCTCTACGGCAGCCTTTTCAGCCAATAACTGCTTTCCCTTCGCGGATGTTATGGGTAGATGGCCAGTGATGGCTGTAATGACCCCTGATGAGTCCAGTTCACACGAAAAGTGCGGTTCACTCTCCTGATGGTCGGAATGGGTTCGAGAGTCCGGTTCCAGGCTGTTGTACACGGGGTAATCAAGCTGGCGTGTCGGATGTCTGGTGATGTATACAGCGCTTGTGTTTTCCAGGCTGCTACTGAATATTTCCAACACATTGTCCATGTCTGATGCGAGTCTAAATATCTTTCGATTGCTGTCGCTGCTCTGCACACGCAGAGACACCTTGGTGCGACTGGGATCATGCTGCAATGCTGATGCTGGCACGCAGAACGATACGATCATGTCCGTACCTAAAGCTGGCCAGACCGTGATCAGAGGCTCCGATTCAACACCTTCACTAAAGGACTCAGTCTTGCCAAAGCTGATCTGGACATCGTCAAAGACGCTTTGTGAAGGCTGCTGGTCGCCGTCTTGCACCGAAATGCATCCCTGAACCGCAACAGGAATTATTCTCGAACTGTCAACCTGCTCTAGAGGTTTCAACTGGTCAGCTGGGACCGCTATAGTGATGTAGACTCCTTCAGGGATGCTAGGCCACGTCGAAAGTGCGTTCCTTTCGATTTTCTCGGCCTCGGACCGGACCGGACTGTACAGTCCCTGCATTGACAGTGCAAGTGATAGTTCCGGATTAGAGATGCTGTCAAGTACTCGTTCGCAGACAGTCTGCCTATCAGTGTCGATGCATTGTAGCAACCTCTTCATGAAGGCAGTAAAGCTTCCGTGGTGGTAAACACGAGGTGTGGTGTGCTGTCTCAACATATACTCATAGACAAGCAGTAGGAGGTCAGCTAGGCTAGATGCGTCCACTCTGAGCCGTACCCCAGGTGGTTGGCCACTTGCATGGCGGTTCTCTTTCCAGGACAGGTGATATCGAATGTGAGATACTGATAGGGCGGCCTGAGCAGCTGAGGCGGCAAGCATATAGGCATCAATGTGTGACACTGCCGCAGCATTTGTCCAGTACTCCGCAGGGCTGATCCCTAGTAGTGTCGACACAGTTCTGAATGGTCCGCCAAGGAGCGTGTCCAACTGTGTGCCAGTATCGTCGGTCGTTATCTCTGTATACAAAGTGGTCCATGCCTTGTCCTTGAGCAGCGGCCCAGCCGAAACGAGGACGTTCAGTGTGCCTGAAAACTCAGAGAGGTCTCCCGTCTCAATCACATCGAACCGTGATGGAGCTTCTCTTAGGACATACTCGCGTGTATCCAACTCGAGCGGATATGGGCTAAATTGTCGCCTGTAGAGGCTTGCTGTAGCTTCCCCTGTCCGCACTTGGTGTTGGAGTGTGTGGCAGAATGCGAGACAGTCGGCCGATATGAAGCGTACGATGAGGTGCTTGGGTGATAGTTCCTGCAAGGCCTTCGACCATTCTGAGAACTGGAGCTGAGCGGACGAGATGATCCTGGATTCAGGTGTTTGCGCTTCATGGCCAGGATTGAGAGCCCGCAGCGGCGAGGTCTCGGTGAGCTGTGCCTCGGCTGCGGCTAGGTGAAAGCCCAAGAGAGGGTTACAAGCGGGTGACAGGATGGTGGTAGGTGGCAGCATGTTTGCTGTCTGAAGAGTATGACCAAGCATTGAGAATGCAAAAAGGGGATTCGGGATCTTGTTCTCTTTGATAGAAATACCAAGTGGTCCTGTTCCCAGCCAGGCCTCCAGGGCAGCTCTCAGGCCGCTGTCTCCCAAGGATTGGAAGCCGAGGGGTGCGGTTGCCCTGGCACCTCGATATTTCAGCGCCTCTCCGCAGTCATTGTTGTGTTTCAGGAGTTCCTTCGTCTTGTCCAAGGACCTCGTAAAATTGGCGTGGTACTCGTGTGTATCCTTGATTCGCAAGAAGTCAAGGTACGCAGACCAGATGTCGTGGACAGAGGCGAGGGTGCTTGCGTCCCCAAAGCGCACCTTGTCGCCGAATCTTCCCTCTTCCCACTTGGTGAGTGAAGTGGAGATATTCTGAAGCTCCTCGGCGTGTGTCTTGAGTACTTGTACTGATTCTTCACCGAGATACAGATCATAGAACAAATTCCAGAGGATGCTGCTTGGAGTCGTCTGCCCCTTAGCAACGAGGAGCGTCAAGAACAGCACATTGCGGGCTATACCGAAAGGTCAGCAGGTGAGGAAGGGTGTACAGACGGAGTGAAGGCATACCGACTGATGCATCCTCATCATCACAGCAGGTAATGTCCAGTTTTCTGAATGCTTTTGTAGCTGATTCAGTGGTTAGTACGTAACGCACCGTTGCATTCTAGGATCACACGACAGCTCACGGGAACCCCTCTTTGTGTAGCACGTATGCAAAATATGCCTCAAGTCCCGGCTGCCCAGGAGGAGGATGTCTACACGAGCGTCTGCCGACTCGGAGTCGTTTTCAAGAGGCAGACATCGCGTCAGATCCACCGCAGGCGTGTCCCCGAACGGGTTGAAGGTGGGAGCAAGAGTTGTCGGCGTGAGCATGGCGTCTGGTAGTGATACGAGGTCGTAAGACCCTCCAAAAGAGGTGAGAGCAAGAAAATGGTCAAGGAGTCTGGTATGGAAGAAAAAAGAGTGACAGTGTTTTTAATAGAGTAAAGGATAATCATGGAGACACTGCTAGTTTGAGCGGATTGATGTGGTTGATTGATACTTGGTGGGAAAGACCAAGTCTGAAGGCCGGTCCCGCTACGAGGTGGGTGAAAACCGGACGCTACCGTACCAAGCTTCAGAGCCATCATAGTTGCTTCCAGGCATTGTAGGCTTTGCAAGGGTGGAACTAGTCGCCCCTGCAGCCCTAACCCTGCCATCAACTCGTACCGAACACAATGTGTGACATGCTTGGAGGGGAAGAATGCACCTCTCATCTCTTCCGAAGACGTCTAAAGGGATTTTTCCTGTCTATATCAAAGTGATCGAGACCTGCGATGGTCTCATTAACGAGTTAGGTGTTGCCTGCTTGGCCTTGAGTTGCAGCACGGCGTCGGGTCTGGTGAAGTGCCTCAGCGTGTTCTACTGCGTTTCTCGATACGTGACCAACCAAGTCAGTGGGTCTACTTCACAAGAGAGCCGAGCCACTACGCTTTCATCGTGTAATAGACAGCGCGTATCATGCAATGAATGATAGGCCGCGCATGTGAGAATCTTACAGGGATACTCGGAAAAGACCTTGGAGATGGACAAACGAAGTATAGATTCAACTGAATTGCAGAAAGTTTCTTCGTTCTGATGTCTGATCTGAGGATATGACATCTTGGCCCATCCGATTTGCAGGTTACAAACCCAGTTACAAGCTTAGATCTAAGTAGCAGTATAGACGCATTCTCCACAGCTTTCAGCCTTAAATGGCAGAGCGTACAGTGCAGTATTCCATTTACATGGATGTTTCCTTCAAGGTGTGCCGACTTTTTTATTATTTTCTTTTATACATGCCAAGTTGCATGTTTCTGTATATAATCTACGCGAGGCAGTTTGTTTCCACTATACGATTGGGCAAAGCATCGCAGGGATTTCCAGACACTCTTTCAGATTTGGATATACATGAAAGGAAGCATATGTATATCCTTGCAGTGTAACTAATTGCCTACTGGCCTTGGGTGCTATAACTTCCCGACCAAGTTTGACCTATTTGTGACCAGAAAATCTTGTCTCAAAGATTCAACCGGTGATGGTGTACTGAGAGCTACCACCAGCATTGCCCCAGCCCTCAGTCGCCAGAACTTGATAGTTCAGCGTGCCCAGATTCATTCCCAGTTTAGCCCACGCGTCAAAGTGACAGCTCGTCGTGACGGTGCCGCTGCCGGGACTCGAGCTCTGGCGGTTCGAGATGTACTGCTCGAAGGTCGTCGTGCCCTGGATCGACGGCTGGTTCACCTGCTGGTGCTTCCAAATGTCATATGTGGCCCCATCACACTCGACGGTGCCCATCTGCGTGCCCTGGGCCGAGCCCTTGCCGTCGCTGGTGTATTCTTGCACGTAGTACTCGACCAGCGGGTTTGTGGACCAGCCATAGACCGAGACTAGGACGGTCCCGGCGTTATAGGTGGTGGAGCCATTGAAGGTGATGGTCCTGGACAGGCGTGTCAGAACATTTTTAAACAAGTCCAAAGAAGAATTCAGTTCTTCTTAAAATTACCTGGTAGTGCCTGCAGACCAGCCCTTGCCAACGACAAAGTCTCCGGCACCAGAGAAGGAGACTGAGTATCCATTGCTCGCTGGTGAGAAGTTGACGCTGCCACCAGTCGTATAGTCCTGGTTGTAGTCTTGGCGGCGGGCAAGGTTTTCACCGCCCAGCATGAAGTCTGGAGCATCACCTGCAGCGGCGGGATCCGCAGCAGGGGCGGCGAAGGCTCCCGTCAGGGCGAAGAACGCAAGGGCGAGGTTGGTGAGGGAGTTCATGGTGGAGGTTGTAGTTCAAGCTTTGGTTTCGCTGTTGGAGTCAGGCGTTTGTGATATCGGAGAAGCAGGAATCAACGTTAGTCTGGGTTCGTGCTTGAGACTTTATACCTAGTCTTGAGGACTGCAATATGCATTCCGAAGCAATGGACTTCCTGATTGCCCAAACTCATATGGAAGCTCTTGCTCCGAAATTGATGACAAGCGCGAAACCGGCTGCTACGCATTATGTACTATTATTCGTGTTCTTCTTTTTCCTCCTCTGTTTGAACACTGCCAACCTCTCGCCTTCAATATATTAGGAAAAGCAACACTTGGACCTTGTTCAATATTGTGTTTTGATTATATTATAAAAAGCCAAGACTGCCGCACGACCGGTGCAACCGCCACATCCATTTCTTGGTTCCGCTCGATTCAGCCGCCTGGGCCGCCACTCTGCAAAGGCTAATTAATTCACTGATCCTCATATGATTAGTGCATACGCCAAGTTCATGCTCATATAAATGACACGACATCATGCATAGTCTGTTCTTGCTGGGTAGCACTTCAAGCCCTGAAAGACATCATTTGCTGTTGGCTTAGAGTCCATGTTTTCTTCGCCAGGTAGCACCCGGAGCAAAGGAGGGAACATGAAGCAGTCCGAGACGAAGCGTGCCAAGTCATAATGCTACAAACTCAGAAAGGGGGTGGTATATCCTTATACTTGCTCGAGGATTCAGGACTTGCTTCGCTCCACGTCCTCAAAACTACCACACTGGCCAGCACCAAATAATCTCGAAAGTGGAGAAAAAACAGAGAGTAAAAGGGATCTACAAGCACTAGTGACCCGCAGGCATGATCATAAAACTTCCGGACAACCTCTCTCAACCGTCCTTCTTACACCTTCGCACACCTCCTCACCTACCCGTGGCAACAGCCTGGTCCCCCCTCCACTGCTTACCACCCCTAGCACAGCCTTCTCGGTTTCAAAGATCACCAGTTTCTATCCAACCCGATCTTTATTAGTTTCCCTATCTTCGCTCTGGTTGGATGGATGGATGCACCTTTGCATGCAGGTTTGCTGGCAGGCCGGTAGGCCTCCTGCAGATCAGTGATCACCTGAAGCCTAAATGCAGCCTTTTTCACCGTCAGCTCGAGACTCATAAAGTCGCTCCGTCCGTGTTCTTTGAAAGAGCAGCACTATGCAAATTGAGAAATTTTTCATCTCAACAATTCATTCTCGACTGTGTACCTGAACGTACCAGATCAAATCGTCCGACCCTCATTTTCCTCCAGCTTGTATGAGGAAGCACCTGTCTATACACAAAGAGCCCCGCATCTAATCACGATACCAAGATGCCTGAGACCGTGGAGGTGATTCCGAATGGAGACCTCGTGATCAGTCTCACTATTCCTACGAATGATCTGGGCATTGCGGACGATCAAGGTCCAAGCTCCCCAATTACCGAAACACTCACCGAGACAACAACATGCCAGTCTCCTACAATGAGTGCGAGCGTGAGCAGCCACACATCACAGCAGCCCGCAAACAGTTTCAGAGTCTCGTCAAAGCACCTTACTGTGGCTTGTCCCCGCTTTGACAAGATGCTGTCAGGAGACTGGATGGAAGCGAAGCAGATCTACCTAGATGGCTGCCGTCACGTGGACTTGGAAGGAAATTTCGACCCCGCGGCACTCGGCATCCTGCTGAATGTTCTTCACGGGAAGACACGCATTATTCCGAAAACCCTCGACCTCGACATGCTGACCAAGGTGGCAGTTCTGGTGGACGACTTTGGGTGCAACGAAGCAATTCAGATCTGGTCGGACTTGTGGATTCAAAAGCTGGAAATCGAATTACCCATGGTATCGGAAGCGGCCAGTGAGGAGTATCTCAAGAACTGGATCGTGATTTCTGCCGTCTTTGGAAAACCCTCCGTGTTCCGAAAAGCCACGCAGTTGGTACTCCTACATGGCTCGGACTCGATTAACTCATCAGGCCTCCCAATACCAGCCACCGTGGACGGTAGGTTATGGGCCCTGAAAGCGCATAGATTGAGATTGTAATTATCAAGTCTGTGCTAATCATCAAATCTTGTAGAAAGTATCAACAGCAAGAGGATCGACTTGATCCAACAGCTTTTGGATGTGTTGTACAACCTAATTGACACCTTGAATGGAAACGACGGTCTGTACAGCGGGGAACACAGGTGTGTACTGCTTGGTGCTTTGCTCCGGCAGATGACCGAAAAGGGGATTCCCTGGACTCGACCCGACGCACCGTTCTCTGGCTTCAGCTTTGAACATCTAGCCAAATGCATCATTGAATTTTGGACACCAACCTGCTGCTGCAACAAGATGATACCTCATTCCGCGTATCCACGCGCCTCTCGAAAGAAGATGAAGGGTTGGAAGCACCGAGCAGCCCACGGGTGGGGATACCCTGAGGAGCCTGATTCGACGACAGCGTTGACACTCCGTGACATTCTGGCACCGGAGATCGAGCGGCTGAAGGAGAAATCATGGGGATTGAACTTGAGGGAACATGTTCGGCTGGCTTTCGAGGAAGATGATGCTGAAGAGAGCCCTGCGTCGGCAACGTCAACGTCACCTCTTCCGGACGAGCCTATGCCTATGCCTGTGGAAGAGCCTGCGCCCTGTGGAGAAACCTATGTCTGTGTCTGTGGAAGAGTCTGTGCCTGTGGATGAGCCTATGCCTCCGAAAGAGCCTGTGGCTGAAGTTGCGGAAGATTTTTGATAGAGAAAACCACTCTACAATGTCAAGAAGAATAGGTGTATTCATTATTCGCGGTCGAAAAACTACACAGGCGTCTCCAACGTTGAGTGCAATCAGTCTTATTTTACGAGTGCAGGGTTTTCATTCTTCAATCTGTCTTCGAGAATTGATTGTTTATGATCTCTCTTCATCGATAGTTTCTCTTCATCTTCTCAGAAACGACTACTGAGTCAACTCATAATACAAAATTCCTTTACCTTGGCCAGTCCGCTACACAGGCGATATGATAATTGATTGATTACATGCATGGTGCTGGTGGTCTTGACTTCTCTGCAGATGAGTCTGACTAGTTATGTACTAGAAAGGCCGAGATACTGGAGATACTTATTCAAAAGCATATATGAGACCTTGTGTTGCTATTTTTTGCCTTTTAAAGTTTGCCATTTGTTAAAATGGTCTCTTATCGATCCTAGCTCTGCAGGAAAAAAATTGATGACCAAGGAAAAGCGGGGAAAATGGGCAGAAATTTGAACATGAAGGTGACCCACAAAACATGATTGGCTCTCGTTCGTCGTTCAGATTTCGCTCAATTAGGAAGGTGATTTTGGTGTGTTTTTTCTCGAAAAGACATCTTTTTCAAGCTGAAATATCTCAATGAAATATCTGTTCTAGATATAAAGATTGGAATAGCTGAAAGAGCTGAAATATAGATAATTAATGCCAGGATTAGGAGATTAATATGCTCTGTAATTAGCTGTACTTTGATACAGGAGATGAAAGTAGCTTTGGAGTTGGTAACTATATTATTGTAGCTTAAAAGCTATTTATCTTTACAAATAATAGCGCTTGAGTCTTTATTCAGTATTAAGGTTTAGATAGAGATACAGGTTAGTAGTTAAGCTAATGAATTCTATTTACTTCTATGCACTTGATACAAGTTAAAAAGAAATGAAGATATGCTTAGAAACTTCTTCTGAAGTTTTAATAATAGTGCAGTTCTACTGAGAATCTAGCTTAATTTATCTTAATTTTGTAATTTTTTTTATTAACTGTACAACTGCTTCTATTATTCTCTTCTAGTGATAACTAAAGAAAAATATATCTTTTTCTTTTTCTATAAAGCTCTTTAGCCTTTGTACTCAAGATATTGAGATATAATATACTGTATTCTTTAGGTTTGCAGAAAGAAGCTGACTTTACTTTGAAAAGTATTTTTGGATATCTTCCAAGATTTAAATATAAGGCTTATTCAAATATCGATCATGATTAGCATCCCTGAGCTATAATGCTCAATTGTAATGAGCACTGCAGCAATCCGAAGATTCCTAAGTACACGAAGGGGTTTATGCTAACAAGAGCGGTATCAAAGTGTTAAGTTCTTGAATACGGAACTGTACAAGTCCTAATAAACGATGCAAGTGTTCACTGCCTTTAGGGCTACTCAATATATGGAACTGAATACTTAGATTGATAACTAAAGAGCTATGTACTGAGTCTATCTAATGGTAATGAATGTGTTCTTATATATCCAGCTTCTTCAGTCCTGTTAGTAGTGTTGGTTGTTGGATCTCTTGGATCATCTGAGTAATCCAACTGATCCGGATCATCATGGATCAGCCACTGATCCATCCTGATTCTGTAATCCTAATCCTTGCTTATATAAGCCTTAGTTCTTGAGATGTTGAATCCTTTCCTGTCTTTCCAGATAGTTGTTCCGGATGTTCTGGCGAGTAATCTGCATATTGAATGGATTATAATATCATCTTTCTTCTATTAATCGTTGTTTCTAATGATCTTCTGTAAGTATTCTGATAAGTTATTTGCATATATGATTATGCCTTTCTAATCGAGATGTTGAATAGAATCAACAAATTGTATTCTAGTTGTTCGGTAAAAACTCAAGAGCATTATCATCTTGCTGAGCTTATTTCTGCTTTTGGTATTGAAATGCTTGCTTGTGCTCATTGTTGAGAGATGAGAGCTTCCTGTTGTTTCGCTGAAAACTCTTCTCGTTGTAAGGAGTGTATTTCTCTAGATTAGAGCTATAATACTAGTTATTTCTCGGCTTCTGCTGATTGGTTTCTTCGTTTCTTAGTGTTTTCTGTGATTACTGATTTTCTTCTTCAGCAGGGTGTTTGATTTGCGAAAAGCGCAAGGTTTTGAGCGAGAAGGCTGAGGCGGAGTCGGCAAACGCTGCTGCTCTATAAGCCTTGCTAGCGTCGCAGGCTTGTCTTGATTGTATATGGAAACAGCGAAGATTGTTAGAGGAGTGTGCTGCAGAAATGATTCATTGTAGCTTCAATTCCTTGGAGGGGTTTGCTGATGAGGAGGATTGCAGTCTTCGTGAAGAGGAGATTCGCTTGATATCTCAGGGATATCTTGAGATTATCAACTAGAGTTTCTTAGCTTTTAATTCTAGCGTGTTTGGTTAGCCTTCCCTTCTGAAGAGTGAAACTGCAGCGCCTGATTCTTGTTCCAGAGCAGAGCGATCGTCCTAGATGCTGGTTTTTCTTTTCCAATATTCAGCTATCTTTTCCTAAGCATTTTTAACGTTTTTCCGCAGTTTCCAAGAATTTTTGCTTGCTGAATAATCTTTTTATTTAACAAGATATTCCCTTATATTATCTATGCTTCTGTGCTTGAGAATCTTCTCTATCTTATACTCTGGTTTATTGTTTTCCACTTCTGCTGTATTATTTATTAGTATTTCCTATACTGCTAGTTCTAGCAGTAAAATGTGAAAGATTGAATATATTCTTATTTTATAAGATAATGCTAACTTGTAATTAACTGGAGAGATTTGTTGCAAGATTTTGAAGAATTCCAACTTCTTATGATTGAGTTTGTTGCTAGGTTTGATTGTTTTGATGTTTTTCCGAAGTAGGTAAACTTTATTTCTCTTCTGTAGAATTGGTCTTTCAATCCTTTTGGAGTTTGCATATTGCATTATTTATTCTTGAATGAATTGTAATTCTGATTGGAGTTTCTTCTGAACTTTCTTAATCTTTTTAATCTTTTTATCTGCAGCTTCTGCATTTGCTTCTAGTAGTACTTTGTAATAAGCTATTGGATTATATTTATAGAATATAAAGAATAGTAATTTCTTTGTTATGCTTATATCTGCGCTATTATAAGCAAACTGTATAAGAAGTAATAGATTAATTTAGTTATTCTGTTTTTAGTTAATATAGTATTGAAAATACTGTTTAACAATCTAATTCATTCTTTTTATCTATTTATCTATTTGCAGATGAAATGCTGTAAATATTTTGTAGTATATTCCAAGTTGTTTTATAAATAAAATTCAAAACTTTGAATTAAACTTTCTGTTTCTGTTAGAGATTACTTCTTCTAGTATGCTGTAGTTAGCAATGATTATTCTGAGAAATGCATATGCAAGTTCTTCTGCTATACTGCTTTCCTTATAGAAGAGAAAATAAGCATACTTGCTTAGTTTGCAAACTATTACTAGAATACTATTATATTGCACTTTAGTTAAGAATTCTTGTAAGAAAGATAGTTTGATAATAAAGTTTAAACTGATGAATTGCTAAATAGTTATAAATATTAGTAAGAAATACAGTAGTTTGTAAAGCTTGTATCTTTCTGCTTTATTCTTCTTGCAGCTGTTGCATTGTTATAGAATGCTCTCAATTCTTTTCCTAAGATCTAATAGATTTCAGTATTTTTTAATGCATTCATAGATTGCTCTAACTTCCTAATGCTTATATGCTAATGCACTATATATATCTTTGATATAGTTATTTTATTCATTTAAAGTTATTAATTCTGAATTCTTTTCTAAGGATTCTATTCTGAGAGCAGCATTCAGTTCTTTATATGCATTAATAAGATTTTCTGACTTATCTTGAACAAAGATATTCTATATATCCGAGGAATCTGCATCTCGATAATTTAATCTTCTGCTAAGAGCATCTGCTCATTCGTTTTCTGAGCTTTTGCAGTATATAATTTTGAAGTTGAATTATAAGAAGAATTCTGCTTATCTGATTTATTGCTTATTCAAAACCTTAATTGTTATGAATATAGTTAGATTCTTGTAATCTGAGTGAACTATGATTGAGTATTATATATTAATAAAATAGTATTGCTACTTCTTGAAAGCTTTTACTATTGCTATGAATTTCTAATTAGGGATTCTATAGTTGATTTTCGAGCTATTTAATTTCTTTAAGAAATTGCTTATAATTCTTAAACATTCTTGATTATCTTGCTAATCAAGTTGTTCTCTGAGTATATATTTTGATACATTAGTTTCAATTTTAAAGAGTTTATAAGGATCTGCTTTATATAAAACTGGTTCTAAGATAATATATCTGATGATCTCATTGAAGGCTTCTTGTGCTTTGGAGATTCATTTAAAAGGCTATTCTTTTTTAGTGAGATTTATAAGAAGGTATGCAATTCAGCTATAGTTCTTAATAAACTGCTTGTAGAAGTTGATATATCTGAGGAAAGATTTAATATCTCTAATGCTTTTGAAAACTAGCTAATTTCTGATAGCTTTTATCTTATCTTTCTATAGCTTAATGCATTCTAGCTTAATTGTGAATCCGAGATAGTTAGCTTTTTGTATATAAAA